ACGTGGCCGCAGCGACATTTAATGGCGTTGAACTGATGGTCTCGTAGTACGTTGTTGGTCCGGAGTCTGGTTGCCACTTTGCAGATGGCTACACATGGATGGTTTGGTTTGGTTTGGTTTGGTATCTTCGGATCAATCTGGTATCTTGTGGTGTCGAGGTTCCGTAACATGTCAGACCATTTCTGGTTGATCCTAGAAGAGACGATACTGCAGAACTCCGAATAGGAGTATTCTACAGGCTCGATATCCTCCAGACTCAGACTTTCTTTGGCACATCGGTCTGCTTGATCATTGCCAGGAATGGAGACGTGCGATGGAACCCTTACTAATTCAATCTTCTGGTTGTTGTTGGTTTGGTAGTTGTGGATCATTCTTCTTATTTCGGAAATAACTTCTGACCTGCAATTAGAAGAGGTGAGAAAAATAGATTGGAGGCTGCTTAGCGAGTCGGATAGAATCGCGGCATGCTCCGTGTGATTGACGGACAGCCATGCTACCGCGTCCCTGATGGCAAAAAGTTCTGCTGTGAACACTGAACAGTGCGGGGGGATCCTTTTACTGATGCGGATGCCTTTTGCTGGGATGCACAAACCGTAACCTGTTGCGGTACTACTCTTGGAACCATCGGTGTAGATCTTCAAATGGTCGGCGTACACGGAATCAATGAGATCAAGAGCATGAGCTCTTGCTCCCACTGGGTCCTCGTGCTTGTTGGTACTCTGGATCAGCTGGGTGTTGACTGTCGGGTTGGTAACCTTCCAAAACGGAGTAGCCGATAGGCGGCGTTCAAGGATCGTTACTTGATCGAGCTGATGCTCTCTCGATAGATCAATGACCGCTTGCCCGTAAGAAATACTCCGATTCTTCTGGTTATTTCCGACACGAGTAAATCTTCTGATGCTGGAATACGTCGGACAGCTTTCGGACAAATACTGAAGTTTCCCCCAGAATTTGAGAGATAGCTCCTCCCTCCGAAGAGAGAGGGGTTTCTCTCCCACCTCCTGAAGTAGCGCCTCATTCTTCGTACCTACGGCTGCCCTGGTGGCAATACGTATAGCTTTCATGTGTAGAACGTCGAGTTTCTTCAGTTGTGTATCACTTGCTTTACCATAGGCGATACAACCATAATCAATAACTGAGCGAACCAGTGACCTGTACATCATCATTAGAGTTTCTCTGTTTGCTCCCCATGTGGTACCTGAAACATAACGCATAACATTTAAGATTTTTGTAGACCGGTTACAGATATAGTCAATGTGCGTACTCCAAGTCAGACACTTGTCAAAGTGTACTCCCAGGAACCTTACTGAATTCTCATGCTTAATCTTCACACCATTCAGTCTAAGGTCAATACTGTCGTGATCTTTCTTTCTGCTGCAGAACAAACCGACGGTTTTAGCTTCCGAAATAATGAAGCCCCAGTCGTTTGCCCATTTAGCAACTTGGTTCAGAGCAGTTTGCATACGCCATTTAACTTTATTGAGGTCATTGTGACCAGTCCATATCGAACTGTCATCTGCATATAGAGCCGTGCTAACCGAGAGCTCTATATGCTTTACATAATCCAGGGCCAGATCATTGATCATAATGCTGAAGAGGGTAGGGCTAATAACCGAGCCTTGCGGGGTTTCATCTTGCTGTCTTGGCGTAGAAAGATATGATCGCTTGCCTTGTTGACATTTTATGTAGGCCGCCATTGTTACCCGCGATATCTGTATATCTGGCTTTTGATTGGATAAAAAAAAACCTTGACATTTGTCGCGCATGAATTTGTGTCTACATACGAAAGAAAATAATCCGTTAAAAATTTTTTTTTTTTCGAACAATAGCACAGCTTTAGAGAGGTGGTAGGTTGTTGAAATGTATCTTTCGTGTGATAATAAAGCCAGAAACAAAATTTCATTATTTCATGAGAGGGGGTCTATTAGAAGTGAAAATAAAAACGTTCAGTCCATATCTGTGGATATAGCAAGCAAGCAAGAATGACACCACGCCAGCAGGAGGGTAAGAGAAGCTTGTTCGTCCATTCTGCTGGAGCTATGGCGTGGTCTGATGTGAGCAATCACGTTACGTTTCACAATGCAAAATCAACAGATCGACGACGACCCAGCGATGTGTAACAGATGGTACGATTTTCCTGCTTTTGCGAAGAGGTCGCGATCCGATGAGAAGGCTTGTGATCACTTGCGGTCATCGTAGAAGCATAGCGAGCATTCTGCATAATTATGTCATTGCGAAGCATTGCGATTGTGCACTTTTTCTATCGCAACTGGTTCGCACACCATGGCAAAGCCCAGTGGGACTGGGGCTATAAGGGACATATTTCAGAAAATTTTGGTGTATAGTTTTTACAAATTTGAGCAAAAAAAAGGTCCGGCTTACAAAATTTGTCTTTAAAGGGACAGGTTCGCCATTTTCGGGGGTTGATTTGGGTCTTGAATATATGTAAATAGCCTTCAAAAATATTAGAAATGTAACAAAATCCTCGAGTAATTCCTATAAAAATACTTCAAGCTAAGAATTTTACTCCTTATTTCTTTAGATATGTCTTTTCTACGTCACAGAGTATCTTAAAATGACGTCGTCTTTTTAACTTTTAAATGCAGAAAATTCTAGAAATCTGGAATTTGAAGGGTCTAATTTCGATGGTGAGCTGTGAACACTATTATTGATTAGCTTAGCTAACAAAATTCCAGTTTCTGTGACTAAGGTACGATTGGTCATAAAAAAGAGTGCACATGTGTCTTTAAATCCGTACATTATTTTTGGAATATGTGGTCGTATATTGTCGTCGCCCCTGTCCGTCGGTCCGTCCGTCAACATTTCTTGTGAGCACTATAGAGACTACAGTTTTCATCTGATTTTGTTAAAACTTGGTGTGATGCTTTAGATTGATAAGATCTCGGTCAAGTTCGAATTTGACATATTTTCGATGAACGGTTTTTGAGATATATATTGCACTTGACTTTGTTAAAACGCTTCGAAATTTGTTAAAAATAGTTTGTGAGCAGGATTGACACTACAGTTTTCAACCGATTCTGATGAAACTTGGTGTGATCATTGGAATTGATAAGATCTCGGACAAATTCTAATTTGACATATTTTCGAAGAACTGTTTTTGAGTTATTAACCTTGACTTTGTAAAAAATTTTTAAAAATAGTTTGTGAGCAGGATTGACACTACAGTTTTCAACAGATTCTGATGAAACTTGGGTGTGATCATTGGAATTGATAAGATCTCGGACAAGTTCTAACAAGAGATATTTTTGATGAACATTTTTTGAGTTATTGCCCTTGACTTGGTAAACACGCGTCAAAAGTTGTTTTTTGCCCTTGATTAGAGCTGTGTGATTTAATTGTTTTGTTGTATTTGGGTTATTGATATTGATTTTAAAACATTTTGTGGAATTATTCAGCATAAATAACTGGCATATATATATATATGTAATTGAATTCAAACTAATAAAATTTCTTCAATATAAGAAAATTCGTACTTTAGTCACTAAAGACTGTTTTATTATTTCTGGCAGCTGCCAGTGGGCGTATGTTACCTTGCATCGCAAGCTATCTTATTTAACTATGTCATCTCATAATCTCTCAAGCCTCCAATTATGAAATGTTGTATTCAATCTCTCCATGAATTGGGACTACTAATTTCAACTAATCTTTGGTGACCTCGCAGCTGATATGTTTAACATTCCCTTTTTAGTGCCCCCTTTCCTTCGGAAAAAGTTTGTACCCCCACTTCATTTCAAAGAGATTTGATAGTAAGATTTTTATATTTTTTTATACCAAAGTAAGTATAAGATTTCACCCATAAATTCTATTTTCAAAAATGTCCAGTTCCGTCTTAAGAGGTGTATGCCTATGGCTCTTCCATTGCCCGACCACTGCCCCTTTTATCGACCCGAGGCCGAATTCATACTTTTCAATGCAACTTATCATGATATATCATTGAAATGTAATAACATTATATTTGTAATTGTATATTCGAAAGTAAATTTATTGGTTAAGGATTTCTGTCCGAACACATAGTTTCTTTTCATGTGTGTATAATATTAAAGGGTTTCAAAAAGGGTTTTGTGTACATTGTATGTATATCGATCAAACAATCATGTAAATGATATATGCGCAATTGAAATTTCCTATCAGATGTCTGTGGTACCGGTAATTCCAGAAAAGAAAACAAGTACTAACCACCCGAACCACAAAAAGTCCAAAACAACAGTTGGCAATGTACTTTTAGTAGTATATTGTATATCAATCATAACGAGAAAGTAACACTTTTCACAAATTTGTCGATTAACCGATTCTTACTGATTAAATTTGTAATAATTGGAATATCAGCTTTTAAATAGTACTGAAAGCTGAACCCATTTAAAAAAGTGTGAAGATAATAAGTACTTGTTTGGCTCAGAAAGTAATGTAACAGAAGGAGAATTTTGGTAAACATCAACAATCTTTAGTTTAGCATTGCTAATTGACATTTATCATAATGTTATCTGTAGTGTAAATATCCTTAAAAACCTTTTACCCTATAAAAATATGTATTTTGGTTATCTAATATATTCTACTTTTGACACCCATACTTTTGAGCAGGAGACGAGAAAATAGAAGACGCTTTCATTTATTCCATTTTAAAATGTAAGTATCATCAAGTGTATTTCATAAATGGACGTTATTTTTTTTATATTCCTCATTACATACATGTAGCCTTCATTTATAAACAATGGCTGTCTTGAGAATTATTATAATGTGAATTCACTATCTAGCGAGATGTTGCTTTATCTGAATGTCTCCTCGACATCAGCAGAGGAAATCTCCGATTATCCAGTTTATCCCATATGTAAAATGCTAAATTATGAGGATCTTGGTGGTTCAGTCGATTAGACAGAAGTACTTAGTCTTTCAGCAGACATCTGAATGTCGATTTCGTCGATTTCGAAAGCTTTGGGATAGCTATCGGGTTCATTGCTTGTTAATTTCGTCGGGTTTTGGAATTCAACATTATTTTGGATTGCAAATGCCGGATATCTCCTTATGATTTTTCATTTTCTATGTAAATTGCCAGACATTAATAGCTAGCTTTATGTATACAAGATTCTTATCTGGAAAACTTAAGACTCACTAGTTCGTATTTCTTAACCAAAACCTGAGCAGAACAGTTAGACGTACACTTTCATTTCAATTTATAAAAAAGAAACGAATAGATATCCCTAAGCAGACTTTACTAATGGCTGGTATGTGATTTTTTGGTTTTATTTTATATACTTCTTTATAGGCGGTGGTTTTCAATTTAACAATTCTAATAAGGATGACCTATTCCAAGTAATGAGTAAAGATGTCTTTAAAGAGATCTAACTCAAAGTATCCTGCTGTTAACTTTAAATGTCAAAACTAGCTAAAAGATTTATTTATTACGTAAACATTTAACGTCGCTTTTTTTTTGTTAACTAATGTACGTTTTTAGCAAAAAAATCTTTTTTGGCTTAGGCTATTTATGCACTATTCGAAGATATAATCAAAAAGATATCTCATAACAGCATTTAACTTGTGTCATAATTTAGCTCAAGACGACATTAACTTCCATCTGTTCGTGTACCAAGAAACATTCATCAATACAGAAATATTCCAAAAAAATGATATTGACTGTACCTTGTCCAGGGCTAAAAAAATGACCCTTAGTATAAAAGCAAATTTCATACATATATTGTAATAATATTTTATAAAAAAAAAAATTCTTTGATGTTTCATTGGCGTATCTTGTTGCTTTTTGTCACCTTTTTGTCGACTGAATTGACTGTGTTTAGATTTATTGTCTCTTAGATGTACATAATAAAATATCTTGCCGACTTCCACATTGATAGAAGTAGATTGCAAAACACAGACAATGTTATTAGATCTGGATGAGAGAAGCAAAAGATCTACAATCAATGCTGTTACCAGTAGCTCAACTAGGGACTTGTTGAACGAAGTACAGGGGGCCCTCACTAACCTAGTTGAGCCACTGGCTGTCATAAATCTATGCGTAGAATAAAACATGTTTGTAATGTTCAATGTTCAAAGAATAATAATATTCAAATGTAATATGTTGGATTTTTATTTTGTTTGCCTGAAGTATATATACTAATAAAATCTGATGAAATGTAGATGAAGGTTTCCTCAATTGTTAATATACATGAGATTTTCACGACAACTTGTCATATGCCTTCCTCCAGACAATAGATTTATCTGATTCTGCTATCACTGGTATCACTGAATTCCTTGTCCTTTGCCGTATAATCAGTGCACATAGATTCGATTTAAAATAAGATCCAAAATCCAACACGCAATTGTATAAACACAAAGAGATGACAGTCAAAAATAGTTCATCAAATTTTCATCTAATTCAAACATGAACATTGTCTCCTCGACGTACACACAACACACAATAACTCATCTGATTATTAACAATTTCGAATTTTCCTCAAGATCTGACAACAACTGTAGTCTCTATCACGTTTTTATGCCATATTCGAGATCTCAATAAGTACATGCATATCAAGTTTCATCAAGATCGGATAGGTGCAGTAGCCTCTATTGTGTCTACAATCCAAGATCAACTATTAAATCAAGGGCAATGACTCGACATTGACCGAGATCTTATCAGTATATACATGCATACCAAGTTTCATTAAGATCAGATAAAAAAGTTTAAAGCATACATACTTTTTTACGCCCGGATGGGCAAATTTAACGGGACTGCTTCACTTTTTCTACAATTTTGTCTCTATCCATCACAAGACATCGCTTTTCCATATTTACCCATTGCAGACCATCCCAGATTCCTAAATTTCCAATGGGACTGGGGCTTTATCTATTTTAGGAACCAAATCAAGCCAATCCAAACCTCTTCTTACATATTTATCTTAATTATATCTTTAGTATAAATATCCTTAAAAACATTTTACTTTATAAAAATATATATCTTCGTTTATTTTTTATCTCAGCATTTTTGAGACCCTCACATCTGATTAAGAGGTCAAAAGTTTAGGAAAATGATATATAAAGACAGTCAAATTGAAGACACTTTCAAATTTTTAGAAATCAGCATTTGCAAGCGAACTCTAATTTGTCACCTACCAACCAACAGACCAAGATAATTTCATTTATTCCCTTTTAAAATGTAAGTATCAACTTTATGTTATATATTAGGCAGTTCACCGTTGTATATTCCAATTTCTATGCAAGACAGAAAATTACAAATCTATTTCGTAAATTTAAATTTACATTTCCAAACAGTGACTATCTTTATAAAGGAATATCCTAAAGGAACATTTCTACAATGCGACTACTAGTGGTTGATTACAGTTGCTGGTAAACGGTCAAAGTTTCGATATGTAGATTCGGCCATGTAGACTACGGATTGGATAATATAAATTATTTTTTGAATCACCCGCTTCTGGGCTCAGTGCATCAATACTCTCAAATCTTTTAACGGAACTGAAGGTATTTTTGAACTGAACAGAAACGACCAAAGAAAACGTGAATCGACTAGGAACCGAGCAGAAAAACGATCAGGAAAACTATCACAAACTATTTTGCGATTCTAAGCAAGCTCATTCATGTCGGTTTATGTTTTAGTATGGTATGTACTTGCCTAATTATGAATTCTTTGCAGGCGCAGTTCAGCTAATTCTTTCAGAGGATATCTCACTAGCTTCCGTTAAACTTCCGGAAAACTGACATCTTCCGTTTTGAAAGAACTGGGATAGGTATCAGGTTCATTATATTGTCATAGATTATTCAAAATATGCGTTGCGATTTTTTTGCGATTTGATAGTTTTCAGATTCCAGGCGATAATAGTAACCATAATGTATACAAAATCAATACTGATCACGATTGTAGTAGGAATACTCATCGAAGCTTCAGCAAGTAGTTCATCAAGCTCTTCAGAGGAGATGGCGACTAAACGTAAAAATATTTTTTATCTAATTATTCCTTTGAATGTATGGTTGAGTGTGTGTATCTTTGTTTGTTTTTGTGAGTCTAAATCACCATATCGAAACCACAATGCTTAACTTTCCTACTCATATGCTTCATCGTAAGTTTTGTTGAAACAACGTCCACATGATCAACCAGATCTTTACCAGATTATAGCGTCAATATATTGGAATTACCATGTGGGCATGCGTATTTTGTAACTATATTTCAAATATTTAATGTTATTTGCTATATGGAATCTATTTAAGTTATTATGTTTCATTTTGTAGAGTCAGGATTCTATTGTGACCCCGCTGATCCGGGTCCTTTACCAATAAATAAAATTTGTGATAGGGTTAACGATTGTCCTAATATGGTAGACGAAGTTGGTTGTCAGCCACACAGTAAGTCATTTCCTTCTTGTTTCCTTGTACGAGGATTTATTTATCTATGTGCTCTGTTGTAGAATTCTATTTCCCGGGAATCAGAACTCGTTTCATAAGAGTTACCGATTATTGCTATTCTTTAAATATGTATTTTCAAAGTTATTTTCCTTGGCCTGTAAGTACATTGGTAGCCCTTTTAGTTGGAAGATCGAAGTTTGTTTGTTGTTCCTTATATTTTGTTATTTAATCTGAAACAGGGTGATGTCGAGTTATAATTCGTGGTTCATAGTTCGTGATAGTTTCAAAATCTGAATCTGATTTGTGGTGGGTTATTGTTCGTGGTTAGACATAGTTCTTTCTTCAATCTGAATCTGGTTTGTGGTGTGATATTCTTCGTGATTGGTTACAGTTCGTAATTCAAGCTAATATGGTAACTGGTGAGTTACAATTCGTGCTTAAATTCTTCACTTTTTTTCTTTTATTTTTCAGCTTGTCCAAAGCCCGGTACCTTCTTTTGTGGTTTCGAAGACTGTGCATCAGTGGATTTATATTGCAACGGTGTAATTGATTGTGATGCAGATGAACAATATTGTTTGAACTTTTAGTTTGTGATCAATAAAAAATGTCTACATTACTAATATTGTTTTATTGTGAATTGTGTCATTTATTTTATGAATAACACACAATCTTTTCTTCAAGTTTGGATTAGGTTATTTATTCACTATTCTTAGACATATAATCAAACATATCTCATAACAGCATTTAACTTGTGTCAAAATTTAGCTCAAGACGACATTAACTTCCATCTGTTCGTGTACCAAGAAACATTCATCAATACAGAAATCACCCAAAAAATTATACTGGCTGTCTTCATACATTTTTCGTAATTGTTTATCAAAAAAACATTCATTCATTGGCGTTTTCGGTTGCTTTTTGTCGCCGTTTTGTCGACTGAATTTACTGTGTATGGTTTTATTGTCTCTTATATGTACATAATAAAATAAATTGCCGACTTCCACATTGATAAAAGTAGATTGCAAAACACAGACAATGTTATTATATAAACAATTAGATCTGGATAAGAGAAAGAAAAGCAAAAGATCTACAATCAATGCTGTTAATGCTGTGGCTCAACTACCATAGGGACTTGTTGAACCAGGTCCAGGGGCCCCCACTGACCTAGTTGAGCCACTGGCTGTCTTAAATCTATGCGAAGACTGGTTAAATGTTTCGTAATCAGAATATCGATTTAAATATACCAGTAAATTAAACATGTTTGTAATGTTCAATGTTCAAAGAATAATAATATACATATTTAATATGTTTGATTTTTATTTCATTTGTTAAAATGAAATGAAATGAATGGAGTTTCACGTGCTACTCTTCTGCACCATGTGAGCTAATGAAGACGAACAACGCCATGCAGAGTGCAATAAGGGAAATTTTGTCAGGACAGCGGCATTAGCATGCTCTTTTTCGATTTCCAACTGTCGAGGGATCTTTAACGTGCACAGCCTGTAGCACACGGGGCCTCGGTTTATTGTCTAGACTAGACGCTTTTTCCATGTCAGCCCCTCTTACCTGCATCACTGACAGGGGGAAACCGGGTTGAAAAATCCGAAGGTATTATCTCGACACATGCCGGGATTGAACCCTGGAATTTCATTTGTTTGACAGCTATATATACTGATGTAGATAATGTTGATAAAGGTTTCCTCAATTGTTAATATACATAATAAGACTTTCATGACAACTTGTCATATACCTTCCTCCAGACAATAGATTTATCTGATTCTGCTATCACTGCTTTCTACCAGCTAGACTGAATTCCTTGTCATAGATTTTTGCCGTATAATCAGTGCACATTGAGTCGGATTTAAAATAAGATCCTGATTCCAACATGCAATTGTATAAACACAAAGTGATGATCGAGTTCGAATACAAGCGTATTATGAGATTCTAATTTGTCCAAAAGAAGCACACTACTATAGCCCATTTAGTATTTAATTGATTGGTTTGAAACTAGGAGACCGTCTTTATTAACCCACATGGAGCAGAAAAGTAGGACGCAAAACTCCATTCATTTCATTTGAAACAAGGAGAGTGAAGAATAAAACAAAACTTTTGCGAGCTACATACCAAAGTGAAGGTATCAGGACGATGTCTTGGTGTTTCACTTAAATAGAGGAACACAAATGAATGGTTTACTACTCCTAGGTTTAAATGTACACATCGTTTCAGCAATTTAGGAATACATTGTCATAATCAGGCTCACTTTTATCCTGATGAGGCTCACATTTAACCTGATGACAACAATGCAACTGTCGCAAAGTTTTGTACATAATATTTTGTTTCATTAGTTAATGTGACTTCTACCCCAAGTCGACAGCATGAGCTCGGGTTTTCCAGGCAATCCATTTGCTCATGTGTTTTCTTTATGTATCAAGATATCAACATAGCGTGATTACCGTGCTAAACTTATGGAATCTTCTGATCGAATGAATAATTCAGTATTGAAAGGAACAGTTGTATTTGTAATCAGTTAATAGTAACATTCTCAACATACAATCATTAGGCTATGTTTAAAAATGTATGGGAATGTCTTATACCGCAGGATTTTGGCTGTATTTATATTTTTAGGTGCTGGTAAGTACTAAAGGTGTCCAGCCTTGTGTAACTGATAGCTTTGTGTTGTATTGTTTTTTTTTTCAGATTTAACAGGATTATAGTGCCATTATCACAAGTACCGTACAATTTCAAATGGCACATACAGGCTTCAAAATCGGGGTTCAATTCATTTTTACCAAATTTCAGTTCTGGCTAATTAAATATGATTTGTTTCGCAATTCATAAAAATTTGATAGCAATTCATAATGTTCCAGTTGCAGATTTAAGTTCGATCTTGCCAAAGACGTTATTTCTCTAAGGTTTTATAGAGACTGTCAAGAGTTGCCGTATATTTCTAGATTTGTCAGACATTTCTGACGAAAAATATACAATTTTAATTGCCTCGCAGGTCGTCGTGATCATACAAAATATTCGATCGCCATAGCGGCCATTTTGAATCACAAATTGCGATGCAGTATCGCCTAAATTGAACCCTGCTTAAATTCACTTTAAAACACATTATTAATGTACAGTTATAGTTTATTTCTGGTTTTGATATGCACCGTATTTAATTAATGAAGACGGATAACACGTCTCTTCTTTAAAAGCAATGAAACAGCATGATATCCAACAAGAAAGTTCACCTCTGTGGAACCGTTTTTTGTTCTTTTTTGCTAGTTTACGGAAACTCAGAAATTTCTAAATCTAAGAACTCAAATGGAAGACAAGAAACCTCGTCTGCAGTATACATAGACCTACAACCCAGAATCAAAAAACCGTCTCGTATAGTTTCTGTGGTGAGTAATTCCCTATTATGATAGTATAGTAATGCGCAATTTGGCGTCGATTCATTATACTATAGACCAGTGGTTCTCAGTACAGAGGAGGAATTTCTCCCCAAGGGAGGAATTAGGAGACCATGGGGAGTAATTATTGTCAGGGTGGGGAGGAATCGTTATACCTGGGCGGAAATCGGAGGTAAGGTAATTTACAACTAAAATTGACGTCATTCACCCCGGACATACAGAAAATCGAGAACCAATCGTGACCCAAGGATCACATTTAACTATCATAGTTAACCGTTGCATACCTTTTTGAGTGAAATGACTTATTTATTTTGGAGAGGAATAGATTTGGAATCACTCTTCAGGGGATGAATGGTTTCACTGAGTTTGAGAAGCACGGCTATAGACTTTTCTCATTTTCGGTGAGTTCGCTTATATCGCAAGTTTGAGAGTGACATCCCAATTCTACATGTCTACACCCTTTGACCCGTCTTCATTAGCCCAAAAAGTGGAAAAGAGTAGGACGTTATACTCTGATAAAAAGTGTGTATCCAAAACACGTATCGACAGATGCGATGTGCTCTAGTAAAATCGAATATATTGTCAATTTCTACTTTTTACTTGTTTCTATTGGAAAATATAGAAACCAATGTTACCACAGACTTGGGAATGTGCTGGTTATTTAATCCTTGAATGGCATTTAGTTTATAGATATTATCTTATTACAGAGTGTGTGAGGAAGTTTGTTTGAAATGTATTATGTACTAACCTTCTACACTTACATGATATTTACATTTATATTGTAGGCTGGTGCTTCTGGAATTGGGGATGAAATTTGCTTTTGTTTATGTGACAATCCAGAAACATTTCATTTGCCCCAAACCGCAGAAGAAACACAGGCGTTTATTGAGGACTTTAAGAAAGAAGTAAAGATCAAGCTATTGGTGAACAAGAAAAACTTATCGTCCACCGTATCAAGAAAAGGAAGTATTGTAGATAACCGACCTTCAGCTGCGTATGTTGGTTCTTTGGGCATCATTATGCTATTAGTGGTCTTCATATCTCTAGTGCTTTTGGACTTGCCTCGAGGAATCGCTTTTTATAAAGCACTCAAATATCAACAATAACGTTTAAAATCTAGATTATACAATGAAATATTAATATAGGAATATTAAAGGTTATATTATTTCCATATTACGTATATATTCTGATTTGTTAGTATGGAAGCTTGGAAATGGATGTAAAACTTTCAATATTTTGACTCTATTCGTAAGGAAGAACATGCCAAACTTTCACATAATAGATTATAAAAGCTGTCAGTTTATTCAATTTCATAATGTGCAATACCTAAAAAATGTACAGGTTATTTTAGGATTATGTGAAATAAGCGTTGTAAATTCTAAAACCTATTTTGTGAAACTGTATTAAAGTCATAATTTATACTTGCTCTTGTGTCTAATCCCTTGCGATGTAATATCTTATTTCCATTTGTTTTCCCAAGTATTGTTTTGATAAACACATTCCTGCAGATTAATTCAATTTCTAACTCGAACGGCATTACAAATCAATAGTGTGCATTATGTTCATCTGAAAACTGATGATTGTGATATATAATATGAAATGTGTATTATATTTACATGAATAATTAATCCTCATTATCAGGAATCAATCAAATTCAGCGTAGATAAGTATCAAAATAATATCTCAATACAACCTAGATTAGAGCGGCTAAACTATATAAATCGGGGCCCATGGACATAAGTTGGTTAGGGCCCATTTTCTGGATAATCATTTTTAGCATTAAACTCGCCTGCATTTTGAGACTTTTTTGTTAGTCAATTAAATGTCTGTTAATGGAAGATTTAAAGATTTTCCGTCCAGTTAATGCTATTTCACTCATTTATATATATTTTTATTTTCTTATTTTTTATCTGGTGATCTGTGGTCTTGGTTCAATCAATCCCTATGCTAGTTGAGCCACTGGTTTTACAGTCTCCGTATGAGCACAGAGACACCAGCCTACTTTGTCCTTCATTTTCATTTTGAAAGATACAGGATTACTCCTTGTTTTGTTTTGGCTCGTAAATTGCGATTTTGATTGGTTCACATTGATTCTCTCCTATGATAGCTTTCATTTACACCATTCCTAGTCAATTTCTAGCTCGACTGTGGTTTCTGTAATTTAAGGTATTTTTGCTCAGGTAATGCAGTCTATATCACAAATATGATATAAGTGTCATCGCTACATACGGAGATAAAAACATGTACGAACGATCAGAACCGTAAACTCGAACTCAAAACCAAAATAACATCATGGCAAACTTAGGTAGCAGAAAATGAACTATTCATACAAGGAAATGCTGAAACGCTGTTAGGATAACTCAACTTATTTATTCTTTTTAAGACAAGAGGTTTCTATAACATACTTATGCCAATTGATGTACAAGTATAGCAGAACAGAGTAGTACAATCACCGATCTGGACAATGTTACACCTGAATTACCGCCCTTTGGTTTATTCGCAGAATCTACTGCTGCCTGCGAAGTTTCTGTTCCCTCTATTACTTCTTTAGGTTCAGATTGTGGTTGACTAGTTGTTTGTTGCCTGATCAGTCTTGAATTGGCAACTTCTTCTGCTGGAAGTGGAGGAACTCCTGGAGGTAACCCATTTGGAAAACACTCATCTGGTAACATCCGATATTGCAGGTGGGAATACGCCTTGGAAACATATTCTCCACAGATAGAAAATGCTTCTTTCAAACATGTAGCTCTTTCGATGGAGGCACTGAAATATATATCACCTGTAACATTGAATTTCTATGAGCTGTGAGATTATTGTTTTGTCTAATGTCCACAATTTGTGGGTTTTTCGTTTTTCATTTTGAAGAGATTTTCCCCACAAGTGATCCTAGTTTGTTGAAGTTCTCCAACTTTACCAACTTGACGTTACTTTAATAACAATCGTTAGATTCTTATATTTTACCAATAGCAAATTTGAACTTAAGTTAATATTTACATGCGGATAATTAAAATGTAACTTACTTGCACGCTAGTTTTTGTATATTCACATTACTTTTATCATTGTCCCATTCCACTCTAGAGTTGATGATCTTTCGCCCATAGAAACTCTCACAATTTTGTAACTGTCTATCTACGCTATTGTAACACTTGGTATCCAGGCTTGATGTAAATTCTAAAGTTACAAAAAATAAGATTTAAAGACTGAGTGAAACTAAATTAGTCTAAATCACCGAGAATTTAAACATAACAACGTTAACGATGTAGAAATCGTCGTACATAGACATTATTAAATATTATGAACGCGCACATAAAACCTCTACCAGATCCTATACAGAAAATACTTGATTCAATCAACCAAAAACAAGAGAATCCGAAGTTACTAGAACTTAGAATAAGTAAATTTTCACAACAACAAATTAAGAAAGTTGAAATTCTCATTAATGGGACACATGCGCCATCTAGGGTTGGTTTGAGTCTTCGCACCTGTCCCATTTATTGAAGAAGCAAATCCTTTTTTAAAGTGATACTATGTATTAGAATGAACATACATTTAAGAATTTTAAACTTGGCGAATAAGATCCTTATTTTATCCGATAAATCCAAAAAACTTAGTAATTATCCATAAATATGCAATTAACTATTGAAAAACGCTTAATATCAAGATTAAGCGTTTTTCAATAATTACTTAGTTTCATGAAATTTCCAATTTTCCAGATTTTACAGGGATTCTGTTGTAACTTTATGACATCAAGTAAGCTAACTGATGAATATATACTCATATTGACCATTTCGAGAACTTAAATTTATGTTCATTCTAAGACGTAGTATCACTTTAAGGTATGTCACTTGATTTCCGAGATATGGTTTTGTTTGATGTTGTCTAATGCTTTTAGAGCATCTGTCAGGTTGAAGTCGACCTGTTGGAAGTATAAATTTGTGCTATACAGATTGATGCCCTATTTGTCTGGCAAAACCCATCAACTTCCTTAAGTGGCATTTAGTAAGTGAAGAAAATCAGTACTTGATAAGGACAAGGGCATCATCGAAACGTCACAAGTTATATATTAAAGTAATAATTGTATCCAAATAAGACGTACAAAAAACACGAAATCCAACTTACCACTTATTGTTTTACAGAATTGTTGGTTGGAAATGATAGAATTTCTTAAACTAAAAACAGATTTCTGCCAAATATCCAGAAAAGCTGTTGCAGAAGGAAATTCCCTTTCATAACAAAGAAAGCGTTGTCGATACATTCTGCAAATAAAATTTATAAAAATTTTAACGATGATTAAGATAAGTTTTTTCCGTTTTCACAAATGTTATACGACTTGATGAAATAATCATAAAAAAGTCATCAAAATGTGTTGTCCAATGAATTCTGATCGGAAAACATAGACGATACATTTAGGTATTTGGTATGCGTCATTGATCATGAATGATACTTGAATGATTTGGCATTGTCGAACCAATAAATGTCAAAAGGTATGTAGGAATGAAGCAGACACAGCTATAAATGTCCCAGATACACATACAATTTTCAAAAAACATCTTCATAGTCCCTCAGATCCATACATTGATTCCAACGAAAAATATAGTTTATTGCCGTTTATATTAGTATCAGTAGCTGTCTTACTTGCAGTCTTGCTGAAGTACAGAAACAATGATAGCTTGTGAAATATTACCAGTAGGTACGATTGGTCTGTCAGCATCACCTTCCATAAAAGACATAGCTTCAATACCGCATTTTATTACAACCGTGGGTTCGGGCTGTGATGGAAGTGGTCTACAAGAATATAACATGTATTTTGACTCCTTATTTCACATGATAATACCACGGAAATTATATTTCAAGAAGATCGATATTATTTTTTACGTCATCATACCGACAAATTGTGTTGTTACCTAGAATTTCACATTGTGCAAAATTCAAATAACTTATCAATGAACTCTTTGCATTTAGTAAAATTCTTATTTTCATTGGAAATATTTTAAAAAAAAGTCGGGGTTGCACGTAAGAAACCTCGAGCATGCTAGCGGTGGTCAGTACGGTCCCTCCAGTTGAAAAGACTCAGAAGAAAAGGTACTGATATACTATGTCAGTTCGTGTCCTGAGCCAAACATTTTCTCTAGATTTACATTACAGTAGTTCAAAACATCAGACTGTTACACGCCATCAGAAATTACAACACCATTTTCACAACTAAACCATTCAAATGACTTGAGATAACCTGTCCTAAAATTGTCGATTTAGCATAAGAGTAATAGTAACACATTACCTCATTGGTTCTACTGGAATGCTAGTATTATACAGACAATCAGTATTAGTAAATAGTCCATAATAACCATTTAAAAACATACTGACATCTGCGTCACAGGACTGCAACCGTGCTGCTATACATCTACTTGTTTCTCTAGTGATACTAAAATTATAGAGATTATATTAATATTATAATTGTATGTCCATTCTAAGAATTATTATTCCTTTAAGACAGAAAGTAAAATATTATTGACATATTGGTGTCACACGCAGCATCACCACCCGCTCTCCATTGTACGGTGGGTGAACGTAGATCCCAATGACTTGATGGAGCTGGTTTATTTTAAGTACTATTTCAGCTACGATATCGAAATTGTGGTAAATACAATTTCTACTATATGGTCCACTTGGAAAACCAAGCAACAAGAGAGCTAACCTCATCGGAAGCGTTCTAAAAGAGTATGTTTTAAATCATTAATAACCAATACTTACTCACAGGTCATGTCCTTCAAAATCTCTTCAGTAATATCAGTCATATTTCTTACAAAGGATAAATAATCTACTGACTGCTTAAACCTCATAGAACATTCCATGATATCATCGTTAGACACATTATCAGTACATTCCAGCTTCTTTCTATTATCTATGGACGTAACAATGAAAATACAAAAAGTTTACAGGGTGCGTATGAACTCATTAGCGAAATTGTATTAAATACAGTATTTCGATTCAACTTCAACCTTTGACAGGTACAGCCTACAAAATATACCAATATTCTAAATAAAAAATGGCAATGGGAACATAAAAGACATGGTATGCGTCAACCCGCGAGATATTACCAATTATTGCATATGTAGCATAACATTGCATATATAACTCTTGGTATTAATAACAGATCGAAACCTTTACATACTATTATGACAACTGACCTGGTTTTGAAGCACATAACTGTTCACTATTTTCTCTCATCTTCTGTGTATTATAATTCAGACTTACAAAGAAATCTAGTGGATTTTGCGTTTCAGTTTGAGGCAATTCTTTCTCTAAACAATTCAAAATGAACTCGGCATTGCTGCAAAATATATCAAAACATTTGCTGGAAATTAATGGTAATTAAATATGCCTCCTTTAATCCTGTCTCCAATCCACAACGATTCAGAACATCCTTTCGACTGCTGATACTGCAGCCAGTTCCTACTTTGGCTAATAAGCAGCACATCGTAACTGTCATCCATTGCAATATCTCACCGCCACTGTGTTTAGTCCGAATATGTTTTACGGTTGATAAGATTCTCCCAGTTAGAGAGGTGTGAGCAGTGGTTGAAAATTCAGTTGGGTAGAGATAATTCCACTTACCTACACCAGTGTTCAGATATCAAAATCAAATTACGCAGGCTATCTAGCGCTGCTTTGCTTTCGTCAACACGGAGACATTTAATCCAAGATGGCGTCTGTGGTAATGGTGGCTCTTGGTTAACAGTGGTTGGAAATTTTGTTGTACTTAAACAATTCAAACTAAGAAGGATTTGTAGAAATAAAATACCTAAGATGTGTATAAAATGATCATTTATTATTTTAAAAACATTATTAAATGAACAAAGACAAATACATCCTAACTTTTAACCTTCAATTTAAGTTCGTTAATTGATATGTATTTGCCGATGCGAAAATAATTAGAATTGCTGTTATATAGAAACAATGTATGCCCTTGCCGCTGCTGAGTTAATCTAATTAAAATGCATATTCATGTGCTCCTTTTTGTCTGTGGGTGACTTCAATCTTATCTAGAGAAACATCTTAAAAGTTGAAATAAATTACAAAAAAAATGAAGAAAGATCACATCTTACCAAGAATCAGTGAAAGTTTATCCATGTTTATCAACAATTTTAAATCTTACATACAGTAAAAAAAATGTTCTTGTTATATTCACATGGTCAAAACATAACCAAAAGTCATAAGACCCTGCGCCATTAAAACATAAGGTATAAAAAAGGTTGAACAATTGTCACTGTGGGTTTTGTTTCAATAAGGTGGCGTCTTGAATACTAATGACACCACACTTACTTTATTTCATCCAAATTTAGCATTTAGCAAACCTTCTTGAGTTTCATTAAAAACTTGATCATCGACAAACGAGAAAGAAAACAAATAGAAGTGTTGATATTATCTAAGTTAATTCTCACACTTGAAATGTCGTTCCTTTGGATAAGTATATCTTGCTAGCACCCACCCAGACTATTTGACTTAAAGCGATGTTAATGTAATACATGGTATCTTTTTAAAATAACCTTTTCAGTGTTACCAATCTAAATCTTTCGTATTGTACTTCTGTTTTATTGACTTTTCGATGTCACCAATCTAAATCTTTCGCTAGTGTCTTCCGTATTGCAGACTTACCAATCTAAATATTTCACTAGTGTCTTCCGTCTAGTAGACTTACCAATCCAAATATTTCACTAGTGTCTTCCGTCTAGTAGACTTACCAATCCAAATATTTCACTAGTGTCTTCCGTCTAGTAGACTTACCAATCCAAATATTTCACTAGTGTCTTCCGTATTGCAGATTTACCAATCTAAATATTTCATTAATGTCTTTCGTCTAGTAGACTTACCAATCTAAATATTTCACTAGTGTCTTCCGTCTAGTAGACTTACCAATCCAAATATTTCACTAGTGTCTTCCGTCTAGTAGACTTACCAATCCAAATATTTCACTAGTGTCTTCCGTATTGCAGATTTACCAATCTAAATATTTCATTAATGTCTTTCGTCTAGTAGACTTACCAATCCAAATATTTCACTAGTGTCTTCCGTATAGTAGACTTACCAATCCAAATATTTCACCAGTGTCTTCCGTATTGCAGACTTACCAATCCAAATATTTCACTAGTGTCTTTCGTATTGTAGACTTACCCATCTAAATATTTCATTAGTGTCTTCAGTATAGTAGACTTACCAATCCAAATATTTCACTGGTGTCTTCCGTATTGTAGACTTACCAATCCAAATATTTCACTAGTGTCTTCCTTATAGTAGACTTACCAATCCAAATGTTTCAATAGTGTCTTCCGTATTGTAGACTTACCATTCCAAATATTTCACTAGTGTCTTCCGTATTGTACTTCTGTTTTATTGAATTTTCAATGTCACCAATCTAAATCTTTCACTAGTGTCTGTCATATTATACTTATGATTTATTGAATTTTTGATAATACCAATCTAAATCTTTCACTTGTGTCTTCCGTATTGTACTTCTGTTTTATTGAATTTTCAATGTCACCAATCTAAATCTTTCACTTGTGTCTTCCGTATTGTACTTCTGTTTTATTGAATTTTCAATGTCACCAATCTAAATCTTTCACTTGTGTCTTCCGTATTGTACTTCTGTTTTATTGAATTTTCAATGTCACCAATCTAAATCTTTCACTAGTGTCTGTCATATTATACTTATGATTTATTGAATTTTCAATTAAACCAATCTAAATCTTTCACTGGTGTCTGTCATATAATACTTATTATTTATTGAATTTTCAATAATACCAATCCAAATCTTTCACTGGTGTCTGCAATATTGTACTAATGTTTTATGGAGTTTTCGGTTATACCAGTCCAAATATTTTACTTGTGTCTGCCATATTGTACTTAAATGTTGAGTTTTCAATGTTACCAATCCAAATCTTTCACTAGAGCCTGCCATAAATTTTTTGAACAAAACAAGTCTTTTACTAGTGTCTTCCAGTTTGTACTTAATATTTATTCTGTTTCACGTTTTCAACATGACAAATCTTAAATTTTCACTAGTGTCTATCATAATGTTTTTTACTTATTTAGTGTCTATCATAATTGTATTTCAGTTTAATTCAGTTCTAAATTTTCAATGTTATCATTCCCAATTTTACTCTTGTCATTTTGTAGGCTACTCTAGTTTTATTCAGTTTTTAATATTTGTGTCTGTCATACTGTTTCTTTGTTTTATTCAGTTTTCAATGGGACAAATCCCAATTTACAAGAAACTCATCTACTTATAGAGTGCGTTATATTTTAAAAGTATATATTTATTTATGTATTATTTATTCATTTATGTCCAGTGCACTGCATACACTAAAGATAGCAGCTCACAGCTATGATATATTAAGATGAGAGCACATTCAATCCAGTGAATATATGAATCTTTGTTTAATTAAACCCGAATTGTCTACAAGTAAAGAAAGTCGTCTATTTGTTAGCCTACTGACATTATACCTTTAGAAATTTCAAATTGGGACAAATAAAACACAATGATCAAATTTCAGCCAATTTCAAAGGAAATATTGTAATGATATAGTTGTCTGGTTATTTCGGCTGTTTGTATCACTAGTCCAGAGTAATAAACCGAAATTCAATTCGTCTACAACGCAGGTTTTCAACTTCATATACAGTGGGGACATTTGCACTATTCTTTGCATACATTTGATGTCATAGACTATGAAAAAAAAATTCAATTACAATACGTGTATATACAACATCTTATATAACTACACTAAACACGGCTTTGGCTAACATTGACCTAGAGCACCCGGAGAATTATTTGAAGCATTTTGTACTCCATACCGTACCTGATATCCAATCCTAGATTCACTTTCGATATCTTAGGCATGCAGAAACTTCTGATGATGCTATATTGGTAACTTCCGCTGAGAAGTCTCCCAAATGCACAGGTCTGCGATGCAACAGAGATGGTCTGATTAGGTTTTTTTCTGTTAAAACTTTAAAGTTATACAATTATAATGGTGAATGTATAACGCGTTATAAGGGAAGGGTCGAATGTTCAACCTAACCTATCAACGTAACTAACATGTGATGTGTATTTACAAGTTTACTAAATAGGTGTGCACCATAAATTGACTTTTAACGTAGACCTATTTACCCCAAAGTTTTACAAATTGACTACAAGCAATTGCAAACACATTTTCAATTAACGTTGCTCTTGTTTGGTGGCATACATATCACTGTGTCGGCCGGTGCACTATTTAAAACGAACAGTTTCTCAGGGTATATTAATAAATTATGAGTTTCTTGCCTCTCGTGGAGACATTTAGTATAAATGAGGTTAATTAGATCCTTGAGCAACATTATATTAGTTTACTTAAGCAGGCAACCGGGTCGCTTCAGTCAGAACTGAAAGTTAACAAAAAAATGATGAAATGACAAAATGAAATGAAATGTATCAAGGAGCATCAAAAAAAAAAAAAAAAATGATGTATTGCTAATATTATAGACAAATTATTTTTGCATTTCTTTAGTTCCTATTTTTAAAATTTTAAAATGGTTATTTTGTCGAAATAGTGTTTTAAACATCTATCAGCACTCGGCAATAAATAGTAACATCAACAATATATTATGCACCATTCACTGCTTTCCAGTAAGTCGGTTGATATTAATACTACACCCTGTAAGAAACAATCTCGTCAGTTGAATCTGTCTATAAATATCTCGATACTTTTTTAAAAAGAAAAATAAACAGGAATGGCTTTGAAACCATTCCATGGAAAGTGTTAACTGTAAGCCATTCTATATGTATAAATAAATTTATTTACAATAATGAAACAGAGACATGATATAATACATATAAAAACAACATACATCATACATGAAATACATTATACACAATAAAAAGCGCAGTAAATGTCTTGTCATGATGTGCTATATGAGTAATCTCCCGTAAGGTTTCTAAAATGTGGTAATAATCAAAGGGAAGTAATTCATGAGAGATTCAAACACAGTTTAATTGTGCATATAGGATAATATAAGGTTTTTACAAATAACAAATGCATTTTCGTGGCATCTTGTTTTATCATAACCATATACACACATATTAAGTAATTGTAAGAAAAAGAAATTCTGTTTACAGTATTACATTACAGTATTGTTACATTCACAGTATGATATAATATTGTTTTGTGAAATAAAAATTCAAGGTTTTTGCACTTAAAGCTTGTTACTACACTAACATTGGCGGTGGCAAAAGGGTGTACGAATACCCGGCAACTCTGTAATTGAATTTAGTTGTTGCATTCTGACACATATTTTGGGAAAAAACGTTAAACAATCATATGTACAAATTTATTAAAAATATAGTAGGGGTACAATTGGAGGTGCAAACCATTTTTCTGAGTCCTATATAGTATATGTACTATATCCAATTTATTACCAAGCAATTTTACGTCGTACTTAATTTTTTAAAGGGTTCATTCATAGCGTGTAGTGCCAAAGTTAAAATGATTGGATTGGATTTTACAAAAATAATGTAAATCATGCGTTATATGGGTCATAAAGAGAACGGTCATAAGGGAAAGAAAGTTGCACTGGTACAAAACGCTGTCTTGCTGATACGAAATTTAAGATGACCCAATTAGCACTGATAGTCTTTGACTCAGAGTTAAACTCTTTTTCAAACACTCAAAATAATTTTCATCCTGTACATTTGGAAGGAATCTTCAAAGATCAAAATGTTCAGCAAATGAGGATATGATTGCACTTACGTCCAGCCAAACATGAGATGATGCCGTCACGGTTATAACCATTTTGAGATTATCAAGAAGATAGGCAAGGTGAATAATAGATTTGAAATACTAGTAATTTCCCCGGATCCATACATATGAGTATATCTGGAGTAAGTACCAGTATAGTCTCGACAGGTTGGTGGAACTCCGGCGTAGAAAAAACTTTGCATGATCTCACCAGCTTGGGCATCACAAAAACTGTATACTTGTGTTTCACATTGATATCTTTGAACAGATACACTGAAAATGAATAATTCCAATACAACGAATTAGACGCTTGAGAACCCTTATATGGAAAACTTTTGCGGATAATCGAAAAATATAAGATACTGGGGTAAGTTGATTGTATCACAGGCATTATCAAGACTCCAACTAACTGAATTTACGCCGAATGACTATTCTTTAAAAATCTAATGTTTTGTAGTTAGATCAGCTCGCGTCTCTTTCAGGTCTAAATCCATCGACTCTCAAGCTGTTATGTCTATATCCACGAGAACATGTCCGCTGGACGTCCTCTGATTTAATTTGTATGGTAGATTGCAAGATGTTGTCAACCACTGAAATATCTGATGCGAACCTGTCAATATATTGTCATTATTTTCTGTTGGTATTGGCTGTTTTTGTACTCATGAGTGCCAAGATATTAATAACTCGGTCACGTACAATGAAGCTTTTAGTTTATGTTTTTCGCAGGGATAGAGTCATCATATTATTAGCTTTCACAGTTGACAGAGCTCAAATTTATAACTAGATCTTACCAGAGGAATCGACGACAGACTGTATTACAAGACAAATATTAACGTTGCCTTATTCAGAAAGTTTCCCTGGGGCGATTATGAGCTTGTAGCGACGTTAACTTCAACGGTAATAGCATACTTACTTGCAGGCCAGGTTTCTCAAGCCATATTCGTCCAATCTAGATTGACTCTGTAAATTAACAACTTGTGTAACACCTTGGTTAAATATATCATAACATCTTCTAACTTCTGGTGTACTTAATAAACATCGTATTCTTGTTGCTAAAACTACAATTACACAGAGTAGTATATAATAAGTGACTATAAAAAGCATCTTAAAATGAAAAAAGATAGCTTGCCAGGCAAGGTAACATATGCCCACTGGCAGGTGTCAGAAATGATAAAACAGTTTTAAGTGACTAAAGTCCATTTTTCTCATATTAAAGAAATTTTATTAGTTTGAATTCAGTGCCAGTTATTTATGCTGAGTAATTCCAAAAAAAATTTTAAAATCACTATCAATAACCCAAATACATAAAAATTATTAAATCACACAGCTCTAATATCAAGAACTTGACCAAGATCTCATCAATATAAATAAAAAGGCGTAAAACTCCATTCATTACATTTAATTCATCAATATAAATCATCACACTACATTTCATAAAAATCACAAGAACTCCGTAGTATCTATTGTGTTCATGAACAAATTTTAAAACATTCAAGTCAAGGGCTATAACTCAAAAACCGTTCATCGAAAAATCATCAAGTTCAAACTTGTCCAAGACCTCATCAATATTGTGATCACACCAAATGTCATTAAAAATCAGTTGAAAACTGTTGTCTCTCTTGTGTTCGCAAACAAATTTTGATGCGTTTATCCTAAGTCAAGGGCAACTTAAAAACCGTTGATCGAAAAATCGTAAACTTGTCTCATCAATATACATTATCACTTCAAGTTTCATTAAAATCAGATAAAAACTGTAGTCTTTATTGTGTTCACAAGAAATGTTGTCGGACCGATGGACAGGGGCAACGGCAATATATGTCCACATTTCCATGTGAGCGTATAAAAACAAACGGTTTTTGCGATGTAGTCGCATAGTAATGATCTGGACCGCAGCTCCGTATACATAATTTAAATAATGTCCCAATATTTTATGCTTGTGACACCCTTGTCCAATTCATCAATTGTGTTCGTCACTATTGCTTTGAATCGATAGTCCTTGGTCCGGCTTGAGACAATGTGTATTTTATAATTGTCATGAGCTAGGGCATGAATTCCTGTAAAGTGCACTGTTTCATACGACCAAACTAGTTTTGCATGTCAGTCCTTTTGATTATCCTAAATTACATGTTGGAATATCAGAGCCTGTCAGAAACATCAACTACAGTTAAGAGTGTTTGCTGTTCAAACACCAACATTAAAAACAAATCAGATTTCTAAGAAAATACTTAGATATATTCGAGCAAAGTAATATGTGCTCATCAAGATCCAATTCATTTTTTTAATTTTTTGGTAAAATAAATATTAATTAAAACTACACAGGTACACTAAGGTGTACTGCTCCTGTTTGAAGATCCGGGTACGCGAAAATATCTTTGCTTGACCACGCGATTTGTTTTCTGACCATAACTCACAAGAGTCATCATCTGAATTTTGTGAAATTCTATTAATAGATAAAGTAGAGCACCCGGAATAACATATATCTCAATCAGTTTATCGTCTATGTTTGGTACGGATTAGGCTTCTTAAAACAATTCCAAATATTTGTCGAATGTAGACTAATCTGAAAATGTTCTTAATGACATCTTAATATGACCCCGGAGTCAAATGTCAAATTGTAATCTTAACCACGTAGCTCTTACCACAAGCACGATAAATAAACACATATGGGTATAAACAATGCGGAAAACTCGACAAATCTGTGTACATCGCTCCTTTAAACAATGTTAATTAAGTCTAGTGCGAATAAATATTATTAAACTGACACTCTATAGAAGCAATAAATACTTAATGGTTAGATAGACTCGAATTCACGTCCCCCTTTTAAAGTTCACCAACTTTTAACTTTTGGTATCTTTTGGACCATGTTATGAAATTTATCAGTTGACTACAACTTTTAGCGTACTCATTGTACATGCAGTAATAAAGTATGGTAAACAGGATCATACAGATTATGGTGCCAAAGAAAAACATGTATCACACACATTGCTTCCATTGATTACCCGCAAGTGTTTTATTGCAAATTGGTCACCTTATCTCTTTTTCAGAACTTACATCAATGAGATCACTTACCATTAAGGTCACTACAGAGACCTCTGTAGGCTGTCCACATAGCTCTGTAATCAAACATTAATGTCAGGAATCTATCTGTCGAATCTATGGAACCAGGCAATCTGCTTTGGAAACATCGAATATAGCTGTCAAAATTTCTGAAAAGGAAAATACAGTAAGTGGCATCATAATTGGATTTGGAAGGGGGGCTTGGAGTCATCAACACGTACTGTTCAAGGGCAGATAATTCATTTAGAAATTGAAAAGAAGTTTTCTGGGTTAATTAAATGGGCGAAAACATTTGTAGCCAAATTATGTATTTTATTTACTTCTTAGTATCAATTCCTACCAATGTTTCGCCAATATGTTGTTTTGGATTTCGGGTTGCAGGTTCGGATCGTTAGTACTTGGTTTATTTATCCATCTATATATTTAATTATCATAAGGTCTATAATTATGAAGTTATATGCATATGGTTTTTATAAAATCATATTATAATAATTTTTATAATTGTATTGTATTAGTTATTAATTATATTTTTTGTTATAACAGAGTAATAACTCATTGATTTGACAACCATGCATATAATACTCCTTTCGCACTGCAAAGGTAATTCAGTTCTATCCAGTTCCATTCCAATAACTTTAAGTTGCTTTTGCATTAGCAAATAAACTAATTCGATTATAACCAGATAAAAAAATCTACCTCCGATGGTGGATTTCGTCTGGATACGATCCAGATAATTGACAGTGCAAAACCAAACAAAAGGTTATCCGGATAAATAATCGAATATGTATTGGAAGAGGAAACTGAAAATTATATTGTTATTATGATCATATTTATTTTATTGATTAGCAATGTAGTTCAATTCCGGAAGTTCGAATGTGGCTATCCAGATAAATTTGTAGTGCGAAAGCAAATTGACTCGAATCGAATCGAATTGAATTGGATTTTTCTATTCAGTTATAACCGAATTCAATAATCCAGTTGTGCAGTGCGAAACGCGTATAACTGACGGGCTAAAGGTTTTGTGTGATTGCCCATTAACATGTGTTTTGCGGTAATTCTGTACTGGAAACTGTAATTGAGAGTCAATAGGAGTTGCAAACGCTAACTCGTGTGCTTTCGGTAAACAAATATTTTTGTTTAACTAACTAAGAAGGGGTAACAGGGTTTTTTGAAGAGGGGTGTCGATTTTCTATCCAAGACAATTGTTGAGTGACGTCAAATGAACAATTAAACTCTTAGCTTAGGTCAAAACTCACATCCCGCACATCGGAAGCGGACAGATGAGTTATTGGCTCCGTGCTGTTCCAGAAGAATTATAATTTACTGTTTCATATAGTATAAATCAAAATCGACTCCAGATACATTATTAAAGAGATCATCACATTTCGGCTTTTACAATAGACACGCTGATACAGGTTGGAATAATTTTTTGTAGAATTTGGAATTTAACACATTGATTTGAAGAGTCCTTGATCAAAGACTAGGAGATTATCAAGACTTCATCTCCAATCAGACGGTATTATTGAAGCCGTAAACAACAAGTTAAAACCAAATAAAGAGAGACTCTATTAGGTGCATTATAGATTTTGGCAACAAGTTAGACAAACATTCATAACTCCATGAATTCTCGAAACGGTATTTTTGTAGTCGGGGTTTTGGTGTTTTTGTTGTCTATTTCTAGAAAAAAACAATCAAGTGCCGAAAACACTAAGAGTTGTAAAGTAATTCCCTGATTCCACTCTAAAGATTTGATTTTTTGACTCGACATCCTTTTCTAAAAGAACACAAAAATAAGTCTATCCATAGGTACAGTAAAAGAATGCCCAAAGTGCGTGTGTGCTCTTTGAATGAATCTACTTGAAACGGGATGAATATGACAAGAGATTTGAACAGTCCGTGTTCAAATGGACTTCCAGTCAGTAAGCCATTGCACTAATCAGTCTTGAAAAAACTTTAGTGTTTGCACGAGGACAGCTGTAGTGTCTTACGTCAAATATAACCTTATTATTATGGTATTATTATATATTATTACATTATTGGTTGTAATATTATTGTCAAGTAAAGTAGTCAAAGGAATGCTTCGTAAACATCTGATTTTATACCCCATAATTTTGGTCCACATTCTATTAGATGTTCGTGGCTCGTTTCTTGTATAAGCCTTAAACTGAGGACTTCCACTCTTCTCAATCAGTAGAACGATAAATTCCATTTTATTCAGCTACGACAAACCAAATAAGCAATTGGAGAATAACTGTCCTCTCGACATGTAGTTTCAAAAGTCAAAGGTCAAAGTTTAATTTAAGTGAGGTACTTACGAACAAATTGATCTAAAAGCATTAAGAGTTGTGGTTTCAGGAGATTGCTGTATAGCTAACTGTCGTGTATTACCAGCATTATTTCTGATCTGTTCTGTTAGACATTGCTGTGCTACTGACTGACAATCTACTTGGTAAAATACACAGCACACTGAAAATAGAAGAGAATAAGATGTTTACTCTTTCCAAAACACCTGATGGTACTTCTCTCTGGAAGAGTCCGCAACTATACTACCTTTACTCCCGATTTTGCCATTCTTTGGACGAGAGTTTTGATTGACGGAATTGTCTTGCTTGTACGGTTTTTTATTATATGAGCAATGGTTTTGAAAAGAGAGTAGTACCTATTCTTTGCCAATGCATTGATAGCATAAGGCATATGTATACCACTAATCCACTATAGCACTACAGATTGAAACGAACTTTAATAAGCGTTCAGCATAATACATAAATAGATTATATATCACCTATCAGTTAAAGGTTCACATTGATTCAGATTTCAAATATCATTTCCTATCTTCTGACCGAGCTTTCCTTTTCCTTTTAACATTTAAACATACGGTGTATCTATGCCACTACTGATTTGAATCAAGTTAGGCAAGGAATCAAGCACAACATAGATACACTACATATCATTTAACAGATGTGGTAGATTTTAAACAGCACTTGAAGTGCACATTTGAGTCAGATTTCAAATATCCTTTTCCTATCTTCCGAGGGGCTTTTTTTTCCTTTTGAACAGAAATGATTATACCTATCATTTAACGGGTGTGATAAATTTTGAACAGCACATTGATTCATATTTCAACAATCTATTTCAGAATGGTGACAAATAAATACCAGATACAAAAATGTATACGCGGAAGAGGTAAATTTAAAAGGTTAATTTATTTAGTATAGCTATGTTACAATATGAATCAGATAGGTTTAACAGGGAAACATATTCACTTTGTGAATCCTCTATTAGTCCCCAACAATGATGACAAATATCGACCATTTATGATGATGTTGAAAAAATAAATTGAATCTCCAAAAGTAATGACAAATAATATTTCATTGATTTTTCTTTTTAATCTTTCAGTAAAATGGCTCATATTTGGACTAAAAACTAACAATTCCAAACATTCATTGGTGCATTGAAAGTAGAGTAAAAACCTCAATAATAAAACCAGACAATGTAACCCTTGTTAATCATAAATTCCTCAAGAAATATCTAAAAAAGATCTGGCACAAAAAAAACTTAATAAAATATACAAACTCACGTTTTGTAAAAAAATTACAGTAATCAGTGTGACATATCTTAAAAAAATTTAATTTTATAATCTTAATTAAGCTTTTCCCAGTTGAAAAGTCTTCCGAAAGTTGATGAAAACAGAAGTCACATAAAACTTCTTGGTCTTGAAAACAAAAGATTCCATGGAGGGAAAAAATATTTTTTTAAATTCTGGACTGAATTCCTTAAGTATTTTTGAGCGTGTACTGGCGTAATCTGAGCTTAAGGCATTTAACCAACGTAATGCAATAAGTTGTAAAGAATAAGTTTGTTCGTTGTATTAAACGATGTTTTTCAACAACAACTCGCTGTTTGTTTGTTTATCAAGGTTTATATTTGTTTGCCTTGACATGTTGTCTTATTGCATGTATTTTATAGTTTTTGTTTATAATAAACCTTTGCATAATATGTTGAGGATAAGTTACATACTAGGTTTTCTAAAACCAATGATTCTTACGTTATTGGGAGATTGTTTGTTAACTGAATACGATCAAACTGTAGCTCAATTGGGGATGTATTGGTTGTGGGATATTATTTATCGTGAAAAATATAAGCCTTTCCATATTATTCCATTCAACCCATCTATAGATGGGTACAATTATTCGGGAAATGCCAAGGAGGTTTCATAGGTTTAAACTTTAAACCCCTTGGGATTTACCTATGTCAAGAGATTTGGCCACAGATTCGCTAGTATTCAAGACTAGAGACTCGAAAGTGTTATGTTTTGTGTTTGGTTACTGGACAGTACTGTCGGTGATACCCATTATTCAGCAAGACAAGGCAAGTAAGGCACCAATAATCATTCCACAATGTTTGAAATAAAACACTTCAATAAACACTTCACTTGAAAAACAGCCAAAGAACCCAAACCTCCAAGTTAGAGAGCGAGCCAGTTATCAACAATGGTCTCTGAATGACAACAACTTCTGTAATATATTATGAAGATAATTCTGTCTCCGGTTGTCATCTATTGACGTGAGACAACAAGAGAGAAAGTGTCAGATAATACAAAATTTCTCTCTAAACTATTATTGACTGTATTGACTCGTATCTTAGTTCTGCTACATTGTCAAAATTGACTCTATTTTAAAATAAACATTTTCTAACCGACTAAGGAAACGTTTAGACACGATAAGCTAAGACTAGTTGTTAGTTGTCTTTTTTATGATGATGAAATAAACGTTCTGTTACACGGCTCAGGTTGAATTAGCATCTAATTTTGATAACGTGGTAAGTGTATGGTTGGGCAAATTCTGATCATAAAGAAACGGTTAACATGCACAGTTGCTAGCACACAGTTTGTGTTGAAAACTCATGTCCATGGATAAATAGATGAAACACAATGTGGCAGATAAGATTCGCCCCCAACCTCTGTACTTTGAGAAGAATACATGCGCTTGTACTGATATCATATGTCATCTTATTGGCTATTTTCAGCAAAATCTGAAATTCTGAGTTTTAAGTGTATGGTACATGCTACGGATTAATTCTACAAATGTTGCGTACCAAAACATCGTTTGTATGAAAAAAAAATCATTTAACAAACATTCAAATATTACTTTTTTAAAATTTGCTTTGTTTGTCCACAAAATTCGTGAACAAATAACAGAACTCAGATTTAGTTTATAAATAAAAGGCAATACATAAATACAATGTGTTCTTTTTTCACAAAAAGATGCCCTTTGAAACGGTTGGCGACAAAAGATGAATTTATTTTTATAGTGATATAGTTTTGTTGATTTTGATATAAGTTTTTATTCAGAATTTATGTATTTGTCTGAGGAAGGTCGGGGATATGTTAATAATTCTTTCTTATTCATTATCTTAAAACTTTCAAACGAACGTCAATATCAGAATCACTGGTTACATTTAGAGATCGCATACAAAATCTTGATACTGTGCAATGGGTTGTTGCAGGGTGAAGCTTTTTATCCATATCGTTTCATAATATACATAAACAATATTGTTATGTAATATTTCATTTTTCATGTCTTAAATAATGCGCAAAATCACTGACAAAATGTCATCAAAGCGGTCAGTAAATACCAAAGTGTGCAGTTTTAACATTAAAGATATGAAGACCTTTTACAGGATGTGTCTTATTGTAAAGAGATGGTGTCACACTTACCTATCAAAATAATTAGCCGTAACATTTTGTTGATTTGGATCCTAAAAATGACACAGTTAATCCTCCCTTGAACTTCTCGAGAATGAAGAGGTCACAAATATTCACGAAATTTTAAGCAACTGGCAACAATTGGTTATGAAAACCACAATAATACCGCGATACTATCCCTTCAAGTACAAGTACGTTTCTTCAGAACAAGCTCGAAACCCACACGAGGTGATGTCAATTTTTACCGCGTAGATGCCTATAAACTGACTAAAACAAAATATAAACAATGAATTGAAAAACGTTTCCGTAATGAAACAATACAACACACACCGTGCCTTCAGCGACTTCTCAGTGCGCAGTCGCCAATTCTACATGTCGTACGTTTTATTTCTTGACCCAAGTCAAACTTTAAATCTTTTTCATATTTACATTCGGTCGTTTGTAACGTGATGATTTGTCGGTGTAGTTGATCAAAAACTGTCCAATCTGTTCTGGTTTTTGTCATTCTCAGCGATCTGTTAGTTAACAATCTAATGCTTATACAGATTGCTATTGTTTCATTTCAAAATTTACAGGGAAAAATTTAAGTACTTTTGTCTTCCTACTTTTGGTAATAAATGCTTTCACATAATCCAAACATTTATATCACCCTAGTACAATGATAATAAATTGGTCGTTCTCAGAGACTCGGGCACTATATGACACTCAAAAAAAAATTAAAATTTTGTACTACCTGCTTTCCCGTCCATGATTTTGCTTATGAATATTGGTATCAACGCAATATAGTGAACATGGAGCGAGAGTTTCTAAGGACAGTCGCATATGTCTACTCTTTTGAAATGTGCCAATTCGATGTTGTTAGATTCACTGCCAAAGACTTTATTAACCATGCTACGTCGCCTCCGGGTTATATATTTCTGGAAAGTTTAACTGAACTAATGTGTAAACGAAAAACCAGAAGGAACTACTCAAATTTACATGAATTTTGAAGTTATAGAATGGATTTGATTTTTGTCTATTTAATAGCGAAATAGAAGACACCAGAACACAGATGGTGATTAAAAATAGTTTTTTTCTCGAGAACATAGTAAATAAGTTATACTTTCTTGTGTGTAATTGAATTCTTTGATATAAAATACGTGAGTTATTCGGTAATTAAAAGTAACGCATACTGTGAGTATACAGAAAGTTCAAAGGTACAATCATGTTAAAAATTAAGAGCGTGCATATTTTAAAATTTTTGTAAGAAAATAATGACTAATTAAAGTAGCATTAAATTTAAAAAATGAAACAAAAAAAAAATAAAAAAATAAAAAAAACCTAAAAAAAAATATGACGCGTTCAATTTTGAAATTTTATGTGGATATAATAATTATATCGTCGACCCTATCACTTTGATTCACATGCCGTCTGCTGTAATTCCATAGATTTTTTTGTCAAATACTTAATTACCTTTAGGCAACAGCATTCAGTAGCATTAAACAACATTAAAATGGTACGCTTTTTTATTGTTCAAAAGGCTTCTTCTACCCGAATTTTCATATGAAGTGATGTAGAAACATTTAAAAAGTACTTTGGGTCGTAGATTATCTGTGGGTTGAAAAAAATTCGGATTAATAAGAAAGGGGACATTCAGTTCAAAATGTGGGTCATCTTAAGGATCTACTTAAATTTTTATTCTTTTAATGAAATGACAGGTTATTATTCAACTTGGAGATCATGGTGGTAGCAACAGTAATTTTGTTATGTGTTATTTTGGATAATGTATCATTATTCTGTTCTAATTCGCTGTAGCTCCAATGGTGACATGACTGGAACAAATTAGCAGAAGATAATTCTGCTGGCTAGTATTAATATTTACACGGGCAATGCACTCATGGCAGAATTATTTTGAAATCCTTATTGTGTTATTCGGAAAAAACAAGGCCACAGAATTGATCCTTGCATAATACCATCAATATTTTATAGATTATTAAATAGTTTATTGATACCCTTTCAGAAAATCGTTTTTATTGTTTGTCTTCCAGGTTTTCTATAAGAAGTTTACATAGAAGTATTTTTTCAATAAATAAATTTTCTTGTACTTGTTTTATAAGGAAGTTTGTGGTCATAACAATGATGAACTAGAGGTTTATAAAATGAAACTTTTTAACTTAATTATTTTAAGGTGATGTTTTTGAGAAAAATGCTGTACCTGTAGTCATTGTGAAAAGACAATCCCAATTTTTACATCAGGGAAAAAGTTTCGTTTTTAGTCCTTTGGACTAATTTAGCGTCTTTTAGTTTCTTCCGACTATTTTATATATGAAATACATTGAAGGGAACATACAAATTCATTACACACAAACGGCTCTGAGGTATCTTCAATCTATGAGCTTTAAGCTCTCGAGTCTTAGTCCACATGCAAATATTACTGAATTTGAGCTCCACTTAATATAATTGAGATCGGTGTCACCATCGAGGTAAGTAATACTTCTGGGACACCTAGTAACACTTTTGGTGAGTCCACATAGCTATTATTTGTTACCATGCAATAGAGATTATTATGTATTATAAGATCAATGATACAATGACAATGTTAACCCCAAACACTTTTGACCGCAATAGCCTTTGAGATAACCCCAGTCCACGAGTTCATTAACGAGCTCAAAATATTTGACTTGGCTAGTATGTGATATAAAAACCACGCCTTTAAGTCATCAACATACAAGAATGTTGAGTGAGATTTAGTGAATGATATTTATTAATGACAAGTAAGGGAGTTATCAATGGAAAATGATGAAAATAAGTGTGAAAACTGTATCTGTATTGTTTCAAGAAATTTGCTATTGTTTGGTCGAGTTGACTTTCATAATAGACTGCTAACACTGACATAAGTAACATAAATATATTTATACAACATAGATATGTTAAACGTGAGCAAAACTATATTTCTTCTATTGTTTCATTTCGAAACATCGACCAAATTTCCGTGAATGGCTGACTAGGACTGTGTAGGATGAACTAACAACTCAGGGAGTCCATATTCTTACCATGAATAACTTAGTCTGTGGAAAACCCTACTGTTTTCTATATTTACTGTTTATTTTAATGTTTCCTAAATTACACTCAAATCTGTTTTCGTAACAACTTAACAGAATGTGATTCCTAAAACACATCAAGTTTCCATGTTTTTCTTAGTTTTTGTATGGATTGTGTACTCTTGGCGCAAAATCACGTACCCGAACCCTAAAAGTCATTTGTTTTTTGTTCCTCTTTTAAAAAGACAATTATTGTTGGCAGTTTCCCTATTTTTGGAAGGAAGATTGTTCAAAATAAGTATTGTAATACAACAAAGAAGGTTTGGAATGTTCCGCATACATACAGTGACTCAAGAACAGTTTTTTTATTATGTCAGTAACTAATTTCTTAAAATTTCGTTACTTACGACAGTCTTATTCCATGAAATATGTTTAAAATAATCTGTATTCTTATTGATGAAAAAAAAGGCTTTTGACTTTATAACTTAAAAGCCTTAAGCCTTAAAAGGTGTCTGCAACAATGATCTGTCCAGTTTTCTTTGAAAGATCAAAGCTGTCTAAGGGGAGTTTAGGATGATGACAAATTGTAATGAAACTTCCAATTAATTCTATCGAATGGACCCCGAGGGTAGTAACATGTGAGCTTTTTGTGAAAAAAAGAGAGGGGCTATTTCGGTGACAGACTGATGCACAATTTCTGGTGTTCATCAACTGGAAAATACAATAATCTTTACCAGTTTCAAAGAAATCGGGCGCATATAATATTATCTAAGAGTTGAAAATCATTAAAGGTACGTTTTAATACACTGTATACATTATTCATTAACAACGTTAGCGGGGTCGAACTTCTTCATTTCTTCTTAATCTTCGTCTTCTTGTCTGGACCCCATGACGACCTCCTGTTCTTCGACATCGACTCCATCGTCTAAAAATCGACCTTCCATCACGTCTTGCTGAAATGCAGAATTTCAGGTGGTTAAATCACGTTATTACGAACAAAGCACAAAAGAAGCCTTTCGGCATGAGCTTCCCACTTGGAAGCACAGATTCAGAAAAAAATCGGCTAAAAATAGTTTCATCAATTCCACGACAAAGGGTAAACTTTCTATTGTTGGATTTGGTTGAACAGATATCTGCCATTCTCGTACCAGTTACTACAACACAGTGTTAAAAACATTTTTTTAATATTAGAGTTCTTAGATTCGCTTATTTTCCTGGTAATAATTTATTCCTATTAGCTATATAACCAATAACCGACACGATGTAACAAAGTATTACACAGGGACCAAACTCCTGTGTTAACCAAACTCCTGTGTTAACCAAACTCCTGTGTTAAAGATATCAAAGCACAAAACACACCATGTACACACCCTGTCACAAAAATATTGTATTTTGCTCAAGTAACATCAATACGCGGAAAAGGCGATACTCCATGTCTGGTCCAGATTCTTTAGGTACCAAGCCAGTTTTTCAGAGTCTTCAATGATGGTGTATTATAAATCGTGTACTCACTGCATTTTCTTTGGTCACACTTTCTAGAGTCCACTGCGTTTCCAACACAGTTTCTACCACCATTCTGGGGTATCGGCTGGTTACATGATCTGTATCTATATTGATTTTCCCCTGGTAATTAAATACAATACCTTAGATCAATCCACAATTCTTATTGTCTAGCTGAATACACATGCTATGGAAATTGGTTTATGTTTTAATGGCTAATGACACTCGGTCAGTTTGTTTGAAGGGGACGTTTTAAGGATAGCTGAACTTGAGCTTCATCAGTCGGTAAAATTTAGACGACTTAATCTATTATAAAGATTTTCAAGATTTACCTAAACAATTTTTGGAGCAAGGTGTCCAATCTGTCCATCTTCCGAATTTTCCATCTAATGTACGCCTTGTACCAAACGGTCGAGTTTCTCCAGCTCCCATTGACTGAAATATCCAAAAGATTTTTTTTGGGGAAGTCCGATTATTTCAGTGATGGTTAATGAATGTCTAAAATGGTTAATGGATGTCTAAATAGTCGAGAGTGTACCCGTTAATTTAATTTATTTTGATGTGATATAAAGTTCTCTGTCATAAAGATCTGTACAACTTCAGAGAGTTCACATATCTATTTCTATGCGTACATATGGCATATTTATTACACGAGACAGTCAACTTTACCGATACTGGACATACTTAACTTTTCAGAATGCCTACTACCAAACCGCCTCGAGTTTGTATATGTTTATGCTTATACTTTTATACTTACGGAAGTAGGAGCGGCAAGAGAAGCAGGTAGATCGATTTGTTTTAGAACTACTTTCTCTGTCTGGAAATAAAGACGAGTTATTGTTTATCAATTATGTCGAACATTAATGTTCTTGTATGCCAACCTTTTTGACGTTCTATCGGTACACCCTTGCGTACATGATATTCTTTTTCCTTCCTTAAATCATTTTGAAAAATAATAACTCAATATACTTACCGGTGCATTTCTGTTGTAGGCCCCATTGTAAGCTCTTTGAGTACAATCAGCGTCCAATGTGTTGCCACCGGTAACAGTTATTTTTATTTCAGGGCAACCAGAACCCGGACATTCTGTTGTGTCATTTATTGTTCTGGTATTGTAATTCATAAATTTGAAGAACAATAATCTGAAATGGACATTGTATTATGAAAAGTCGTGAGATTATTCTAATGATCTAAGTATAACCAACAGTTTAATTTTGATAATACGTATCATTTTTAAGAATTACATTTAACGTACTGAATCCTTAAAAATTAACTGTATACTATTCTTACTTTATGGAAAGAATATTTGAAATTTAAAAGGAAATATCCCCTTAAAGATTGTTTGATATTTGTATGCTGCTTTCCACGAATATGAACGGGAAAATGAAACTCTGTGACTTTTGTAAGTCGACTTAAATTGGTAATGAAACTATATAATATCGACCTAGCAAAAGATAAGTAAGTAGAGTTACAGTGGGCTTTACCTGTCTATGATCTACAAACTGTATGACGTATGTTGATAAAAACATACAAATACGTCGACATAATAACGAAGCATGCATTACAAACTATACGTTACCCAACATAGGAATCCCAAAAGTATTTATCACCAACTGTGTCTGCTTCCAAATCATCTAGAGTCTGCGTTAAAGTCCAATCGTGAATACTACCTAGATACTTTGGCTTGTAGGAAGTGATATCAATCATGACATCTCTTGGTAAGCAGACCCCAAAACGCACCCATTTACCGCTAATAAGAAATAAATGAATATTCTTTTACATGATAAATATATTCTTAATAACGTTGTTGAGTTCTTGCTTTTTACTAATTATCCGATTAAGCTGTTTTGTTGAGCACATGCCAGCTCTTCTCGTGTGATATATACATCATAAGCTAGCAAATTTTAACACGATGAAATTGAGCCAGCATTTGAATCCAATATATTAAGCGATTTCCGCATTTTGTCTTGTACGTAACAACTCTAAAATGGGCAAAATACATGCTCAATATAGAATAACACATTTCACAAACAATGTTTCTTTTACCCACGAAACAGTCAAAGACATCGTCTTAGATGTGGTTCAAAGCTACAGATAACTTTCTTCGAACAATGGCAGTTTTGTGTGTTGAGATTTTGGAATCAAAACAGAATAGGGCAGTTATTCATGTGGAGCAAGGCGCCGTCATCTTTCTGCAATCTTTTTAAATGTAGAAAATACCACTCCGTCTCCTTAATCAAAAACTCTATGTATTTTGCTATCTTCTAAAATTAAATTACAATCCTGTCTCAACGGTAGTATTTTTAACCAATTAAATTGTGTCATGGAAAACCCTTGACATGATAAGATAAGGAGTTGTGGGATAGCGAAACGCATAATTAAGCTATATGATGACAGCCTCTTTGGATTTCGCCATTCCACAATTTCTTATTGAATTAAGAAACGGGTTTTCCATATAATAATTTGGATGGACCTTTGGTAGAAATCGTGTTAGATTAATGGAGATTATAAATATCAGAAAGCTAAAAAGATACGAAATTGTAATGGTATTTTGTAAATGAGTAATTGACCTACTGTTCAATGCCTTCTCCTCTGATTGAAAATTGATGAGGTACGTAGTTTGACCAATTGATTGTGTAGCTGTAGTCTCCACCAAGTATTGTTAAGAACTGAGCAGGATGTGTCGAATCTCGAGTTTCTTTAACCGTTGGTTTGTCATCTCTTACAGCGAAAGGCGACGTTTTTCCTCTGTCTGCTTCGCTTTCTAATTGGATTGTTAGCTGCAAATAAGTCGTTTTTATTGTATTTGTATATGTGGATAACAAATTCAATGGTCACTTTCTCATCTCTATATTATAATATAATAGTCAATTTCGATCAGAAAAAAACTTTTCGCCATAAGCATGAACACTAACTAAAAGGTGTGTAGTTTTGTCTAAATATTTGCTGTTATAAACTGAATTTTCATGAGTATCATTTCCAGAATTAATATTAGACCACTGGTTGTTCTGCAATAAAATACGATTTAACTTAAAGTTTCGTGAGAATGTTAACTTCGACGGCATTTGTTTTTTGTATATTGTAGATGAATCGGGTATAGCTTTCAAATAATTAAGTAAAATTGAAAACTGCCAATCAATGAAAATTGTTCGATCATCACGAAATCAATGGGTATTCCACAAACAAAAACATAAAACAAAAAATTAAACATAAAGAGAAAGAAATGTAGCCTTTAGAGTAACCACCATTGGATCGAAGGAAAATGTGACAGCAATAATGTATAAAAATTAACTCTGACAGTACCTTGCCATAAGACTGTGGACATATAGCCATGTTCCAGTTGGTACGGACGTAACATCCGGCATTTATATTGAAATCAGTCGGTCTGACTAACTGTGATCCAACATAACCAGTTAAACTGCCATCAATATCTCTGACTGTAGCTACGTCATCACCATCATGATCAGAGAATCCAGATATTGAAGTGTCTGTATGATATACTCGGTTACCTTGTGCATCCTGTAAGATAATATTCTAAAGGTGTCGGACTCGATGAAACGATGTACAATTTTCTTTGTGTGCCTACATGTCACCCGAAGCAGAAGTTGGTTGTAAAATATGTCATTCTTGGAGGGAAACTGCATAGATTTCAATAGTAGCTTCCGGTAGCTCCACTCTAGAGACATAATCAAACGCCTTAGTTTTAGTTGAATTGCAAGAACCACAGATGTCGGAATGAAAATTGGAATGGTGATAATTGAAGCTATTAGTGTCCCCGATACACATAAACATTTTAGAAAACCTCTTTAAGATAGCAACCATAGTTGCCTTTACCATATACTTAGAACAAAGAAACTTACAGGGATAATGATGTCATAATATTTGATTTACTAGCTTTAAGAACTATCCACAAAATTGAAATGCGATGACCATTCGAATGACGACTAGATAAAAGAGTATCAGTGATTTCATAATTTCAGTATTTTTTTAAGTTTGAGAGTAACATCAGATTGGTGATATAAACTGGTGGTGTGTTTTCATTTACATTTATACGAACCACGAACTAATGAGTTTAGGTTACTGGTGAATGTAAATATTAAATAATTTAATACGTGTTGCTTACATCATCGAATCCGAATTTGACGCCCATCACTGAACTGACAGCAGACGATGGGTTTTGATCATTTCGATTGAAACCCACAGCTCCCACTGGATAGAGATGATGGCGGATAAAATTTGAGAACCAGCTGTTTTCTACGTATACAGGTCCATCATAGAATGAAAATCCTTCAATATGTGTATGACTGAAATACACAGATTGTGAGATATTATAGTTCGCCAATCAACATTTTGTGTCTGGAGAAACTAATGTGTTTTATGAGAGATCATAGGTTTATCGTAATCTTCATCATTTTTGCAGATTGGATCATCAACGCCCTAGCGGAGATTGATAAGTTGTACATCAAATTCTATACGAAACTATGCCAGTCAAGAATTAACTGTCTAAAATGTCTTCCTTTGATTGAAACCAATCGACAAAACAATATATTGTGTTCAGTGGTCGATCAGTTAATGTTCTGTACTTACATATTGTCAGGATCGGGTAAGGATCTTGACATTCCAATATGCGGTTCGCCAATATTTTTAGACTCTCCCAAAAACACCGAATTATACAGGAATTGTTGCTGATCATCTGATCTGAAATAGAAACAGTGCCACAATAACCACCCAATCCTGTTATTTCCCCGCTAGCAGCACCTATGAAGTAACCAGTTGACAGAGCTTGATAGAGAGGATGTAACCTGGTCGTCAATTTGGTGGTAAGTTTCTAAAATATGTTGAACCATGGTGATGAAATTGAAATTTTAATGGTTTTAAATGCAGGAAAAGTGGCTTTGTGGAATTCTTTGTGGAGGCGTGACAATGAAATATCCAAAAGAAAAAATGATAAGTCTTATTAAAGAGAATAAAAAATAAAATGTAACCTACTTAGCAAATGTGGCTCCTACTGAACTGTCAGCAAATCTGAAAAGATTCATACCATATCCGATGAAAAAAACAATGAACCTAATTTACTGCACCTACTTGGACTGGACCACCACTGGCATAAATGAAAGATCGAGGGATCTTTTAACTAAGTTACACAGCCAGCAGCACATAGTTTTTTAAAATACGATGTCGGGGCAAATGAAATTGGAGAGGAAAACAAAGAATATATAAAAAATTGCAAAGAGGACAGAGTAGAGCAAGAAAAGGAAGAAGGGACGTGTAGTAGTATTGGAAATGTAATGACATATAAAACGAACTTACGAAAGGGAAGAATTAGACAGAGGGAGTATAGAGATTGTAGTTAATGGGTGGGCTGGGGGAGTTGGCACTCATAGTACCTCAGTGCAATGCTTCGAATTATAGTATTTCAAAGACTTAATGTCGGGTGGCGGTTTACCATCTACCTGCCACTTTAGACACTGTCAAACACAGAAATCTAAATTTGGATTTAAAATATTGTAACAATTAGCCTCACTGGTCACAAAAAAATGGAGAGAATTACTTCCCTTGAAGTTTAACGTACATAAAACGTTTCTATTTAATGGGACACTATGCAAAACTTTTATTACATCAATGTATACGTAATGTCCACTGCAAAGAGCCGATGCTGGGGATTCTCATTTGAATTTAAAATCTATACTTACGAGCCTCTATCTACTCTTAACCACCCTCCTCTTAAAAACATATTTCCTCTTCTGTTCTTGTAAACTAGAATTACAGTGGTGTAAGAAGAAAAAATAATTACAGTAAAAATGATTTATTCTGCAGAGTAACCAATAAACATTTTAAATAATCAAATAAGTAATCAAATAAGTAATCAAATAAGTAATCAAATATGAAGGTTGAACTTTCATCTAGCAGCTTCTGCTCATATCCTGAAAATATCAGTAACATCCGACTTTGATTTTTGATTACCGGTTAGGACTATCCAAACAATAATACTAATCCCATACTGCGTAACATCGTGTTTTGAATTTATAACATTTTTCTCAAAAGACAAGCAAAGACCAAAAATGCCATTCAACGTGCTAAGAAGGGAATTGTGCTCCAGTAAGAAAGGAGAACTTCAAAGCGGTAGCCTCAGTTTATTGTCCCATTCTAACGACTAAACGCATTTGACATGTTAGCCCATAACCACTTCGAACTGAGTCACTGACAGATTATAGATGGATACCGAGGTTAGACTTGTGGTTCAAGTGAACATAATTATACTGTACGTTATCCATAACTTTCCTTAGAAATAAAATGATAATATTTACGTGTAGGTCTGGTAAAGTTAACAGAAGCTGGTGGAGAATTGGGATCCATTGGGTATATGCGTGGTGAATACTCGTTACTACCAGTAGCATCTGATGACTGTAGAACTTTGTTATCGGCAAACAAACCAGTCTATTCAAAAGAGGCGAAATTTTTCATTTATTGCATGACTTTAATGAACACGTCGCAGTAGATGGTTAACCTTTTACAGAGGATTTCGAGACAGCATTTTAGATTGTCTTCCTATAAGCTTAATACATATAAGCTTCTAATGATCTGCTGTAAAAAGATTACTGGATTATCGTGGAATGTAGAAAAATATCAAAGTAAAATACTTACGTCCTCGTTTGAATGTGCTACATTATTATCAAATTCTAGAATCGGTGTATGCATCGCTTCGTATTTCTGCATAAAATCTTTTCCAAATGAAGGTCCATACGGCTCATCAGGAAACACGTACCATATTCCGTACGCCTGTAAATTGGAAAATATTCATTCATTGTGGCCAATCTTTTGGATGACATTTAAAAAGTGCATATAGCCACCCGATCAGCAAGGTGCACATGGATATCTAAGCGATATGTTAACCACAAAACACCATGCCAAATGTAAATGTTTTTTAAGTTCTACTCATGGATATGATTGTACTGGGTACTTCCCTGAGAAGAAAATTTATAACGCTATTTTTTAATTTTATTATATGATAATGCTGTGTTATGTTGTGCCGTGAACATCAATATTACAATCTACAGATGGAATAAACGCTTTTTCCGCAGGACCACAACTCAAAATTTATAGGTTTCTTTCATGTATCTTAAGTTAAATACTGACCTCGCTACCAGCAGCTACATTATTCCTAAGACTATTGATAGGGTTGGTCATCCAATAGGTCGCTGGGCGGCTGAAAGCATAATAAGTGATTTCAAGATGATAACTCTAATACTTCAGAAGCCTTATAATACTAATTGAATTCAGTGATAATCTCTTGGATTATGAAGGTTTTTTCAGAAGAGACAGTAACTCTGAATCATGATAAAAAGTGATTTGTCGTCATAATAACGGTGTAAATTGCAAATGTAAAAACGTACACAGAGCTAACCGGATTCGACGAATTCAAGTAGGATTTTAACATAGCTATCAGAATTCAACCAGATTCAAGGCAGGGTATGCTTACTCTTCTGGACATCCAATACCACGTTTCATTATGAAATACTTACTCACTTATGATTGGTAAACCACCAATGTTTCGCCAATATGTTGTTTGGATTTAGGGTTTTGCTGTTTGGATCGGTAGAACTTGATTTATTTATACTTACCTATCGCTTTTCAGAATCTTTCCTTTCTTTGTGGACAGTCCAATATTTCCATCAAGCAAGTTTCTTTTCTCACCACCATCTTCTAAGAAATAGGAGTGTCCCAAACTATCGTAGCATACATTGTCTTGAACCTGAAACATGTTTCAGAATCCGGACAGATAAAAATCATTTTATCGACAGTCCACGAATTCAAACTGCTTAAAACCATTTTTATTGATGGCGCTCGTTGATTGACAAGGTATGGCTGTATCAGTATATCTATATTAGTGACTATATCCAGGCATTTTAGCACGACGCAAGTATAAATGAGTGAATGCCATATTAAAGGTAAGATCTAGCTATGTTGTCTACTTAATGATATGTTATAAGTCCCCAGATATGTCTTGTTAGAGAAAGAATTATCAAGAGTCCTATCCTATGCAGCTGGTACACTCCACATCCTCTCACAAAAACATCTTACCGTGACCCCACTTGTACCATGGACAGTGACACACCGGGAGAATGAGTGATGGACGGTACTGTCACGGAAGTACGGTGGATGACTGTAATTTCCAACTCCATCAACGTCATGACACATGTGGAAATGTACTGGATAGTATCCTATGAAGAATCCCAAAGTCGTTATTCTAATAGATAAAACTCCAAAGTAAATGATACACGCATACATTACTCAGTATGGTGAAAGAAGAATTTCCAACAGAAAAACAATTCTAATTCTGCAAGATACCTTAATATCTGAGTATACATGTATATCTCTCAAAGATGTACTCGATTTTAGTTTCTGAATATCAATATCATTCAAGAAATCTTTGTATTAACAACAGAACATCACCTAGAGGAAAATCATCGAGATCGTATATTATTTAATTTTCTTTAACCGTTGCTGATCTGTATCATGTACACTTATATACTTATGATAAAAGATACTATTGACAATTTTTTTTATAATAAGAAACATTATCATTTGTTCAAGACTTTTGAGAGAAGTCATCAGCATAGAAATTACAAATACGAAATACCAGGTGGTTTTGTACGTACCTTTCTCAGTTTGTTGCCCCATGTGATACAACTCCACTCCTTCTAAATGGACGTTTTCAAATCCTCTGACAAACTAAAAAGACGTGAGAATGTCGTTGAAAATGATTATCTTATTTTCATCTCATCTGTACCAACATAAAATTTGGAGATCTATTGTGGAGTGCTATTATAGCAGTAGCTTATCAACCAGAGCCCGATTTTTTGTATGGTTGTAGCTGGAACTACTTGTGTCTCAAATATATTCCCCGATAACTAAATATAATCAATATTTTGCCAACCTTTAAATGTCCACCAAATGTATCGTAAAGGAAGTTATTGCAGTTACCATTACTGATGTAACAACGTTCTTCCATTTCACCCTCTATTTGAATATTTCTAGTTAACAACGCTACTTCACCACGCATATCAACATTATATGTCATCTCTCCAAAATGTGTATAACGGACGTCCACTTAGAAAGAGAATGGTTATTTGTTTTTATTGTTGTTAATTTACGTCACGTGCGTATGCCAAAGTCATAAAACTTATTCTTTAGAGTAGTGGCATATCCTCTTTCAGCATACCTATTGTATTCACCTCGAAAAGAGATAAATTCCACTGCCTTTGCATAGATTTTTAAAACAGATGTGTGAAAAGATGGGGGTCTTTTTCGATTCAAGAAGGTCGTTTTTTCGAATTTGATATGTGAATGTCAAATCCGATGTATAACTGTATATAGACCTCAAACACGGGTATTTGCAGTTTCCTTTTTAAAATATTGAAGAACATTGTGTTAAATTGAAATTTACAAATACTTATGAAGACTTTCTTACGTTCAACTTGAATTTGAGAGGCTGTACATGTTGAGCAAGGTACAATTGTGGCGACTTCTGCTTGCTTCCAGTCATAATCAGTTGAGGTTAGAACCACTTGATCACCTGAAAGGTACGGCGTTAGTGAAATTCTTCAATATTTATCGTCTACGATAGTCAGATCAAAATTGGTCAAGAACGATGGTTGTTTTCGTGTTTTAGACAAGTCCGAAATTTGACCACTGTATTTTGATAGTTTGATATCTTTGCCAGTAAAATGCTCACCAACGACTTGGGCTACACCATTAATCCTAATACGACTGCGATTTAATTGTTATATTTTCATCTCTTTCGGATATTCAAAATGACCAATAATGATGTTTTCTCAAATATGATAAACTTACTCGGTTTTAACAATAACCAGTACATCTGGGCTTTTAATTTCTTACCTGGATTCCAAGTGGATACATCATCGAGAAGATTTAGTATTGGATGAGAAGCAGCTACAGATGTTACACGAAAATCCACTCTGGAATTGTCTGAGTTGGCATTATCTATGAAACTCTCTATACTGTATCTGTGGTTGCCAACAGTTAATGTTGCTGTAGCATGCTGGAAATCAGTTTTTACATATGGACTCAAAGCCTGTTTTGTGTTGTGAGGATGACCTAACAATAATTAAAGAAAATGCTTAGCAATGTTCTGTCCTTCACGATCTCCTATAGTCTTTAATAGAACATCTAGTTGACTCGAGGAGTCAAATATCTGATTTCGTGTTCCATGGATGGCTAGTGGGGTCTCTGACAGAAAAAAAGAAAACCATCTTGGTCTACATTTCTGAAATGAATCAAGCTAGCGACGATCTGTAAAGCCTGGTTCCATGAATTTAATAGCAAAAATTGAAATGTGTAAGAACTTGGTAATTAAAAACAAAGTCAATGGAGTATCAGTGAAATATTTGAAAGGAACAGTCCAAAGGCTAAAATGTTTAAAATATAGTGTATAAATCCATGCTCCTTAAGACCTTTCAACTTATTGAAATGATGACAATCTCATTTTACCTTTTTGAGCAATGAAAACGACGGCATCGTTAGAGTGCCCATGTGTTATTTCATATTCGAGATTAAATCCGAGCCCTCTCAAAGCTCGAAACACTGGTTTAAGATCTACAGCAGGGTGCTCCACATTTTGGTTCAATGCCAATGCAATTATCTCGTCATGTGGCACATCTAAAATGATAATAGTGGCAGTAAAAGCTCAATCGTAAATTGAAACCATTCCTTAATATCTAAGACAACGGTCTTAATCTGAAGCGACTACCGATATAGAGTAATGGAACTGTTCTTAATGGAAAGTTATCATGGGACATTTATTATATGTGCGTTTCGTGTGTAAGTTCATGATAACATATTGTTAAAGCTATCTTTTTAAACATTAACATGAGGGTAAAGGAATGACTTACAACTAGAGGTAATCTTACCATTGATAAATCGAGTCAAATCAGAGGAATCAGTTCTAGATAATCTTGGAATACTACCAATGTCGTAAAATCTAGAGGACATTACTCTTGCATTTATGTGGTCAAACGCATAAACCACAATACCAGCTTTTCTACTGTTCATTTTTGCAGAGGAGGAATCCTGGAATACGCAAAAGTTTGATGATAACTAAAACATAATCCCGTGTATCATCAACACCAGTTAATCAGCGCCGATACCAAGGTAGTCTGAAAGGAACGGTGTCACATTTTCACAAACAATGTTATGATTATGTTTTGTATCAGGTGTTTGTTTTAATAAATTGAAATTTAATCCTAAGATGAACTTGTAAATCTAGCCACTGGTGGAATCTGGGATATTCGAATCAATCGCCGATTTAGGCCACCTGAGCGCCGGTACGACGCAGTCCGATGTTGGACCTTTTAGAAAATCTGAATGGTCGATGATTGATTCAGTGATCAGGTTCAGTAACAAGAAAGTCGAATTACCGGATCATTTGTTAGATGTCAAATGCGCATTATAAATAAAAATGGAAAAAGGCATACCTGGTGATTGAAAACGAGACCATTTGATGGTATTAATTTTGGTACCGTTTTTGTTAATTTTGTCCAAGATAATTTCTTTTCACCGTGGATTTCCAAGGTACCACCAGGCGCAATACCAATAAACTTTTCACCAAACAGGTGTTCACCAATAGATATAGAGTATTGTCCTCTCATACCTACATTTGATAAAATTTACAATACCAAACTTTCCACTTCAAGGGCTCATCTTACCCCAAGTCCTTCCAGATAAAACAATCCAAACCAGACTACGTAAGTGCAAATGCAAAGTAAATGCCAGTACGTATTCTCACAAGTCATAAAGCGGGAAATATTCATTTATTAATTAATAATTGTTGCAAATATACAATATCTGAAATCTGATATTTCTGTTATTCCCAACGACACAGTCTGATTAAGGTGATTTCAGGGAAAATCTCTTAATACTTTGGACATTTTTATTTTCGAAAGAAAACATACATATTATGTACTGTACACGTACTAACCTCTCAGCAAAATGTGAGTTTTTCTTTTGAAAGTACAGTCTTCTGAACCAATCTCCATACTGCCAAAAACCAAGATATGTTTCAGGGTAAGGTTGAAGTCACCTTCTTGACTCCAGACCAGTCGACCATTGGGTTGTATTGTGATGTGGTGTAGTTCAGGTGGACTCTCATCCAATAAGATTGCAGAGTCAATATTCACTTCATCATTCAATCCTGGCTTCTACAGAGAAACCAGATGTTTATTCTCTTATACGAGTATTTAGCGTATAAATTATACTGTATTTTCAAAGAATTCTTGGTTGAATTTGGCACAACTGATCCTAACCGTTGGAGTCAAGTGATCGCTGGATTGATCGCAGTTGGCACCAGTTGCTGCTAAATTGCTTGCTCTATTTTATAGTTTATCGGTTTGATTTGAACTGAATTTTTGTATTTCCCAAACTCTTCCTTGTATGAACCTTACCTTTGTCTCAATAAATTAAGATATCTTTATGTATAAATCCAGTCCATTACATTTCAGAAATTGATGATACAAAATCGATGAAGTTCTCAGAACTTACCTTGCCATCGGGCCATGATGCGTCACTTGACCATCTCTTTAATGATTTGTCTTGATCCGGACATGATCCACGCACTTGGTGTTGGTTTTGCAATACGCATAGAATTACGACAGATAGCCACAGACGCTTGGAAACACCAGCCATGTCGATGGAACCCGCTAAGTGTTTGATATATTCAGTTATATCTTATCTAATGAATATTAAGTTTATCTTTAACGGTTTTGCATAGTTCGAGTACTGAGCTTTATAAATTTGCATTTATACAATCTGAATGTATTATCAGATAAGAGAGGGTATTAAATTGTGAATCGATACAAAGTGTCACTTTTTAGTTCTATAACCTGTTTTTTTTTTTAGTCGTTAAAGATAATATTCGTTTAAGATTACTAGAAAATCTTCCATAGACCTTCATATTTCATTTCTATTACAGGGCATAGGTTAAACAGCCGTTCGAAACGAGTTGACGCTTTTACCCCATCGTCGTTACGTGTTTCCTTGAACTGTAGGCAATCTGAACGTCTTCCATTCAATAGAAATACGTTTAATCTGAGTAGCTTTGGTAGAATTAAAGACAATATTTTAATTTATACTGTACAATTGTATACATGTTCGATTAAAAAAACGACCTTGTAACGTATGGAAGGTCTCATTCACAAAAGCCAGTCCAAATATACCACAATATACAAGTTGGCGAACACAGCGTAAAGTGTGACTTGAACAGACGACTTTTTTGAAAACATATTTGAATTAAAATATTTAAGAAATTCTTAACATTTCTTTGTCTAGTTCACAGACAGACTTCTGTAGAAATAAATGCTTTTTTTGATTAATGAACTATGCATATTGCCTAAAAGTCAAGTGAGAAAGCCCAAGATCAAGGTTCATGCAGGTAATACAGCTTCCATTTTCCATGTGTTTTGTTAAAAGAGTCGTTCTATTCAGTCAGGCTATATTCTCCAACATGCAAAAGATTGCAGGGAAAACCTAAGAAATAGTAAGGATTTATAGAGGGGAAGGGGGCAAAACATCGATCAAGGATTCTCAAAGAGTAAAGAAAAGGGTTGAAAACCCCTGTTCTAGATCAATTGTTGCAGTGAATACCTTAGTTAATTTTATCAGTATGGGCTATCTTTAATCAGCATTTATCTTTATATTTTTTATGTGGGAAAGCAACAATTGTAGGCCTAAGTCTTTGTAGCCCTATATAATAAACAAACAACAATACAAACAAATTAATTTTATTTTTGGAAACCGCATCATATGGTATCACTCCCTTCACTTCAATGCGAACTATAAACGCGAGCAGGTCGCTTTGTGTGTACATATTCCGATGAGCATAAGTTAAAGCCTTCTTGCATAAACTCAATTTTTATCCATTCTACCTACAAAAATTGACTATGTTTGGAATCTTTCAAGAATACAACATATTCTGTATATAATAGTAGTCATTGCATTAGCCTGCAGCCAGTTAAAACAACGTACCGTTGCATTAGTTTATTTTTTACTAATGAGTTTTGTTATTCCAGTAGTTAGTAAAAATTAGTCCGACATTCATTCAATTTGTACTAAGTTTATTTCTTTATTTCTAACTCTGCATCACAACTATGATATAAATATTTCAAAATATAAATTAACTTTATAAAAGGGTTTATAGACAAAACTAACACTACTGCACATAAACATAATAAATTGGTCAAATTAGATTTACGTAAGAAATTTGATGATAACATCAATTATTTTTCAATATAAAATTTTCAGATCTATCATAAAAGCTAATCATCAAATTTGGAACAATTCTCTTAACATTGGCTGGGTATTACAAAAATTCTATTATGAAAGGAGATTCAAACCTACAGAAGCTGGTATTTTGTCTTAGAACACAATAAATAACTTATCACAACAAATAAATAGAGAGAAGATCAGAATCTTCCAAAGAAAAAGTGTTATAAAACGTGTGCAACACAAATGAATAGTGAGAAATCCTGTGTTTTCTTGTTTCACAGTGTCTGATACAGTAATTAAATCCAAACAGTGTCTGATATAGTAATGAAATACAAATAGTGTTTGTTATAGTAATGAAATCCAACCAGTGTCTGATATAGTATTGAAATCCAAACAGTGTCTAATACAGTAATTAAATCCAGTGTTTGATATAGTAATGAAATCACAGACAGTGTCTGATATAGTAATGAAATCAAAACTGTCTGATATAGTAATGAAATACAGTTTTTGATATAGTATTGAAATCCAGACAGTGTCTGATACAGTAATGAAATCACAAACAGTGTCTGATACAGTAATGAAATCTAAATAGTGTCTGATACAGTTATGAAATCCAAACAGTGTCTGATATAGTTATGAAATCCAAACAGTGCCTGATACAGTAATGAAATCACAAACAGTGTCTGATATAGTAATGAAATCTAAACAGTGTCTGGTACAGTAATGAAATCTAAACAGTGTCTGATACAGTTATGAAATTCAGACTGTGTAAGTCTTATGCTGTTCCACCAACACCATAGTACATATTTTAACATCTCAGAATTCAGTGATCTGGTGTCTGGCATTCAAACAGAATCTAACAGAACAGACATTTCTTTGAGTTGTTTTGAAAAATTCTGAAATAAAAAACATAGAATATAATTCAATGAAAATTAATTAAGAAACAACAATTTTATGCATTGACAAGGCTCATCTCTACTGACTGGTTCTTGGTCAACCTTCTTGGCATTGATCTTTCCTGGATCATCCTTACCCATTTACAACTGGAATAATGAGGAAAGAAGATGTATTAATGGTCACCAGACTTCCACATGCCATATTAGAATCAACTTTCACAATTTGTTTAAAGGAGCATTCTGTTTTGTTTTTTTTTCGTAGGTAAAAATTTTTTCAAACTTATGAAAATTGTATACCAAAATCTAGAAAAATGGGTCCTTGTGAGCTTACTTATCTGAAAGTTTTAACTGAAAGTATTTAAAAGCTTTACGACACATAACTTTTTAAGTTTCTCATACTTTTTGGAGGTGTTACAAGGCCAAAAACCCAAAACTAGTTCTAACTACACTCCATTTTTAATTAAGCATTTTAAAACTAGTTTAGTTTGATCAAGTAGAAACATCGATCTAAATATTAATAAATATTTTTAGGTTCTATTTTGATAATGAAAATATTGCATAATGCCCCTTTAATGTTACCCAAATTTCCTAAATTATCAAATATCTTACCCTAAATTGTGGTACTGTCATCTCTATAGAATGTTGTATGGCTGTACCTGATTGGTCAGCTACTGTTATTGCCATGGTAACATAGGGTGTATTTAAATGTTTACAATCATTAGAACTCACAGCCATTCCAAGCTTCCATTTGATATCTAAAAGCTATTTAAAAACATGTTATATTTTAGGCTTTCCACCAGAGGCAATGTATTCTTGCTAAATAAAAACTAACATAATCTGAGATGAAATGAAATGAATGGAGATTCACATCCTACTCATCTGCACCTAATTAGGCTAATGAAGACGGGCAATGTCATGCAGTATGTTAGTATGAAAATTTTGTCAGGACAGTGGCATTAGCCTAATCTTTTTCTATTTCCATCTGTCAAGGGCTTGTAGCACACACAGCCTTGGTTAATTGTCCCATCTGAGGACTAGATGCTTTTCCATGTCTGACGTGAATCACTGGTATTATCTTTGCCAGGACTAGGGTTGCGTATTAGGGGGTCAGAGCCAATACCAGGCTTAATGACAATTGAATTGAATTTCAGGCCTTGTCCTATGAATTTTGATAAGGATTAATGGAAAGAAAAAGGTAGGAAGAAAAATCTATTTTAATGTATAAGCTTACCTTTCCTATATTTAGATCTTGAAAGACACAACCTGTTAATATGAGTTGCTTCCCCTAAAATACATACATAACCTCTGTGTCAATTTAGCAAATTGTACCAATAGACATGATTTACCATAGATTTCCAATGAAGCAATATGCCATAAAGATATGATACTTGCTCACTTATTTCACAAGATAAATGATGCATATCCAGATAAATGGATATAATTAAAATTGAATGGCAAAGATAAAACTTGATTGAGTCACATCATTGATTAAATCAAAGACAAATCTTCATGAACTTTTGCCTGGGATTCTAGACTTGAATTTGAAAGAAAAGTGGGCAATATAAAATGTTTTATGTAAGCCATACACTGTGACAGGACAAGGAAATCCTACCAACTTTAAGCAATGCCCACCAAAAACATATATTGATGCTCAAAGCTACAATTTCAAAAAAAAGTTTGTCAGCATTAATTTGTCAAAAGATTAAGCTTCATTGAAATTACAAAACCACTAATTTTGAAGTAACAGATAGACATAATAAAGACGAGCAAAGCTATGGAGTACACAATGAGTGAAATCTAAATTTGGCCAAGCACAAATATATACACATGTAGCATCTAAGCATAAGAAATCATAAGATCACCTCTTTTTGCCAAGCTTGTACTAAAAGATTAATTTTATCATTTGAAAGTACAGATAGTTTGTCTAATCTTGACTTCAACTCTTCACCAGTTTCTTTATTTTCACAGGCAGATCTGAAACAAAAGGCAGTAGATGGAACATGATCTGATTTTAGATAACAGAAAAGTTGGAGAAAAACCTCCTGGTATAACAATAGAGGAGACACAGCCTTTATGCTTTTAAGCACAGATCAACATTTGAATTAAGGTTTATTAACAAGTTTTGAGGCTATTTGCAAAAACTGAATCATTTTCCATGAAGCATTATATCTGGGAAATATTAAACAATGAACAGCAAAAATTCTACATTTTCCTTCATCAAATATTGTTTAATGGACCTCAATAAAATCATTCTATTCAGATTTAAATGTATATTCGGATGTTTCATTTTATGTTCTTTTTTTCTTTGGCTGACTCAACTTGCCAACCATGATCTTACAAGATTGTTATGCATCACAATTTCAAAAAAATGTCACCTACCTGACTATAGCTGATACAGATTTGATTACATTGTCAATAATATCTTTACTTTTAGATGATTCTATATCTTGAATATTCTACAAAAAATAGCACATATTAGTTGACAGTGTAATGACTAAATATACTAACTATTGTTTGAGTTAAATTTTTTTTTAATTTTTTCCATTCTTTTTTTTATGATAATTGCATTGGCAGTCTCAAAATAGTACTTTTTGTGTTGTCATTGATAAAAACATAAATATAAACACACATTGAATGTGTCTTCAAAAGTTGTTTTTACAGAGGACAATTTTCAGCCAAAATTAAAGAACTTTTTGGTTGAAATTTCTGAGAGAGAAAAATACTAAGAGTACTATTTTTAGGCTGATATTCCAGTTCTCTTAAAAAATATACAAGTTAAAACAATTCTTTGCTATACTCAGATAATAGATTCATGGTTTCCGATTATATCACAAAATTTATCAAGATTACATAAAGAAAATAAAAATTGACAAATGCACTATGAATACTTTGAGAATATTTTCTTACCTCATAATATTTTTTGGTACGTAATGATGATATCTTTAACTGTTGAAATTCTATAATATCATAACACTACAAAAATATACATAACATTGAATGGTCAATAAATTCTACGAAAGAAATCAACATTAACACTTTTACAACCTTTGATGATGTACTTGAATTTGCATTGACACATATTTGTTTTACACGAAATATGGTTTCGAAAGAGTTCTTCTTGCCTTTATAAATATGTGTTTCAGGGAAGCTTACAGCTTATATTTTCAAATTTACCTGAACACTAACTTTGGACAGAAAATTTATGGTTGGAAGGATCAACAGTGGTGACGGCAATAGATTACATGTCCACATTAGAATGTGAGTGCATAAAAATGTTTCAAAAGTGAGATTGACCGTGAAGATTAAAGGGAAACAGTCTGCAATTTCGGGGATTGATTTGGGTCTTGAATGTGCTGTAATAGTCTTAAGAAGCACGAAAATTGCATTATCCCTTCAAATATACCTCAAACTAGAAATTTCACTGTCTATTTCTATATATGTGTTTTCTATATATGGCATAGTCTCACTAAAATTCGAGTCGAATTTTTAACTTTCAAGCATAATTATGGATACACATGGATTTGAAGGCTCAAATTTCGATGAGCTGTGAACATTATTATTGAGGTATGATTGGTCGAATGGATACTGAAGGTACTCCTTTAATGATGCAATTTTTGAGCAAAACTTCTAGAATTAACTTACTGTAGGCCCTACTTACAATCATTAGAAAAAGTTCATCTGATATCTGATTACATCTGGACAATGATTCTCTAAACCCTGAAATATAATGACAATAATTTGGTGGAGTTGTAATATAGGTTGGGCTATTAGGTTCAAAAGATGAATGTAATTTCAAAGTCATGAAATTCCAAAAGGTCAAAATTTAACAAAATTTGGTGTAAGTTGAGAGATAAACATTAAAACCATAAGCACACAAATATGAAAATTTGTCCCATGTTTTGCATGTCATGAATGTAATTCTGTCTGCTTAATAATATCACAATAGCTAAGGAATAGGACCAGAAGGCTAAACCTTGATAAAATAAATCTGTATACGTACAATGTACAAATTGTATATAAATACTTAGTAGGTCTAGCCGTGAGGCTAATCATTTTACAGAGTGAACATCATCATTGAATTCATTGTCTTAAAGTAATGCATCGAAAGTAAAATTTCATGACAGCTTTCTTTGGAAAAATCAAGTCAAAACTCGAATGAGGAAAACTTCAGGTAAACAACCTATAAAAATATAGTGTGGCAAATATATTATTACCTTCTTGAAAGTGGTTGGATTTATCCGCCATTTTAACCAAAATTGATCACGTGACAAACTAAGATGTACAAATCACGTGATATGAAAGTTCCAGACCACAACCAAGTGACACTGTGTAACAACCAGATCCAGTGTCGTCGTCATCGTCGCCTTCATTTATACGAATGGAAAATAACGAATCTTGTAAACAGAGATTTAAAAGGTCAAATCTCTTTGAAAAATGTCGGAGTCTCAGTATAAGGCTTTGATGTCTGAAAAAATCGCGATTTGCTGTCTGTAAACAGTGGTAAGGCCTATCTGTGCATTCAAAGTGCTATGCTCTTGACCAAAATAGTAAGCAATTTAGTAACCCCTTGTCAGTGGCGCAAACCTCCCACGGAGTATTTGAGGGGACTCTCTCCCAAGTAAGCTTTTCAAAAACTGGAATTGATTAGACGCACCTTGACAAATATTTTTGAGCCAAAATGAATAAAATTCATGTGTCTAATTTTCTTAGAAGTTGCTGTTCAAATGGGGGCAATTGCAAAAGAATCTTGTCTTTTGGACACAATAAAGTGAAATCGGCGTGGTCTATAATCATTTTCATTTTAAAAATTTTGCCCAAATTTTAGCATATTTCCGGACAAACTGTGTATTTTGGGTTCCAACTGATTAGTTAATAAGGTCAAATTCGACATGTAATACGAAATTTTACCGAAGTGAACCGCTTGAAGAAATATTAATTAATAAGATTTTAGTTTGTATACTTCGGTCAATATTCAAAGCAGTTGCAGTGCCAGGGGGTATACATGGGGAAGACTGGCTTATTGGGGGATGTTGAATTCAAAATGCGGCAACTCTGTCGAAGTGCTTTTTTTTTTTAGAAAATTAGAACTGATTATGGCACGTAGGTTGAGACAAATAAAGAATACAATCATCGATATTTTAAAATTGAAAGAAATGAATTCGGGTGAAATGAGTGTATACTGAAAGTTAAAATAAAGCTGTACAAATCGAACTGTTATTTAAACCTTTTGCCCAAAACAATTCATGGCATAATTTGTTTTCTTTACAAAATTTCATAATCTCTGAAGATTTGATAGATGTATTTCACCATAAAATTGCTCAGCCCGGTCGACTTTACGAATTCTCGCTCCCTTCTTCTATGTGTCACACTAGGATCCAAGAAAGAAAGATAGAAACAACTAAATTTTACAAAGATAACAACGATTGACTTTAGATTCCACAATTATTCCGTCAATTTCTAACGGCATATTCGCAACCACACACCAGATTTTCTGTCATTTAACTAGTTTTAAAAATAATTTTTCAAAAGCATGCAAGCTCTTAGAATGTCTTTGGGTACATATACATGTATAAGGTTTGATACTTTTACACTTCAAATGAAAGACTTCCTCCAGAACATTGCACGTGACAATGATCGACCCCCATTTCGGACTGAATATTCTCCGCTGTGAAGTCATATATTTCCGCACCGTATCACGAATACGGGTTTTGACGTGGTCTTATAGTATGACGAATGGGGGTGTGGTTTGGATACGATGATATTTCCGTAGTTATCAATCATGGGCAACTACATCAAGCAGCCCCCCCCCCCCCCCCCTCGCAGCCCCGAAAGCAAGTTTTTCGGGCAAAAATCTCATAACTAGGTTAGAAATTCGGGCAATATCCGACGTAAACCTGGCTACGCCACTGGCATCAAGCCACACTAATTGAGTCTGTTTTCTTTAAATCTTCTGACTTGGAAGAATCAGGTGTATATCTGTTATTGGTGCTTATATCGACATTAGGGTGCACTTTCTTACTGAAACATAGTCTTGTGAAGAATTTAGAACGAATTATGAGTCTGACTACCCAACAAAGGTTTGTGTTCACCATACTATTGACTAAAGCAAAACGTTTGGCTATCAAATCCGCACGAAATGATTGATCCAAATCAAGTTGATGAACGGCGTATCGTACCTGAAAATGATCAAAATATTAGACGATATTGAAGATGCAGTATGAAAACACTTCATTCTTGAAAAAAAGGATCATACTTGAAAAAGTTTTCTAAAAAATATGCTTTTTACATCTATGTTTCTTTTTAAATAGGGGTAATTAAAACGGATTGTACTAATTTTTAACTTAGCAGTTTGAACTTGTTTTGGTGTGGGTCTTAAATAAGGGAACCCATCTTTAAAGCTCTTTAAAGGTACACAAATTTCTAGATTTCGGTTTTCATTATTCCGAGCATCCAACCTACTTTAAAAAAAAAATAAGACAACTCCTTATAGTAATAATGAAAGGGAATTGATATGGACGTTTTCACTTCAATAGTCTGCTCTTCATTGAGCTAAGGTAGATAATGTACTTTGTGAGGTGAGGGAAACTTTGATTCGATGGCTTCATATATTTGACCATTTGTGCAAGTACATTGCTAAAAGAGAACACACGACAAATAAACGCTACACAAGGCTTTCCATGAATATTCAAAAACATTTCAATCAGATTGTGCAACATATCGCCTTTCAGCAACATTATAAATTATTACAAACCAATATCAATAGCTTGTTCACATGAATTGATTTAGCATACAGCAATTCGTCTAATACACATCAATAAGTATCATATAGAATTAATCTGTATCCAGTAATTTTGCTATCGATGTATCGACCAACACGATCTAAAACGTTTGGTGTGATGTTGCATCATACGCTTCGTTGAATTCTGATGGACAATCATCAAATAAATCGCACCATGTTGTAGCGGATGCTCTATTATTGATGTCTTAATTAGTACTTACCAAAATAGGGGAGATACCAATTACAAACATAACAGATTTGACAACTAAAATTATCATAAATTCAACTTGTACATTTAGTTTATTGTTCGAATCTGTCATTTTCTTCATTTTCTTGACTTCAAATATAACTAAGCCATTTAAAATAACAGTGGCTGCAACACATATCATTCCTGAAATAATATGTTTAAAATGGATTTATTTTAATCCATTAACTGAATAGAAATAAATTGGTTTATTTATTACAGATCTAAAGGTTGTTTTACTCTGATGAACAAGACTGTACCCGAGTTCCTTTTCCAAACGATTAAGGATTACGCTCTTTATGAGATGAAGAAAACGGTGGTGGGATCGCTAGTGAGTCAGGAGATGCCAGAAATGTTAGGGCCAACCTTCAGGAGCAAAAGATATAACTTAAGCAATATAGACAATTGAACAAAACTCAAAAGAATTTTATTATTCGAGTCTACTTTCCCATTTAAATTCATTCACAGCATGTGTAGTCTAGATTAATAGTAAATCAATTTACTATAAATATAATTTTAATGGCTTCAACGGCTTTAAAACGGAAACGTTTAACATTAAGTGCAATGCTTTAAGTTCGATATTGATATTTTTAAGGGCTATAAATTGGACAACTATCCAGATATCAAACATTAATCCGAACATGAAAGCATTAAGTACAATTTCTATATTTTGCCATTTAAAAGAAGAGGTCAATAAAATAAATAATTTTTTTCTCGGTTATACCAGTACCAATACGTCTGGGCTACGGGTGTCTTTGTGAATCGCTTATAAGCACCCTAGAAAGCGCAACATGACAGATTTTGTCGAAACTTGGTCAAATTGATTATCATTGTCACTTAGGGATGAACCCTATAGAAAATATTCAATATGAAATATTGCCTTTGTTATTTCGATACAGGTAAAATCTTTAACCCATTAACACCCTAGAGAGTACAATTAGTAAACGATTTTGAAAAATCTTGTTGAAATTGATCATTATCAAATTCTTGAATCCTATCGCCAATCCACGAATCAAAAATATTTTATATGAGTTATTTGTTTTAATTTTCGAAATGGATGAAGAAGCTGGTACAATGCTTGTTAGACTTAAATAAAACTTGTTTTATTGTTGATAATTTATATTCAAGAATAATTCACACAAAGCTGTTAGAGAATGTTACCATTCCTGGCAGGCTATCTTGTTGTATATATAATGAAATACAATGTCTTTTCACAATCTGTATCATTTCTAAATTACTAGACAATGAAATTATCCTTCTGTGAATACAATATGAATATACCCGTAACTGGATATATTTCACAATCGGCTTAAGGTATTATTTAATTGCCTACATAATTAATATTTTTTGATAATAGATAATGCCATTATGGAATATATAATATGTTGCTTAATGCTAAATACAGATTTCATAACAGATCCTGATAAGTGAATATATTGTTTTCGTTGCCAATATTTCTGCTAAACACTTTTCTAAGTTATAAGACCATACACGTTCTTGTTTGATAATAATCTGAGAATTCCTCACAATAAGTAATCATGGACGGCAAAAAATCACTAAAAGAAACATCAAATTTGATTTTGATCAGATTGATACTAACAGAGATATATATACATACAAACAAAATTAAAGTTCTACCTTGAGAGATAGATATACATACAAACTAAATAAAAGTTCTACCTTGAGAGATAGATATACATACAAACTAAATAAAAGTTCTACCTTGAGAGATATATATACATACAAACTAAATAAAAGTTCTACCTTGAGAGATAGATATACATACAAACTAAATAAAAGTTCTACCTTGAGAGATAGATATACATACAAACTAAATAAAAGTTCTACCTTGAGAGATATATATACATACAAACTAAATAAAAGTTCTACCTTGAGAGATAGATATACATACAAACTAAATAAAAGTTCTACCTTGAGAGATAGATATACATACAAACTAAATAAAAGTTCTACCTTGAGAGATAGATATACATACAAACTAAATAAAAGTTCTACCTTGAGAGATAGATATACATACAAACTAAATAAAAGTTCTACCTTGAGAGATAGATATACATACAAACTAAATAAAAGTTCTACCTTGAGAGATAGATATACATACAAACTAAATAAAAGTTCTACCTTGAGAGATAGATATACATACAAACTAAATAAAAGTTCTACCTTGAGAGATAGATATACATACAAACTAAATAAAAGTTCTACCTTGAGAGATAGATATACATACAAACTAAATAAAAGTTCTACCTTGAGAGATAGATATACATACAAACTAAATAAAAGTTCTACCTTGAGAGATAGATATACATACAAACTAAATAAAAGTTCTACCTTGAGAGATAGATATACATACAAACTAAATAAAATCTACCTTGAGCAAATATAAACCAGACAAATGCCGAACCAGAGGTTGTTTTATCTCCCCATTTAAAATCACACCAAACTCTCCTTTGAAATGAATTGATACCAATTAACGGGAATGCTAATATAATGCACTGAAATTAAATATGTATTTCTGAAACCATTGCTCAGATTGGAATATAATTGTATAACCATAACGTTTTCTGTTTAAGATTCGATCCAAGGACACAATTCGGGGGGCAAATGCTCTTTGTTTTCCCACTCTAGAGAGAAACTTCCGCTTCCTCTAATTCTCCCCCGTTTCAGTGGTTTCAGGCATCGAAATTCTTGGAAACCGCCTCTTTAGCTAATTAAACTAAATGAAACTCTCCAAACTGATAGTGAAAAATATAACTACTAACCGTATAAATTATAACGCCAATGATTATAACTAGAGCTTTCTGAACACTCCACAATCTCTCGTACAGAAATGGTTTGGCAATGGAACAATATCTCTCCACTGCTAGAGCAGTTAATAAAATCATTGATGCCTGCTGAGTTTGATTAGCAAAGAATGCCAATGCATTGCAATAATTCATCCCATATTCACAGGGTCCGAACCAAAATATTAGCAACTGTAACAGCAAGCCGGTAACTGAAATTAACATAGTGGAGCTTTAAATGATATATCAATTTTCCTTTGAAAATTGATTATACAAAATTAAATATAACTGAACGTCCTGCATTACTTTAAATTATCAGATAAAGCTAACGGAACAAGAGGTAAAGAGGCCAGCGGCATTAGCTTAATGCTCAGTGAGATTTTGGTCGTTTTTGTCTCCATATATCAGTATCCGTGGCAGGCCGTTGGGGCGATGAAGCGGCTCCTCCAAGTTGAACTAATGTTAGGGCCGCAGTCTACCAAGGATGCATATTCGTGTACGGTACGTTCTGATGGGATCCCTCACGTTGTTAACGTCTTTCAAAGCCCCCTACGAACCAAGGAGTTTTACCCACGGTATAAAGAAAGCAATGGAAATCATACTATTACGTGTATACGTTTACACTATATTCTCGGCAGCCAAGGAAATCACGCTTCAAGCCGTGACAAAACGGAACACAATGTGACATTGCTGGAAAGGAACTTCAGATGCCGGGGAATATATACGATACACGTCCAACTACGGACCACACCAATGTTTTGTTACGAAATATTACGTATTATAGTGTTTATCCAGTTTTATCACGGTCTATTACAGTTCTCATCCGCACCGTGACCGCCGTTGCTGCCGTTCAAAATATTTCGATAGTTTAAAATTCTGGCCAGAATCCACACGGTAATTACGGTTTGACACTGAATTATGAGTCCTTTGAGAACAACGCTGTTCGACTTTAACTTTCACCATTGACTAAAAGGTAGCATAACTTCATAGCGGTTCCGAGCTTTCCTAAAAGTAGTATATTCCTGAAAGAACTTTCGGGCCTGTGCTTTGACTTTGACGATAAGCCTGTGATTAAAATGTAAATTGTTGAAACTTGATTCCGTGTTGCGTATATAACTGATAGTAGGGCTTAATGTTAATATTGACGTCCTCTATATTTGAACAAATATAACCTTTTATACTTACATGTTAGAATAATATCGTTGAATCCCAAACCTATAATGATGACCTTTGAAACAGCGGCGTCTTTATTCTTTTTCAAACTTAGAGACATCCAAATGACGATGCCAAGACTAGTTACTAATAGCCACATAAACATAAATGTCCCACCCCACGCTAAGGACTCGTCAGGTTCAAAATTATCCACAGAACAATTTAGCACTGACATCACGGGCTTTGCTCAATATGATAAACTAATTCTTCATGAGGTTTCACATCTGCCTTTCTTTTATAGATGTTGAACATACATAAGCCTTTTCTCGTTTTTAGATATATCCAATATGTATAGTATATCGATCGAAGGTTTCTTAGCGTCTCTATGTGTATGGGAAACACTTCTAGTTGCGTTGCGTTCAAATTCTTCAAATACAATCTTACAATATTATTTACCAGTCAGAGAGTTTATAACTATTTTTGCAAATTCTTATGAATGGAAAAATCACAGAAAACTACTTGTTGTTTTATCTAATGGGATGAAAAAAAATAAATATATGAATGTAATAAGATCAATATCACGATTATATTTTGAAGAACCGTAATGGAATGATAGTCGCAACGACCCCTTGTCAGTTAATTGATTGAATTGTGGTTCCTTTTATCCAAATAGCTTCGTATGACGCAGTGAAATTTAACCAATGAAAATATTATTTGCGTAAGAAAAGGGTTGGACAATATTTATAGTGCGTGTGTTCATAAATACAAAACAAAGCTTTATTACGTTAGGCCGTAATACGAGGTTAACATCTTAAAGTTAAACACGGTAGTGAGCAATGTGAAAAATAAGGATGTCAAAACATTCATTGTGTTTCTTAATGGAATATTGTTTATTTATCATTACCCCTATCAAGTATTTAAAGTACATGTAGACCTAAATTATATTGGGAAATAATGATATACAATTTTTTAAAATACGTTAGCTTAATAAACCAACGAATCCAAGACAAAAGAGTATATTGATACGAAAATAACTGTCAGACTTATTACTGTTTTTTGCTAATGTGGTTTTAAAATCGATTAAATTTATTAAAACCACCGTTTATTAGGACAGACGCCCCTTGATGAAATAGTAATATTTTAACATAAAGAGACCAGATTGAAAAATATGCCTACCACAAAAAAACATGGATTGGTTATGGGTTTGGCGTTTTGAGCCACAGAACTAGTGTAGACATGCGGTAATATTGAGAAATGTAAGCTATACTCAAATAAATAGTGATTCTAAGCAATAATACCGTGGATCTTTAATCTTGTCAGATACAATCAAAACCCAATATGAATTTATATCTCAAGGAAAATGACATTTTGAAAGAATAGTAGAATACAATTACAATTTCAAATTTCAACATTACAAAAAGGGAATGAACTGTCTGTTATCCCCTTGGAAATTATTCGAGTCCTAGACATTTATGCTTTAAATGTCTCCAGTTCATAAAAGTACAGTTTAAAATAAGCTAGATATGTAAATCCAATAGATTATGGCTTAAAATCAATTTTGACATAACTTTTAGTAATCATAAAGATAAATATGTGATTTGCCGTATCAACAACTAATTTAAATTGTCATGGAAACGTATCTATTTCCATCAGCTTAAACAGTAAAGATTATACATGGAGCAAGTAATGGTCAATGGTTTATGTACTGCGCACACTAAGCCTTGAAGCTTCAATTTACAACAAATTTGCATTGAATTTTTTACACCTCCAATCCTTCAAAGATAGTTTTACAAGGTAAATAAGTAACCTAAACACTTTATGGATTTCATTTCAAGGGAGATAACTTTTACCAGATTTTCGTTAATTTACGCCATTAAATTACACGATAATCTTTTGTTTACTTAATTTTGTTTTTCAGAGACGGAACAAGTGATATCTATACTAAGTTTAAATTTTTAATCAGAAGTTTAAGTTTTTTTTTTGGCATGTTATCTGATATTTGTCGTGTAATATAAAGAGTTTATTACAATCGTAATACATCAGATACCCTATACAGAATGATTTCATGGAAATTTTTGAAACTATGTAAAATATTATTTTTATGTTTGCATTATCCGGATGTATCGACTTTCTTGGCGAATAATGCGACAAAATGTAAAATGGGGCTAATATGTTATGAAAAATTTATATATGATACACTCTTGTATTCCTAATCATAATATCGATTTTGATGAAATTCTCTTTAATCATGTCTCAGTTGTAAGCAAAGTATTTATTCTGAGATTTATTATTGACTCCGACCTTCAAACAAAACAAGATATTTCTGATGTGTTTTGTTAGATGAAATAATAATATGGAAATGTCCTCTTTTGTTCGACTGCTTTTATCATGAATAAGAAAGACCCAAAATTAGGTATGCGTTGACCTTATCATTGTTTCTATTCTGTAACAACAAAAAGTGGTGTGTCACAAGGGGCCGTTATTTTCCCCTTTCTTTTCATTACAAGCATGAATGACCAAAAACATGTTTTGTATTATTTTGACAAGTATAAATAACAGGCACATTAAATGACCATTATTCAGATGTCCAGTCCGTAAACAAGTATTTCAACACATACCGTTGATTTGTGGCCAAATTAATTCACGTTTGTCGCTTTCATTGGAATCACATGTTATATGATATACTTATTCAAAAATGTATTTTGGTAGTAGAATTTACGGATACCTAATTTGTTTCTTTAGTTTCACTGCATTTTGTGGTAAGTTTAAAATCTTTCAAAAGACATAAATAGCTTTCTTGATGATGCTGGCTCTGTAATGGAATCAAATAGCATTCGCGTTTTCACCATTATGATTCCAGTCGAGACATCCGTGGTTCACGTAATTCTAGATTTTCCATTTAATTTGAATGCAATTTGTGATTGTGTTCTGCTAAGATAAATTGTTGATGTATTTTGACAGTCATTTTAATTAATTTGTGTTCAATGGTTCAGAATAAGTTTTCCCTTTCTTTTGCGTTTTGTTAGGAATATTGAAGTACATGTATTGCGAAAAAGAATAGAATTTTATAACTTCTCACTCTTGTTTAATGCAACGATATTGAAAAAAAGACCAAACTCAATTCAGCGTAAAAGGCATTATAATATATTTCAATTCCAGATAGCCAGTGTCAGTTACCAAATGAATTAAGAGGATCCTGGACAAGTTCGACCCTCGGATCATTAACGTTCAATTCGACCACCTTATCAGGAATTGCGATACCTCCAGATTCTTGCGCGGAAAAATGTCCACAGACATTAGATTGTTTCATGAAAAATGAATCTCTGTATCTTTTGAGGTACGTAATTTTCTGGAGATAAGAGGTTAAATTGTGCATTCTACACTCGAAATCGAGAAATGGCCGTGAATGGAACATTTTTGATACTTTCTCAAAATTGCTTCAGAATTTCAAATATTTTCACTTGTCACAATTCGTCATGTGTTAAGATAGTTTGACGTGTACTTATTGAAGAGCTTATTCAAATAATAATAATTTGAAATAAATAATTATAAATATATTAAAGATTCACGTAAAACGAAAGCAATCATTAGTTGATGACAAAATGTTATTGAATTAAGGTATTGTTTTAGATCTTAATTTCAGATCGCCAGTGTTTACCTCGGGAAAGGTTCCACTCAGAATGTATACTTGTTGGAGTATGAGTGATATTTCAACAACTAAGATAGTTTATTTTAACGGTATAGAAGGTATGCATGCATTTATATATAACTGAGTTTACAAACGTCAATTAAAGACCATGGATCACCATTTCGTCTTTGTCTCGTTCATTTTGGTCTTGTTTAACTGTAATTAGTCTCCAGCAGTCATAGAATTGCACGAAAATCGCATTATCCCTTCAAATATACCTCAAACTAGAAATATCTATTTCTATTTATATTTATGCCTTTTCTATATGAGAAGAGTCTGAAGAAAAGGCGTCATTTTAAGATTCAAACGCTGATAGTTGTGGGCACACATGGATTTGAAGGCTCAAATTTCAATAATATTCTGTGAACACTTTAACGGATTAGCTAAGCTAAACAAATTCCCGTTTCTGAGACGGCGAACCCTTGGAAAAGCCTTTGGATGAAAAGTAAGAGTACTTACTGTTGCACACAAAAATCGTCTACTTAAATATTTTTTCAATTACATGTAATTTAAGTTTATTCCATATTTGGCATGTATTAATTGTTTGATGTTCGTATTATCGATTAGAATCTACCATGCCATGATTATTGAAAATATGTCATATTGAAAACACGATGCCATCGCTCTGTGTACACAGACTGCATTCCGTGTTTCCGAGTGAAAAATATCTCTCAGGGCAAATACAGACAGATAAAAAAAAATTTCTTTTTTGTTTTAATTTAATAAAAATGTTATAATTAATAAAAGTTAATGTTTCCAAGTCTAACAAAACTATTTACGTTGTTACATAAAACATAAGAGTTGAGAATATCCCAAGGAAAAATGAAGGCAGATAAAAAAAAAGATTTTCTTTTAAATTATAATCTAAAAAAATAAAATAAAAATAATATCAGACATAAAACGATTGACATTGTACTGGTCAAATGTAATAGTTTAATATTTTGCCTTAGGTAAAAAGACACAGATAATAAGGTTTTGGTTTTAGCCGTAATTTTAATCGTACGAAGTTCGTAATGGCTTGGCATTGTGACGATGACTTATTACTTACTTTTTTACTACAAACTAACAAAGTGACATCGGTTGTATCACAATTACGAGCATGTACATATGAACGACTCCCTCCATAATGCTTAGAGTGGAGTTCATATTCAAATTGAGATATTATTTATTAATATACTGTTATGGTACGAGTCTTAATTGTTTCTTCAAATGCTCTGGAACACAGACTGTGTTAGTGATATTTTGCTATATTTCAGATCTTAATGAGTTTACTAAAGACCGATCAGTGTTTCGAGATACCGAACCTAGTGATATTTATACTATTTGTAACAGACATGTACCTTATCCACCACAAACATATAATTTACTCGTAAAATCAGGTAACCTTTACGCATTAAATGTAGGCAATGACAAATTTGATAGGAATATAAATAGTTATTAAGCATAAGATGTTTTGTCATCATACAGAATTAGAACTGTTTTAGCCTACCATCTGAACACACAGATTTCACACAGTCTTTTCTGTAAACTACCATCGTCATAATTGATATTTTTCGATTGGGTTAAAGATAAATATCGATACTTACTCCTGACACCTGACGGTCCCAGAATGTGATATACAATCTTTAATAACATGCTGGGTTTTGACTTTTCTTTCAGATTCTACCCCAGTTACTGTTTGTCCAAATGAATTGCTTGGAAAATATGTAGACGAAACAAGTGACTGTTCACTTAAGGTAGATATGTGCTCTGATGTTACCAAGTTTCAAGTTTCTTCTAATAATTGTTCATCAAAGCCATTTTATTCCGGTAAGTGTCGTTATTCAATTATTTTTGTTTGGGAATGGTGATATATTAGCTTTAATTGGCAAGTGTGGTGGAAAATTCTTTTGGCTCAACATCTTTGGTTTCTAACCAGGTATGCATGAAGTATCAAAATAAAAACAGAGAGTATCTATACCGTCCACCAGGGGAGCTACAGAAAATTTCACCGGTCGGTGGTTGTTTAGGCATTCTTATTTACCAATTGACTAGCTACTGTATACAAGGATCACATCAACGACCAAAATTATGACTTGACATTAAGTATTGTGTTCATTACTTCCAATAGGTATCAGTGAACCCCACTCATCGTTCTAGTTGGGATTCATAGTCGATACAAGGTCAGAAATCAAGACCCACACACGCGCCACATTCGATTGGCTGAGAAAGACACCTTAGTAACGCAACGTTATAATTTGTGTCCAAAAGGCTGTCATTAAAAATCGTTGCCTTCGTTCTTCTAAGACTAATAATCGTCCGTAATGCTTAGATTATATGGGTGATTTTAGACAATGATAGTCTTCAATTAGTTTAATTAAATTTTACCAATATTATACCACGTGAAAATCGTTAAAATCAATGCCATTATTTAACAGTCTTTAAAGGTCATATGCCAGCGACGTACAAACCTTCAGATGTTGTAAAAATTGATGGTTTGATACGCTGAAATATACTTGACAAATTATTGATACAAAAGAAACCAGAGGGATATGTACGAAGATATGTTCACATCATCTCGATATCACGTATGGAAAATTGAGGTCCTGAAATGTAACCATGTAATGCATTTTTTTTTACCCAGAAAATGGTAGTTTGAACTGTGTACACTCTGTGCAAAATAATGGAACAAATTACGTTACACTTTACAATAACGACAACACATTAGACGCTTCCGATACCTACAGGTTTACATGTTTGGTAAGTTGGTGCCAGAATTTGCAAGAATTCTATTTTTTTTCTTTATATGTAAGCGACTATATTTGCTAACGAATATTTTTGCTCGAATATAACTTGAAAACTACCTCTAACTTCAATTGCGCCTTTGAATTGTTGACAACTTAAACTTATGGCATTGATCACGGTACCTTTTTTCTATAAAATTTTTGTTAAAAGGGGTGGAGCTTCAGGCATACAATAACATCAAAATGAACTGGTTGTAGCATATCTAAGCTCCACCTTTCTTCTAAGATTCTATTTGGTTTTCATGTTAATTTATACAAGTATTGTACAACAACAAATTGCTGATAAAAGACCATTGTTTTCACACATTTTAATAAATTTATTTCTTCAAAAAGAAAAAAAAACAAATTTATGTCACAATTTTCGTTGTAGACTATCAATATGGTCGACGGTAAAATGGAGATTTCCGGGAATCCAAAGGAATGTTTTGAGAATGTTTCTTCAACTTCCGATTTCTACCAGATGTCACCTCTAGGTAATAACGATTTCGATTGTTTACCTATTTTCAAATTTATATCTTTAAACCATTTATGGAAATCTTGTGGACTAATTGTGCATCGCTAATATTCAATTCAATATTCAAAAATGATATTGGGAAGAAGTTTAAGAATATTATCCAAACTGAGATTCGCTCTCATTCCTGCTGAACACCAAATGTCACTGGTGTTGGACATCGAACGTACATTTTATGGGAATCCAAATGGCTAAAATTAGTGCATGTTTCTAGTGATGTTCTTCCACAGTTTGAAGCATGCTGCTAATTAAAGAACAGAACATAAACAAAATTACAGTTATCATGCGAGATCTACTTTAGATTCAGATTGCATGTCTTTGAAACAAGAAGTCAAAATCGAATCGAAAAATGTTAATTGTTATGAATTTATTTATCTTCTTCTTTCTTACAGAGATGTGTCGTAAGTGTATTTTACATTAATTGTTTACTCTTCGTTTCCATGATAACATTCTTTCAACTGGATAGTAAATACCATTTAAATTATTCCAACGTCAAGAAATATTGCAATTAAAGAAACGTTACATTATCTGAATTTGCCTTGGTATTATTGTTTCTTTTATTTCAATGTTATGCCTTAATAATCATTGTTTACTGATATACTTTTTAAATGAAATAATAAAAATAAACAGGAAATGAAAAGGTCGTCTGAAGATCACATAGTGTGAGTAAAAAATCGCTCTATAGTTGAGGTATTGAGCACTATTTAAATAGTGAAAATATTTTCTTTACTTTAATGTAAAAATAAATCATTAAAATAAGTAGTCAATAACAAGTAAGCCAAATTTTGAATTTTAAAGGTTTGAGATATATCAATTAATCGTTTAAACATAATTAATAAAATTAAGATCCAACAACATCCAAATAACCTTAAATTGTATATTTATTTTGTTATTAAAGCTATCACTACAACTGTACCAACAAACACAACAGTACCAACAGAATTAGGAACAGCAGAAGTTGTAGGGCTGTCATTTGGTGTCATCTTCGTTCTACTTTTATTACTTCTTCTTCTGTGTTGTCTGTTTTGGCGCCAAAACAAACGGAAACAGAAGCAGAAATTTGATTTGGAAAGAGAAAGACGTCTGCAATCACGTGATGATGATAACGTCAGATTGATAGGTGCTCACCGAGGTAATTTTGTATGAATATGGGTAATATTTAATGCAGTACTAGTTTTCATACGAAATTCCTGCCTTTTAAAACTAATATTAACAAAAAGCTTCGTCTCGACAGTTTTATTCTTGATATGGCAGCAATTGAACAACATGGTATTGTTTTTGTCAAAAAAAAATTCAACTACACAATTGGGGATTTTCGGGATATGGCCATCACTATCCCCACAACTCTATTCCACCTAAGTGTGATCTTTGATGCGATCAAATGTCAAAGCCATGTCATACCTAGAAGATTTCCAAATCTCTACCCGTTTGTAACCAGTTTGAAGTAGATCCCCACTTATTAAAGTACAGAATATTGTCTCAGGATTTACTAATACGAATGACATAATATAACCTTTTTGTAGATAGAGCAGAATCACAAGGTAGTGATTCGGGAGACTCTGGTTTGGGACACGGTCAAAATAACTTACTGAGAGTATACTCTGAGGAATACCGTCCAAACAGTGGTAAATACAGACCTGGTCCAATAGAAAGAAAGCTTCTTATTAATAAACACGGTCAAAAAATCTTAGTCGTAAGTTCTCAAGTTATCAAATTTTGACAGTGATGGCGTAATTACAACCACTGCTGTCTCTGGTTTGGGAAATTATCCTTAACATTCATTGCATCATGTAGTACAATTTTTCAGTTCGCAATTACTTTAAAAAGGAAAAGGATGAAAAATGTCATTTTAATGAAGTATTTATTTTATTTTATTTTGTTATTCATAAGGATCAGAGCGATACAACTACAAGACCAATATCCAGTAGAAGTAGAAGAAGCCGTTTGGGTGCTGATGCTCACGATGTCGAAGAAGATAGTGAATCATTTAGATGCAGAAAAAGTCGTTTGGGTGTTGATGTACATGTTGATGCAGATGGTGAATCATTTAAAAGCAGATCTTCACGACGAACAATCATACAGAAGCGAATACTTCCAGACGGCACAGAGGTAACATGGTCCACTTTCTTAGTTCACTTGTACGAATTAAATGGTCATGTTTTGTCGTTGCTAACAACTGAATATGGTTGATAGTGATTATACTTTGACTTGCTCTCAGTATAGGTTAATGGTCGAAAGCTTGTCAATAAGTCTAATAATGATCGTGGGACGAGGACCGAAGGTCCGAGTACTACGTCATTAGACGTATTGACAAGCTTTCGACCATTAACCAACTTAAAAATACAGTTCACAAACAATTACATCTACTCAGGCACGTGCTAAAATATAGGTGACATGGGATCCAATCATATGCCTAACAATACAGACAATCTTTCAAAAAGTCCGGTCGGGAAGATAAAAAAAATATATCTGTTCGATTTACATACTGTACTATTATTCCCGTATTGCTGTGTCGTTCATTTCATTATAAATGATATGGATATAGATTAAAATGGATATTTTACTTAATTAATTTCGTATATCTGGACTGTGACTCATGGATTACAATTTGAATATGTATGTCTACAGGTCAGTTTTTCCCCCTTTCCATTAAGTATTTCAGAATCGAAATACAAGATTCATGTCCAGTAGCGTAGTGAGGATTTCATTGACGGAGAGGGCATGCGAGCACCCTCGGCTGCCCTTTCTGGATTTAATAGGACACTTGATATATCAGGATCCCCTGTAAAACTGATCTAATCTAGGAATTTGTTATGGTCCCTAAATAAACCACTGTCATGGCATTTACGGCATCGTTTTGTGATTTACATTTTGCATTGTTAAATTTTTTAAGCAATTAGTGACAAGGATGACCGAGCTATTGGAATTATTACTCCCCTCCTGGCTGTATCAAATTTAAAACATTAGTGTTGTTTATGAAGAGACTTTAGTGCTTTATTTCTGACAAAATAAGAATAATATTCTAATTCTAAGAATATATCTTAGATCAATATGTTCACCCAAATCGTATATATATTATAACTAGTGTTCACATACTATTTAAAGCCAAGTTCAATCGTGAATACATTTATAAAACAGTTCACATTTACTTGGCAAAGGACCAAGAGTCCAATATTTGGAGTTCATTATTAATGTCAATATTGGACTCGTGGCCGTTTGCCAGTACCATTATGTTGGATAATGGTACGCCGAGATCAAAGGGTGACGTCACATAATATATATGTTTGTTTACTTCTTGACTATGTCTAATGAACAGCTATTGTAATTTCTAATGACTGATACGGATGCTGATTTCTTATTTGTTTTATATTTTTTAATAGGCTAGGTGAACTAAGTAAGCAATTAGATTATTTGTTCAAGACCTAGGTACATGTGTACAATATTCTAGTGTATGATGTATCTCCTTTAGTTGGAACAAGAGAACTGTTTTAATGACTTTGACTCTTATGATTTGCACTTCTTAGTTATAATAGGATAGCACTATTTAGGACTATATCGGATTATTAAGTAGGGTATAACGCAATTGTAGGTTGATGAAGAGATTAATATCTATGAATTTGGTTCTGATATTGAACTCGAAAATAACTAATGACTTATTATTGGTTGAAGAAGGAAACTCTTCTATTAAACTTTGGTATTACTCAGTTGTAGGTTAAAGAAAAGACAGAAATTTATGATTTATTCTCTTTTATTAAACTCTAGTATAACTCAGTTGTGGGTTGAAAAAGATATTTATGACTCTGATAATGACCTTATTACAGGATGAAGAAGAGATAGAATATTTATGACTCTGACTCTGATAATGAACTCTGCTAATGACCTAATTACAGGTTGAAGAAGAAATAGATATTAATTTATGACCCTGACTCTGATAATGAACTCTGTTTAAGTCTGATAATGACCTATTTTACAGGTTGAAGAAGAGATCGATATTTATGACTCTGACTCTGATAATGAACTCTGGTATAACTCTGATGAGCAGTATGAGGATAACCTTAGTGATAAGATACACGATGCTGAAGTAAAGAGAGAAAACAGTTTCTATATGTTTCAGGTACATTTTATATGTTTAACAAAAATGTGAACGCAAACTTATAGTTTTCAAGTTTGTTTTCAATCATATTTCTTCAAAGAATATACATGGCAATCATTTTTGCATTAACTGACGTGGCCATGAGATGATGAAAATTCCTATTAATTTAGGAAGTTTTTGAACTAGAAATGCAAATTTTCTTTTGCAAAATAAAATTTCTGTCCACATTCAATTTTTACGAGGGAAAGGTGTATTTCAAATGTAAAATCACTAAACCTAAATTTTCTATGAGTTCGAAACATTTTGAGATAAATAGCATGCAATTGAAAATCTATTTTGAATTAATTTCTGCGCTTATATAAAAAGTTGAAAAGCTTGAAAAACACAACCGCTTTCTATGGCACAAATTCGTTATTTTATTGTTATTGTAGCCACCACTTCCAGTATCTCCAAATCCAATAACTCGACGACAAGACGAAAAGAGAAATGAGGTAGAAAAACCTAAGAAATCAAGAGGCAGTATATTCAAATCCTTAGCTAGAAAATTAAGGGGTAGTAATGAGGTTGACGACATAGAAAATCAACAAAGTTCCAAGCACGGAAGTCGAAATCGTAAACGGGGAGACAAATATAACAACACGTTCATTGATTCCGGGGGCTCTAAGCGATCCAAAGATAAACAGGAAATAGACGAAAACCGGAAGCAGTTAGATGAGGACAGAACACCTTACTTAGAAGAGTATCGTCATAAGAAATCAATAGAGCACGCATTAGATGACGAAGGATTCTTTGATGAACCGGATTCTAAGAAAAGGGCTTCTGATTTATTTGTAAGTATACTAAATTGTCTTAATCAGTCATGACATATGACAAAGGAAACAGCATATATAATCTACACATCAACATTCCGTCAAAATGTACTTTTACAATAAGAAATGGACTTCATTCCTGTTGGCTTCTGTAAACATGTTACCAATTAATGTCAGGTTGAAGATTGTGTTGTAGAGAACACAGTGTCATAATGATTGTATTTGTGTCTGTATCAAATTGTTTACATCCGTTCAACCTATATTGTACATTTTATTTTAGAAGTTCTATGACGAACATAAAGAAATCAACTCATTGTCACCAATAGAAGGAAATAGTATCCACAGTTTTGGTCATTCTCAGTCCCGTTTAACGACGCCAGCATTAAATTCAGCGAATCATAATCATAGTCCCGTACCACAAGGTTGTCAAAGAGAAGACACGTATGGCGACCTTCAGTATTTGGAATCATTTAGGTTGTCAAAGGCATCCAACGGTTCTCATTATTTACATCCAGATACGTCATTGAATAGCAATAATTCGTCGGCATCTCATATCCCATCAAGAGGAAATCACATTTTTGGAAACATGAATAATTCGCATATAACTAGCTCTAGCTTAAAGGTTAATAGAAATTTATATAAAGACTCAGATAGCAATTTCATCGATCTAAATGATAAAAGTACAGATGGGTATAATTACGGGATAAAAAATACTGGTAATTGGAGTAAAGATGGCTCTTTTCTGAATGATAAACGTAGAAATGGTTCTTCGATTAGATCCAACGGCAAGGAATTCAAGACTATTAATTTTCATGATCCAGATTCAACAGATGCCTTGTCCAGTCGATCAGCCTATTCTTCAAGAGGAAAGAAATCAAAGGTATGTAAGATCGTATTTATTTGTTGATTGAATGTTAGTTATGATTGATTTCAGTGTACTTTTGTTCTATGATATGGTAACCTTTACAACCCGAGCGTTAGAGCAAAATTCACCACGTCTCCGTTCCTTGTATTATCTTTTAATTCAGGGGTTTTCAACCTTTTTTTGTAATATTACCCCTTTCACGATCCCGATCGATTGCATTGCTCCCTTTTTCCTATAAATCCTTACATTTTCGTGATTTGTCTCTTATGTTTTCCCTGCAATCTTTTTCATGTCGACGAATATAGCCTGGCTGAGTAGAACTACAAAAAAATTCAAAATTACCCTCTTGGGGATACCCTTAGGTTTTGAACCACTGTTTTAAATCATGGTTATCATTTACAGCGCAACAAACACCGTGATCGTCTCCAAAGAGAAGCAAGCCAACTGTTAACAGCAAATTTAGCTAAAGATAGAAGTTCGACGCCATTAAGTCAAAGCAACCCTACTCAATCACATGCAAGTCACTTGTTGTATCCATTAATTAGTAACTCTGAAGTCAAAATTCTGTAAGACGTGCATAAGGAACTCAAAAGTATCTGAATGAAGTCAAGGCTGCTGTCTTGCAGCAGTAACTCTTTCTGCAGCAGTTCAGTACTCTTTCCAAGGACACCCCCTTTGTCATTCATATCTAATTTGGAATTTGGATACAAATATGTTAGGTTAGCCCTGGTTTTTAGAATAATAATTGTGTGTTGAGCCCTACAAAAGAAAACGCATCTGGTGTTCTCGTGTTCTCTTTTTATTTCTTACAACGAAAATTACAGGGACTCTTCACGTGTAAAAAACTTTATGTTTATAATTTCCAGGTTCACTTGCTTCACGTTAACGAATACTCATCTAGTCCCACAAGTTCTCAACGCCCATCAACAATAACCTTACCGTCCATGAGCTCAGAGATGTCCAGTTTGAAATTCCAGAAACCATCGTATACGTCCCAGCTGTCATCTGTTAGTTGTTGGTCTAAATCGAGTTACGATGGATATTGGTCAGGTTTAGATAGATATAACGCCGAGAAAAATCACCTCGATTTCAGTGCTGACGGTATGTTTCCATAAATATTATAACCTTATATATTTCACATGTATTGCTTGGGTGCTTATTGGATAGGATTCGATGAGATTCGTTTCCATTAAGGTGAAACAGTGCAATTTCGTAGCATCATGGATGTTGAACAAGAGCATGCCTACGACACAAGTGACATAAGACTTTCATGGTATTACTTAGAAGATATATTCGTATTTGGTATTTTCTAGTACTGCATTTGTTTCTTCATAAATTATTCAATTTTTACATTAAATTTCAGAATATCCAGTATGGTTATCGAAGGGTAAAAGTCACCTTTCTTTTGTCAAAGATCTCAATAAAAAGGTATCATATAGATATTCAATAGATTGCGATTTCGTTTCGTTATTATTATTATTGTAATCTAACGGGATTTATACCAATGTACTGGTAATGTTTCAAGCTATAGACAATTACCACACACTCTCCCGCCAATCAAAATACAAGAGAGTATCGGCAGTCTCCTAATCCCATTGGTCAATTTGCTCTACTTTGGGTTTAGCTATCCCACAACTCATAGTCGAGATTTACACATGGATTCTGCACGACGCGCTGTGATTGGTGGAAATGATTACAATGGAGACCAACTAAAAATGATAAGGAAACGAAATTGTAATCTAATTTCTATTAAATTCGTCATTTTTTTTTACCAATCGTAGGTTACCTTAGTCTCAGAAACGGGATACTAATCAATAATAGCATTCATAGTCAACTTCGAAATTTGAGCCTTCAAATCCACGTGTGTCCAGAATTATCCGCGTTTGAAAGATAAAAAGACGAATCGTCTTTTCTTGAGACTACCATATAGAAATGTACCATCTCGAGATTGACGAAATTGAAACCCCCAATAGTTGAGCCAACACGACTTCTTAACTTTTTCTGAGCGTAAGAATAGGTTGTATTGGTAGCGAACATACAATAAAGGAAACAAAATCTGAAGAGCTGTCGTTTAAACCAGGCTGCTGTCCGATTTATTCTGTGTATTCCACGACGTTGATATAGCTTAACATTATATTGTGAATGAATTCTACATTTTGTGACTTTTTTTTAGCAAACCGAAGCTACAAGTTTGTTTACTCGTGTAAAAGGACCACAACATGATAGAGACTTGGATGGATTATTGAGTCCTAGACATAATATACCTGGTAAACGAAGCCGTACACCAACGTCATTGTCAGATCGTTACATCAGCGTGACGCCTCGCTCGGCTAGACTACATTTTCCAATACACGATAAAGGGAGACTAAAACGTCTGCTGGAAGAACTGTATTTAGATAAGAAATATATGGATAGGCTGTATACACAAACTGGTAAGCATTACGTGGAAGCGTAAATCAACATGTTTACGATCATAAATATGAGAAAACGCTACTTTATTAGCTTTTCCAGAATTCGAACCAAATGCAACATTGATGTTATTCACTGATCACGATTCTGAATTTATAGAATACATGTAGAGGGACGTCGCACTGGAAATCGGGCTATTTGAAGCTTTAAATGCTTTGTTTATTTTCAGTGGGTGCTAGAGATAAATGTGAAAAAGACGCTCATGATTTGTCTGAAGATGGTGGACAGTTTTTAAATCATGTGGCCAGGTACTGGGAAGAACAAAAACCGTTGCCACCAATATTACGTCTTCACAAAGAGATCACTTATCCAAGTTCTAGTATTGAACATCAAAGTAGTTATACATAAAACTGTGTAGTCGTTGTTTTAATAATATAATTAGTAGATACGATGTTAAATCTTGTGGAAAATGTTTTCACGTTTAAATGATTGTTGAAGATCGTCCATGTAGGATGCAGTTTTTGGATATGGTCTTGAAGTTCGACTTTTCACCCAATTTCATTACATACTACCAGTGGCGTTGCGAGAATTTTTTTAAAGGGGAGGTGGGGGGTTTGGGTGGTCCAGAAAATGCTTAAATCTTGCTATTTTCGAGTGAAAATAGAGCAAAAGAATTAGCCCTATGTGAGGGCCATGGCATCAGAAAAATTGAATTGATTTTATTAACTTCCATTTAAAGGCAAAAACGTATACATTTGATAGAAATGAAATAGGGTAAAATTGGGGGCAAGGGTACTGGGTATCCCCACTGCCACTGGATTCAACCATTTGTGGCTATATCATTCCTATACGCCGTTGGGTGCAACACTGCACAGTTGTTTTCACATGCTGAAGTACATAAGATTTCGATTCAAACCATCAGATATATTGCATTCGACATGAACCAAACCCTCATTGACGACGTTTTAGTTATTATTGCGCTCAAATGAATTAATCCAGCATTGGAACAGAATTTCCCAGTTGCAGTACGTAATTGTTCTTGAATTAATGCAAACTTCAATTCAATTCTTTAAACTGTTTCCTGAATATTATTGACCTATTGCAATCACCTTCACAGCAAAAAACATGTATATCTACACGGTATCCTGACAACATGATGGATGGATGGATTACTCAGTAAACGCATCTTAACACCAACGTCATAGTCAGATCATTACATCAGCGTGGTGTCTTGCTCAAATTACATGATATACAAACTTCCCAATACACGATAAAGGGAGATAAAAACGTTTGATTGAGACACTGTACTTCGATAAGAAATATGGATGGGCTACATGCACAAACTGGTAAGCATTACGTAATAATAATATTTAATATTAGTTTGTCAATGATTTTTTAGGTTTCTGAAATAACAGAATTCATGGAAAGGCAAATCAGATTGATGCAATTGGAGGCTATAAGGATCTGGTTAATCGCTTAAAGTGGTACTACGTCTTAGAATTAACATAAAATTTTAGAATTCTAAACTTGGCGAATAAGAACCAGTAAATATACCTTGTGTTATAAATAACATAACAGGATCCTAATATAATCCAATAAATCCAAAAAACTTAGTAATTATCCACAAATATGCAATTAACTTAATATCAAGATTTTTCAATAAATAATTAGTTTTATGAATTTTCCAGATTTTACAGGGATTCTGCTGTAACTTTATAAGCTGATGGATATATACACATATTGACCATTTCGAGAACTTAAATTATATATTCATTCTAAGTCGCAGTACCACTTTAAGGAAGGAAACCTCTCTGAATTCCGTAGAGCTTATAAGACTTGACAAATGTTTTCAATTCAGACAAATATGTCTATGGTTTCAGTATTTGATCACTTTGTGGATTGTCAATTTGTTTTCACAATATTTACCAAATTAACAATATTTTATGTCGAGTTTCTTCATAATGGATGTTATATCTCTCCAGAATTATGAGGTCAATATAGTATTGCATTAGCTTTGATACTTTATGACTTTATGAAATTCTGAAATTATAAGCGTTATCGGTTTTCTTTTCTGATCCACCTTATATTTGAATATATGATTTTGGGAGTCTATCTGAATATACAGTAGATATTTCGTTTTGTGTTTCATCTTTTGATTCGTAATGGCTGGCTTACATGGTATCCCACAAAAACCACATAACGAAACATTTGTATTTGTATGTTTATCTGTATAAAATCGCAAGACTCTAATTATGGCCACTTAAAGTGTGTACTCTTCCAATTTAAGGTTTCGGGTTCCATCGGGACAAAGTTGATCAACCGGGTTTTCATGGTATTCAATAACGACTGTAAACCAAATCTTGACTCTGAACAACCCAACGAAGACTCGGCCTCCCCTTTGCTTTCGTGCATTTCTCCCTTTGCAAAATACATAACATTGATCCGTTAAGATATTTTTGAATTACAGATTGCCTAAAAAAGGTTTAAACACATTCTGATAATATACATATCTTTAATACTAGTAATTATATTTGAGGTTATACATTCTATTGACAGTAATAACCCTTATCTCTAAGTGTGGTACCAGAAGGACAAGTTCGACATGCCCATTCTGTGCTTGACCAGTATTGGTTAGAATTACAGCAATGTTGTTCATCACGCTTAGTTCTTCTGACAGTTGAACCAGGTTCTTCATCAATTGGCGACTCCCTTTTCTTGCCTGATCCATGACGATCGATCAAACATAAGGTTATTCCTGCTTGGATTTTGAAATCAGTAGCTGGCTGAGGTACGGTGTGATCAGCTGGTAGAGTTTTAAGAGTGATTTTCCATTCATTATAAATGGAGGGTTGAACAAGTCTATCGACGAAACCTTCAGAAGTTAGACATATTTTAATCAGATTTTTGCCAGGTGCATCACATAGCTGATATGGATTATCTCTCTTCACAGTGTAACAGTTAAAGCTATTTTCTGTATATCGTGCCGAATAACCTGTAACAGGAATCAAGTATTTGATTCCACCATACCGTAGAAAATTTTCCATGCTCGGCTCTACATTGACTTCGATAGTGTTAAGATGGTGGCTCGTCATCGGAGGAAGGTAAATCTCAAATCGTGCTATATACATAGCCTTTTCTGCATCATGTTGCTCTAACCATCGACTGTCTACCAGCCACTGAAAATTCGGTACCTTAAAAGTTATCGTTTTCTTACTGTACAATTCATTCAAGTCTAGGTACGCCTGGTCTTGTGGATTTGATGGAGTTATTGGTATCGACACGTAATGTGTGATTTCATTATTGACGTGACAGAGTGGTGTTGGTCTGTGACCGATCACTTGTGAAATAGCCCGATGGGATGGATTATTCAATGCAGAGGTACATTTGTCTTGAACACGCCCTCCTCTTGTATAGGTCAATACGTCACAGTATTCAGTTATCAGTTCCCAGAGGTTCAAAGTTGAAATTATGAAGGAATTGATTGCAAACTTTTGAAGGAAGGCTTGGTCAACTGCATGATTACTAGAATAGACCAATTTAAGGTCATTAGCTTTTTGTTCTGCCAGGTAAGCACGCGAGGTGTCAGACAAAGCGTCCATAAGATCAAATTGATATTCATATACTTCTTCACACAAAGCTATGAGTTCAGATATAGGTCCATGTACTTTGACACAATCACCCTTTGTGGCAAATATTATTTCTCCAACAGCAGAGATAGCAGTTCCACCAGCGAAGGCAGCCTCACACATCACTTCAGTTATCGTCTCAAGTTTGGCTCCATATGATGATATATCTGCAGCCACGATTTTGGGATCATAACCATTATATTTACCGAGGAAAGTACCAGCTGTCGTGGTTGCATCATGTCCATATTTTAACGCATCTATTAACTTCTTGGCATCTAATAATTGGTTTTCATTGGATAAAAATCCTTCTCCTAATCTAGTAGCGTGCTGGATTAGATCAGGAAATGCATCCTGCTGTAGCTGAATAAGTTGAGCCGTGACGACACCTGTCTGAGCCAATTCATTGATTGAGTCCATCAAATCCATGAAACTTGATCCACCGAGTAGAGTACTGGCCGGGTTGGCTATTTGAACCAGTGCAATGCCTAAACTCAAAAGTCTACCAGAAATTTCAAGGACATTATTTTCAAAAGCGGCTTGGAAAATATTTTGAAACATGTCAGATGCAACCTCGGTAACGTTGTTAATTTTGGATTTGTAAAGGTTAAGTCTTCCATCTATATATGCTATGTCTGCTTCGGCTTTGTCTTTATCGTAGTCAGCCAAGGATGCAAAATAGGTGGATAGCGTACCAAAGTTGTTTTGTAATTGTCCCGTCAGTTGATTAAAATATGCTTCATTTTGTGAATGGATAGATGTTGATGCGACATCGAGTTGAAGTTGTTCCAAAACGGTTTTATAGTCAACTGTCGGGTTTAGGACCTTTGTATTAGAATTTTTTGAATTGTCAAAGACATTTATAAAGAGAGACACACTAGTCAAAAGTGGCTCAAGAATACAAAAACCATAATATCGAACATGAACCGTGCCTGAACACACATACACTTCCAATTCTTTTGGATAATAGTTAAGAGAAGGTAGAGTCGCGACAAAGGTCTTCAAATTCTCCATGTCAAATTGTTCAACATAAGCTTTTATTTTACTTTGTGTAGAAACTATGATTGGATCGATCACGCTTAATTCGAAACCGTCATTCATGTAATAACAAAACGGATGATGTGACATCCAAATGATCAAATCTGACTTCGCTTTTTGAACTTCTTGGCTTGTCCAGCTGTTTATAGCCGAAACATCGGTCAAACGTTTCACCGCGGGTAGAAGCAACTTTATAACGCAATCCGGTCTGTAAACCCAATCTTCCTTACATTCCGTATATTTACAATAATAAGCTTTGGGCCAGTCAATTACACACATTGAATCTTCTACAGTGATGTGAGGGTTGTACTTGTTGTAAAGTTGTAACAAACCGTTTCTATCTTCCTCAAGAACTTCTGTCTTAAACTCTTGCATTACGTCACGGGTTATTCGGCTAAGAAAATACATAGATTGGACAGCCATGAAAGGGATAAGCCATCCTTTGGTAAAAGTTTCTTGAAATGTGACATCGTAAAGGCAAGGTTTCGTGTCGTCTTGGTTGTTGCAGCTTTCAAACTTTAGGATATAATCCTTAACTTTACAGTAGTACATTATACCAATTGGATCATTCGTATGTTGGTTACATCGTGTGGTTACTGTTGTCTTCACGTTGTTTAAGTGACTGGTGGTAATCCAATTAGAAATAGTCGACGGACTTGCCAATTTCATATTACACTCCCATGATAATCTTGAGTGATAGAAGACATTTTCTTGAATCCTTGCAGGAATAAAATCTAAAATATTTTCTGTAAAAAATAATTCTAAAGCTTCACTTCTTACAGTACTGTCTACACCAAGTATAGACATTTGGTTCAAAGAGGATTTGGTTTTTAAAGAATTACCATCATGAAGAAGTAATATTAAATGAGTAAGTGCTACGTTCATATCGCAAAAGAACTCTTTATCCAAACAATTATAAGGCCATGTAGTACTTTTACTGTTATAATTTGTACATGCGGGCTGAAAAAAGTCCATCTGCAGTTTACTTATGTCGACAATTCCATCAGGCTTTGATGCTCCCAATTCTGCTGATATTTTAAAATGAGCTAAACCTTCTTCCAATTCAGAGACTATAATACGTGTCAAGAATGACCATAGATTTCCAATTGATTTTTTAACATCATGAGGTTGAGCAAGCCATGATTGGAAACTTAAGGTGCTTCCACTGAGATCACTAGTTACGGTATTTCCACGCCATCTCAGCCTCAGTTTACCAGTAGCTGGATCAAAGTCAGCATGGTATAATACTTTCATGAATTCCCCGTCTGGTAAAGTTTCAGCTGGTTGAAATGACTTCACACAAACATTGCTATTACTCTGAATTGAAACAGTGATCAGTAGAAGACCAATACAGCATGTGAACAGCCAAATCATTTTACAAAATAGCTTGTCCAAACCTAAAAAGAATAGAAAATTGTAGTTTTGGGCACAAGTCTATATACAATACAAATCGAAGAACGAAATTAATGAAATACGAATTTTGATGTGTCACTGCTCCGAAATGGATTTGTGAAGCATCGGCGTAAAATTTGAGCACGTGGCTATCTCTCTTCAATCCAAATGTTCAGGGATCTTAAACGTGCACAATCTGTAACATACAACTTCTGCGACTTTTTTCAGCTTATCAGCTTCTCCACCTTGTATGACATCGAAATGGCAAAACCAAAGGTATATAATCAAATTTCAAGTATTTTACAAACTATTTTTCAAAAATCATTTTCGTCGATATTTCCATGTTGCTTCATTTTTGCTTTTGATAGAATACAATATGTCGGCCCTGTCACATGGACGATTAAGCAAGCGTTTACACCCAGCCCATGACAAATTTATCAAATTCACTACCGCGCGTCAAATGCATCATAGGTATGTATTATATAAGCAATGTATTATTGAAAAACACTGGTATACGCCGTAGTAAGAGGAGCAGTATAAACAATAATTATACTGTAAATGAAATGTTCGATGTATGCGAGTAATACTCAAAACTTCTATTTCTATTGAGTAACGTGCTTTGATCCTATATCGAACTTATCTCCATTGTAAGTTGACATATGCCTACATATTTGACGTGTTCTGGAACATACTTAATGTTTTTTTTACAGGTAACGTATAACCAATCGGCACCCAATATTTTATTTAACTGTCGGTAAGTAAGTTCTGTGGTCGTCCAAGATAAGTCCAGCATAAACTCAAAGCAGCCGACAATCCACTTATGCCAGACGTAGATATACGTCGAAGATTTTGTGCATGCACAAAATGCTTCGTCGACTTCGCCGTACTTTGACGGATAGCAGTTTGTTGCAGCGTAGTCGCCAAACGTTGGCATATGCTGACTAAATCGTCATGGTGTGACAGAACATTAGTGGAACTGGTATATAACCGTCGCTAGAGTAAGTTTTCGAAAAGTTCTCTATTGGTTTTATATCACGTTATGTATACGTTCAATTCATTATAAATATGAATACGCCCAAAATTTAAGAAATACGCCCCAAGAGATCAGTGTAATATTCAGAGAAATTTTGCTACTTCGACTAAGTTTTTTAACCATGCCACATTTTGTTACTTTAACGTTGGTGTGAATATTATGTTCATTAAATTATTATTTCGAGATATTTTCATGGAGTATAATATTTCCCAACTTTCATACATACTATATATTTCTGGACGGTCGTGGTATAAATTATATTTAACAATAACATAATTTCATTTATAAGGAAACTAAATATGCTTACCCAATATATTGTATTTTGCCAATGAAGAATCTGTAGTGAATAAGCTGGATTCGATGAGATCGTGTTCAAATTCCAGATGTATTTATACTCTTGGATGAAATTAAATTAATTAACTCGTTAATAGATTTTGTGCAAAAGATAAAAAAAGAAAATTGTATATGCATTGATTTAATTAACAATACCAGTAAACAACATCTACATTAATTCCAGTACAATTACCTGCATCTGGTGGCATCTGGGAAATTCCGTTTTAATGCTGGATTGAGCGCACTAATAACTATAAACATTGACCCGATTTTCAGCAAAAATCAACTGCGCAGTCTTCCATCCAAGACTTTCAAAGTGAATCTGCTTCTAAACCTAACCGAACTCTATAAACAAATCTAAAATCCAATCATTAAGTTAGTCTGCCCACTATTTGTACCCACAGTCTCATTATGTTACGCATAATTCCTTCAAAAATACTTCATACTAGGAATTTTACTCACTATTCTGTATATGTATTGTCTATATATCACAAAGTATTTCAAAATGGCGATTCATCATTGTAATATTCAAACGCGGATAATTCTGGTCACATAAAGATTTGAAGGCTCAAATTTCGACGGTGAGCTGCGGACACTATTACTAATTGGCTTAGCTAAAAAAAAAATCCCGTTTCTGAGACTAAAGTATGATTTAAAAAAAAAAATGGCGCCTCAACCCCTTTAATTATACTTCATTTTAATTATTCTGGAATCCAATATAGTGGACATACTTTTAGTTGTAAAATGCTGAAGTAATAGATAGTCATAGTAATAGATAGCTAATCAATTATTAGCGTGGATTGCAATAATCCAAAAGAATTCACACAAAATTATGTACATCAGTTAAAAACTTGGTCAAAACAATGTTGTCTCTTTAATAGTCACTTTCCGCCAAAACATTTTTTGAGCATGAGTGGTTTTTTTTTTATGTGGTAAATCTATTAACGAATATCAATTTCAGACTGTGTTACCAAACAACATCTGTTGCAAGTTGACAGTGTTTAGATTAGTTTTTCTCAGCAGGGGATTGGAAGACCTGGGGAGGGATTATTACCAACGGGACATGGAGAGGAATCGTCGGACCACAGAAGAAATGGGGGGCAAGGTGAACTACGACTGAAATGTACATCATTCTTGTTGACTTACAGAAAGACGTTAACGAATATTTAATCCAATGGTCGCATTGAACTATCTCCATATGTGGAGTATGATTTTTTAACTATTCATGGTTAATCGCTGAATACATTTTTATAGTGAAATACTCTTTCAAATTGTCTGATTCATCTTGGGGAGGAACAGATTTGGAAGAACTTTGCTGGGAAGGAACGATCTCACTGAGGTTGAGAAGCACTGGTTTAGATGTACCACTGTTGATTATAAGTACAGTATTCAAGGTCATCATTCACCTTTAGAGCACTGAAAATGTAACGTACTCACATCATACCGTACAAACGTAATATATACATAATATAAATGAATAACAGCTGTTGTGGTTTGCCAAATATATATGTATATCTAAAATATATGATATATAGAGCTAAATTTGGTTTCGAGTTTTTTGATGCATACGGCTCAAATCAGCAAACTCTCAACCTTACCCCTTGTCCCTCACACCATAGGGAAAAAGAACATCGGTCATAAGTTCTCTGTTGCATCGTAGTCAGTAATCATTGCCACCTGTTGGCCGAACGGGTTTTCCACTATTCGCCTGCCTCAGGGGAGCCTGTGTTTTGCAATCGGTTGGTTTCTCGTCATGCCTCTGCGGGAGTATGGCTTCATGAGATACGTCCTTAAGGCGAAGGCGTCATCAGCAAGGATAAAAAAAACATGGGACGTCCCCGTCATCATTCGGCAGATTGTCTAGAGAAGGGTAGGTCGATGAAGCCATCTTCTAATGCACACTTACATCTCTGGGGCTTTGAAGATTTTGGCGTCAGACATGTGCCCCCGTACACAGAGTTATAATTTAAATTGAAGATTGTAATTTTGGGACCTTGACGAAATAAACATAGATGGATTGTATTAGCACCGCGTTACAGTATATAAAAATAAACTCAAATGACCATCGCTTCAATACGATATGCTAAAGGTATATCAATTGTAATTCATTTCAACCATTCCGATTATTACGTTGATCATAATACAGGGGTGTATTGTGAACCTCATTTTGATGAAAGGCATCAACAAATATTTGGCTCGATTCATACATTAGTTGTGGTTACATAATATATGGAAGATTTACATTTTTATTGACATATCATAATTTATACAATCATTGTCACCCAAAGGCACTTGATTATGACGAAAATACTTAAAAGCCTATGATAATATATAACCAAATACAGTTTATTAAGTAAGAAATATACCTTGTATTGACATTAATCAAATGAAAAATAAATGAATTCACATCATTATCCAAAATCCATATTATTGAACAAAGGGGGAAATAATCAAGTCTCGATTCTTGTTTTTATGAAGTTGAAACCGCTTTTCTGTTTTAAAAAAATATATTCATGGCCTTTGAATCAAAATCCACACAAAGTGACTTCTTGGGTAGGGTTAATTGTGGCGCCAACCATCATGTAGCTGTTTAGTAAGCCTTTGTCGAACGGCTGAGTATTTAAGATCATAAGCACGATTGTGGTTCTCTTCCGGATCGACATTGTGATCATAGAGCTCAATACCAAACACATTTCCCCACAGTGGTTTATAGTCAGGAGAACCAGTAAATTCAGGCCATTCAGTGTATCTATACCGGTCCGTTCTCATGGTATAGCCCATAACATTATGACCATCCGTCGATCTCGGATACTGTGAAAAAACTGCTCGTTTGAATTCAATCGATGGGTTCAAAATTAACGGCATTAAACTGGTTCCTTCTCGACATAAAGCTACTTTAGTGGAATCTTCTGGGCACAGGTCAAGGACAGGTAGTCCTGCAGCTTCAACAAGAGTTGGATATAAATCTACGAACTCGGTAAGCTGTTCTGTCACAACTCCCTTGTCGGTTAAACCAGGTATATGGATCATCATTGGGGCATGCACGGCGTCTTCAAAATTCGTTTGTTTGCACCACTCACCATGTTCACCAAGCTGCCATCCGTGGTCAGCCCAAAATGAAACAATCGTATTGTTGCCCAAACCAAGATTTTCGAGTTCTGCAATGACTCGGCCGACCTGAAAATCTGTATAAGATAAAGCACTATAATAGGCACGACGAAGGTCTATTATGGTGTCGTTAGGTAGTGACGTGTTGATGTTTCCAGACGCGTTAAGTTTTGCGATATCATGGAATGATCTTAAACCGCCGTAGCTAAACCACGCAACCGACGGCATATCTACAGGAGCATATCCATTATCAGGAAGACGGATATTTTCTCGTGGATATAGGTTAAGAAAATCCTCTTCAAACAGGAATGGTAAGTGCGGTTTATGGAAGCCAACAGCCACAAAGAAGTTTTTGTCACCACTGAGGGCTGGAGGAGCTACAGTACGCAATGTAGTGATAGCATTATCTGCTATTTGTCTGTCTGGTAAAGGGTAAGCAACGTACTCACTTGTTGGAACCGCTCGCCAGCTTTTCTGTTTTGTTGTGTATCGTGCTTGGTTTGAAGCATGAAAATATGGAACATTCCAAGAACTAGGGTCGTCATAGCCAGATGCTTTACCGGGATGAAAGATTTTTCCCATCCCTGCCACTGTATATCCATTGAGTTTGAAATACTCTGGGAGAGTAGTGAAATTACCACCAACGTCTCTAAAATACTTTACCAGATCGTAAACATGAGTTGTATCCGGACGACGACCTGTTAATAACGATGTCCGACTCGGTGAACAAACGGCTTGTTGCACATACGCCCTCTTTAGTAGAATACTTTTTGAAGCTAACGCGTCAAGATTTGGCGAATGAATCTGTGGATGGATAGGTGTTGGAAAATCCTGGCCATAATATGCCGCTAGTTCTGGTCTCATATCATCCGACACTAGAAATAGTACATTCTTTCTGTTTTGGATGATAGGAATCAAACAGAAGAAAAGAAAAACTTTTGAAGGCCACATATCTTCTATAATAATTTGACGCATAGATGTTGAAATTAAAATCCCTTATCAGAAGTTATCAAATTTACTTATCACGCGATCAAATATTTTTTTTTGTGCATCTTCGTTGTTATATTTTGGGATTTTTTTTTACAATTGACGCAGGTTATTCTATAAAGTGATCTTTGATTTTGTATACCAGTTAGAAGCAGAACAGACACAATTATGTTTCCTCTGGTAAAATATATAATGTTCGCCCTTTGTGTACGGTATCTGAGTTTCAGTTGGCTGGTTTCCAAGCTTCAAGAACATTTATGCTAAAAACTATTAATTTATGTTAAACCATTTCATGCCCCCATTTCCAAAACACCCGATGTCAAACCACGCTGGTTTTACGTACATGTATTTTGCATCCAGGCGGTGACTTATTCGTTACGACGCCTGAATCGGTGAACAAACGGCTTGTTCGAATATGTCCTCTTTAGTACATTACTATTTGAAGCTAAATTGTCAAGATTTGACGAATGAATCGATGGATAAGAATGGTGTATGGAGGTCCTGATCATAGGCGGCTACTTCTGCTCTCATGACATCCGACCCCAGAAACAGTGCACTCTTTCTGCTTTGGGTGAGTGGAAGTAGACTAAAACAAAAACAACCACATAAATGTATTTACTTTAAAAATAATTAATGTTGATCTTTAAAAGTCCCTTATCATAAATTATCAAAGGTTCAGATATCCTTTATCACTAAGTCAAATAAAAAATGGCATGTTCGTTTCGGCATTTTCACGGTAATCTATATCTAAGGAATAAAGAACATAGAGAGTTTATGTAAACCTTTTAAATAGTTTTGGCGTTGATGGAAGACATATATTTCAAGATTTTGGAGTCAAGTTTTCATAAATTTTAGCAAAATAAATATTTCGTCTTACGAAAAAAGCATAATGTCACTTTAATCTATAAAGTGGTCTTCTATATATTAATGACTAAAGCAGATTTTTCACTTTTTCATGAATGCTGTACAGCTATGAATGAGGCGAGGCAAATGCTTAAGATACAGACCAGGACACGACCGTCTTTAGAATGTCAAGCTTTAACGAGCTGTGTCTTATATCTTAACTACAATAGTTAATGGAATGCAGTGGTTTGATTGGATTTTAAATACATAGTCCCTGGAATAAAGACTATGCCTTACTGATTACAGACCTTTTGTCTAAGGCTACGTACAATCCATTTAAATTGCTGCATTCAATTAACTATTGTATTCAAGATATATTAGACCGGATGGGACACGACACGACCAAGATTCGCATCTACTACATTCTGCTGCTCCATAATTCCAGCATCATACTTTGTAAATGAACATTTCGTTACCATATTGTACTATAGTGTTATCTGATATAGTGATAGATATATCATGCATTTCCCTTCATCACGTGTTCGAAATTTTGCATAGCTTGCATTTGAAATAATTTCAAGCACCATCTCTTTACTCTAAATCTTACGAGATTCCTGAATGGATAAATCGAATGCTGACGTATTGAATGCAAAGGGGGGTTAATCATCGTACAGTTGCTAAAGCAACATTACAGAACACACTTGTTCAACCAACACAGTTCACAGCCACGTTACTTCGCTCAAAATTCATTTTGCGATTTTTCTAGATAATAAGCACAAAATTTATTTTAAAGCAATATCAAATCTCCATTTATTAGTGTATATCATTCGCACATTGGTGCTGTACAAAATAAAGGAAAACAATATATTAATTGCTATTTTGAAACTTTGAGCACTCTATTTAGGAAATAGACGGCTGGCTGTTACGCCATCCAGAATGTAATCGAGCACTCAATTCTGTCCTGATTTGAGCATAGGAAGGATCATTTGCACGACTGTAATTTTCTTCGGGATCGGTTACATGATCGTATAGTTCAGTACCAAACAGATTTGTCCATACTGGTTTATAGTTGGGGGGTCCGGTAAACTCTGGCCACTCTGTATATCTAAAACGATCAGTTCTTATGGTATAACCCATAATATGAGTTTTGTTTTGATATCTTGGATATTGTGAAAATACTGCAGGCTTCCAAGATAGAGACGGGTTGCGTATAAGTGGCATTAAACTCGTTCCCTCTCTGCAGAGTGCTATTTTCGACGAATCTTCCGGACAAATATCCATTTGCTGTAGACCAGCAGCTTCTACCAAAGTAGGAAAGAGGTCCACAAACTCCGTCAGTTTCTCAGTAACAATGCCCTTATCGGTCAACCCTGGTACCCGAATCATCATTGGAGCATGCACGGCATCTTCAAAATTCGTATGCTTGCACCACTCACCATGTTCACCAAGCTGCCATCCGTGGTCACCCCAAAATGATACTATCGTGTCATTACCTAGTCCTAAATTTTCAAGTTCTGCCATTACTCTACCAACCTGAAAGTCGGTATAGGTTAGGGCACTGTAATAAGCTCTTCGGAGATCCATGACAATATCATTTGGTAAAGAAGTATTGATATTCCCAGACGCATTCAATTTGGCAATGTCGGTATAATCCCTTAGTTCACCGTAACTACTCCATGCAACTGACGGCATATTTACGGGGGCATACTCATTGTCTGGAATATGAATGCTCTCTTTCGGGTAGAAACTTAAGAATTCCTCTTCAAATACAAATGGTAAATGAGGTTTATGGAAACCTACTGCTATGAAGAATTGTTTTTCGCCGCTACGAGCCGCCGGTGCAGCCATCCGTAATGTTTTGATTGCGTTGTCTGCAATTTGTCGGTCTGGTAACGGATAAACGTCATACTCACTTTTTGGAACCGCTCGCCAACTTTTGTTTCTTGCAGTATATCTTCCTTGGTCCGGAGCATGGAAGTATGGGACATTCCACGAAATGGGGTCATCATGGTCGGAGGCAACGCCAGGATGAAATATTTTTCCCATTCCCGCTACTGTATATCCATTGATTTTAAAATATTCAGGTATGGTCGTAAAGTTTCCACCAACGTTTCGGAAATACTTCACAAGGTCGTAAACATGAGTAGTATCTGGGCGGCGACCTGTTAAGAGCGACGTCCGACTAGGTGAACAAACTGCTTGCTGAACGTATGCTCTCTTCAACAAAATACTTTTAGCAGCTAAAGCATCTAGGTTTGGTGAGTGCATAGGAGGGTGAACTGGTGTCGGAAAATCTGGTCCATAGAAAGATGACAGTTCTGGTCTCATATCATCTGATGCAAAGAACAGCACATTCTTCCTGCCACTAACAATCAGTAATAACTGCCAAAGAACGGACACGACACAGGTTCGTGGCCACATTTTAATTTCTCCAGCCGAAAGTCTTTCAGTAGAGTAAGCTAATATTATTATATATATATGATAAAGTTATCTAAGTATTCATTATGTGTCAAAGTTCAATACACGTGCTATTGTGTTTGTATACTATTGATATATGTTTATTATCCAGTGTATGGTGTTTTAATACGCATAATAGTATTAATAGAGATAAAAAAAATCCTTTTGCTGATACCGATACTTGAAGGGACAGATTCGCCATCCGTCTGACCTTATAAACGGGAATTGTTTCAGCTAGCTAATCAGTAATAGTGTTCAAAGCTCACCGTCGAAATTTGATCCTTCAAATCCATGTGTGTCTAGAATTATCCGCGTTTGAAAGTTAAAATGATTACTTGTCCTTTCTAGAGACTCATATATAGAAAATACATATATAGGCCCTTGAAATAGAAAGTGAAATTAACAGTATTCTGGAATTTTCGTACATGTCTAATCTATTGGAGCCTCGTTTATCTGCACTTACACTTAAAGAAAAATGGCGAACCTGTAACTTTAAATGGAGAGTCTAATATTTCGCTTTACATACATCTTTTGATACATCTTAATTGCAGCTTTGCATATTGATTTTCAGCATAACTTTCCGATTCTGTGTCAACTACAATTAAATAAACAATGGGACGTTATTAAGATTATTAAGATTGATGCAGGAGTGAGGAAATGGGTAGGCATAACAAAGGGAATGAAAAGAAACAACTAAAAACATTTTAGCTTTATTGTTCGAGAATTAAGCTAAAATGGAGCGATTATAGCTAATCTTACAGATGCATGAAATACAGAAATAACTTGAAAACAGATTGAAAACAAGTCAAGAATTAGAAAATGTAAGTTAAAAGGATAGGTGCGTGATTATTTTTACCAATCGTCTCAGAAACGGAAATTCTTTAGCTAAGTCAATCAGTAATAGTGTTCATAGCTAACCCTCGAAATTTGAGCCTTCAAATCCACGTGTGTCCAAAACTAAGAAGGTTCTCTTGAGACACTGCTATATATAGAAAAGATTTCTATAGAAGTACGAACAGATATTCTTAGTTTGACATATCTTGGAAGGAAGGAATTGTGAGATTTTCGTACATTTCTAGTACTCCTGAAGACTATTTACATATATTCAAGACTAAATCAACCCCTCAAAATGACTCCCCTATTTATACATATTTACCCCTTTATTTTTTTATGCATGTTCTATATAATTAACATAAAACGCCAATTGTCCTTCATACCAGTCATTATAATCAGATAACAACCGATGAACTAGCATTTATTGAAAATTGATAATATAAGAAAGCATTTCAGTCAATTCAATTTTGTTCAACGAAGGTAGACTATTTTTGCGACCTTAATGTCAAAAAGTGAACAGTAGATCAGATACATCTACACATACAGTTCAAAATGCAACTTTACATCTTTGATCGTTTTGAAACGGCAGTCTGTCAATTATTTGGAATTATAATCCTGGTAGTGAAATTGCTTATTTCCGACCTACCCAAAGATTCAAATGGCAATAACTGTACCACCCTCTAAGTCTGGTGTGACTTAAACGAGTCTTTATCATGTAAGATAACAACCTATGAACTATCAAATCAATTATTGAAAGTTGATAATGTATAATATTCACCAGTCAATATTATATTTGCTCAACGAATTGTTGTGGTAGACTATTTCTCCAGCCTTTATGCAACTGTTCCATGAGTAAGAATTTAGCATCGTGATATTCCACATCAGAGACACGATTGTTATTTTCTGGAGAATCTATTTCAAGGTCATATAACTCTACACCGTACACATGGTTCCAATTGGGTTTGTATTCGGGATAACCCTGGAATCCTACCCATTCTGTATAATGGTACCTGTCTGTACGTATTGAATATCCCATTACAGATTGTCCCATTGGGTAACGTGGATATTGTGTGAATACACCAGTTTTCCATTCACGCGTTGGGTCAGTCACAAGTGGCATCATGCTTAAACCTTCTGTACAGAGCTGCACTTCTGAAGATTCTGTTGGACACATTGATAATGGTTCAAGCTCAGCTGCTTCTGCAAGTGTTGGAAACAAATCGACAAATTCCACAAGTCTGTTTGATACAACACCATTATCTGTTCTGCCGGGAATTCGTATCATCATCGGAGCATGGATGGATTCCTCAAAGTTCGTGTGTTTACACCATTCTCCATGTTCACCTAGCTGATAACCATGATCACCAATGAAAGACACGATGGTATTGTTACTTAATCCCAGATCATCCAATTCCTGAAGGATTCTTCCGATCTCAAAATCAATGTAAGATACTGAAGTGTAGTATGCCCGGGTCAAGTCTTGTATCACATGAATAGGGATAGTGGTGTTTGGATTTCCAGTAACATTTAAAGATTTGATATCTCTATAATTCATCAGTTCCCAGTATTTATGCCACGCAATGTAAGGCATGCCTTGTGGTATAAAACCATTATTGGGTATATGGATACTATCATTTTGATAAAAGGTTAGAAACTCCTCCGGAAAAACAAAAGGAAGATGTGGTTTATTGAATCCTATGGCCACAAAGAATGGTTTGTCGTCCAAGCGACTTGCTGGACCAATGTATCGTAACACTTCGATGGCATGATCTGCAAGTTTCGAATCTGGTAAAGACAAATTTTGATATTCACTTTTTGGAACTGAGCGCCAACTGACGTTCTTGGTTTCGTATTGTTCAATATCTTCGACGTGGAAATACGGCTCTGTCCATGAAATGGGATCGTCGTTACTAGAAGCACGAATTCCAGGATGAAAAATTTTACCCATTCCGATTGTTCGGTAGCCATTCTCCTTGAAATACTGAGGAATCGTTGTAAAATTTCCACCAACGTCGCGAAAATAACGTTTCAGGTCGTAGACGTGAGTTGTATCTGGTCTGCGACCTGTGAGGAAAGATGTGCGACTAGGAGAGCAGAATGCTTGTTGAACATATGCCTTTTTTAAAAGTAAACTTTTCGATGCTAAGCTGTCCAAATTAGGCGTGTAAATCTGAGTCTGGTAATTCTTTCTATAGACACCGATATCCGGTCTAAGATCGTCTGCAACAATGAATAACACATTCTTTTTCCCGGATGCACATTGTAAATTTAACAGAAAAAATATCAGAACTATTGAGTTCATTTTGAAAGAAATATAAAACTGACAATGAAATTGTTGTTGGTATGAAAGGTTGCGGAAATATATTTTAGTAGTGTTGTTTGTCTGTGACATTTAAATCTTCAACCTGATTAAAATATTAGTATTAACCTGTTAAACACGAGGGATTAATATGTCAGTCTGGTTTATCATTATAAAGAGACAATGAGATCAAGTGTACCGGTACTCAGAATTCCTTCCCATGTGATAATGCAAAATGGTCTTCTGTCTCAGGTCTTTAAAAAAAATAAGTCGTGATGTAGTTTGTTATGTTAAATAAAAACAAAATTTCACGGAAAACATCCATTTAAACTGTTGCTACGGCTGATTCATATAGCCTAATTTCGTCTATAAATATTATTTTTCAAAATTAAATCCGACGTACGATCCTTCTTAATTTTATAACAAAAGCGTCAATGTATGTTATTAACTATCTTGTGGCAATTGACCTTTCACAGGGTCTGGGGGGGGAAGAATGGCCCAATTGTCCACCTCCTGAAATACGGAGAAATATTATATTACTCTAATTTCACTTAATATTAATGTAATGTGTTCAAGTTTTATGCCACGCAACCCACCAAAAATTTACGATTGATTCTCTAAGTCACAGAGACCGAAATGGGCCATGACAGTTTTTTTGTGATCAGCATGAATAAAATGTGTGAGTTTTGTTTCTTTTATATAAAATAATATACAAATTTCATCAGTGTTATTTACATTAACACATTATTTTGTTAAAATATCACAGAAAAAACGTCCGCTATAGTCATTTATTTATTTCTTCTTCTTCTTTGACTTTGATTTGTCCTTTTTGTCTTTTTTCTTCGATTTTATGGTAACAGTATCCTCATTATCTATTTGCGAAATAACAGAGGTTTTCTTTGTTGGGCTTTCCTTTGGGGATATTAAGGCACAAGAAGCCGGTCCAACCGAAGAAATAACTGACTCTTTCCGATCAATAATTTCTTGACCACTGATTGAGAGACCGTCAACGTGAAACGATCCTGGATCAAACAAATCTGTTTCCGTCACATCGAAATCTGACGAGGTGTCAGAATCAATTTCTTCCGAATCTGACATTAATTGGGTTTTATTTCGTCTCTTAGATTTCGACGCCACACCATGTCTTCTTCTCTTTTCCTTTTTAGCTGCTTTTTTATCCAGCAGAAATTGACCAGACAATCCTTCGATAATGTTAGACGCGCTCTCTTGATAAACACCCGAATAGTTAACGGTGCCTGTCTTGTGTTTGATACGTCTTTTTGAAGCACCTCGTTTCGACACGCCTCCACTGGTTTGCGGTTCAGTAGATGATTCGGAATCATACGAAATTTGTGTATCGAAGCCATTTTCGTCGAAAGTAATTACAGTATCAAGGAATTTCGATACCTCATAAGCACTTTGGTCCTTAGTAGTGGATGTATCGTAAGGGTTTGATTTCATCGATGGTGATGCGTTGGGATAAACTACTTCAGATTCATGAACTGAAGATTTCACATTCGCCTGATCGATGGACTGGGATGTGGAGGTTTTTGTCTTAGAAGAGTTCGCATTTTTAGACGTATGCTCAGCAATACCATCATTATTCACCATTACACCATTCTTGTTGAATTTCCCTTGTCTTCCTAATTGCTGTTTATCAACAGATTCGCCATTGTTACCATCATTTTCTTCAAAGTCGCTACTGACATTAGTCCCACCGTGTCCCTTGTAAGAGGAATCTTTAGAATTGATAATTTTACTCTTGCTATTCTTAGCTGAATTCTTTCCAGTTTGCTGTGCAGCCGAGTTAATCCCACTTTCAACAGAAGCTTGACCTTTGGGAGAATTTATGGAATCACCAGTGTCCTTATCGTCTGAACCTTGAGCGTTTTGAATGAAATTCGATCCATTTTTGGATGAATTGTGACGTTTCTTCTGAGCACCCTTTTTCTCAGTAACCAGCTTGTTCACATTATTCTTTGATACGGTTGCACCAGACGCCGAGATAGTACCGTCATTGATACTGGTACGATCGTTGCTTCCACCTTTCTTCGCATGACCCCCTTTAGATCTGTCATCTGATACCTTCTGATGTACACCGGATCCAATATTTCCGTCTTTAGAAGAATCGTTGAGGCTATTCTGTTTATCACTCTTGGCTGGTGACTGCGTCGTGTTCAGTAACAAAGCAGAACTAGACGCTAAAACAACTCCGTCATCGCCACTAGCATGACCTTGAATGATGTCGTTTCCTACCCCACCACCTTTGATTTTGCTTGAAGTCATTGCTTTATTCTGAGTAGAATCAGACCCATTTGGTCCCTCGTTGATGAAATTATCGAGATTCTTTTGTCTACCCTCGCCAATCTTTGCTGAAGTATCTTCTCCATTATGAAAAGTTGCAACATTTGTGGCGGAGATTGCCGTTTCATCATCTGGGGCATGAATGCTTTTGACATTTCCGCCTTTGCTTGAATTTAATGGTACATTTCGGGTAACATTAGATCTGTTAGGTGCTTTGTTGTGCGAATTGTCTTCATTTTCCCGTTTACCCGTGGTATTGCTAACTGTTGCATGTTTTGTGTTTTGTAGTGTAGTTAGATTACTGGCTAAAATGGCCTCTCCACTACCACGGACATCTTTGAAATCATCGTTGTTCACATCCATGTTGTTCTTGCTACTGTCATTAGTTTGACCTGTCCGTATATCAGAATTTGAACTTCCTCTTACCTTACCACCACGCCCATCTGTTTCTTTATATGATGATTTAGTAATATTTGCCGTGTTCTGTGTCGTGGAATTGGAATATGTGTGGCTCTTGGTGTACTCTTGTGAATTTGAAGTGGGGTTCTGTTGAGCAGATGTGGTGTTTTTAGCATCACCATTTTTAGAAATAGTTTGGAGTTTGTGTGTGGTAGCTGCGGCTTGAGATAACATTGGTTGCGTTATGGTTGTAACAGGTTTGTCATCCGAAGGGTCTAACCTTGGTACTACTTCTAGGGGCTTTTGTGTGCGTTTAGTTCCGATTACAACATTGCCGGATGATCTGCGATTGTTCACTTTTTCATCCATAAATTGTAGCTGTGACTCTTCTTTGTTGTTATTCGAAAGAATGTATACACCCGTTGTACTAGTTGGGCTGTTCGCTTTATTTCTATCTTGCTGATGGAGTCCATTGTGTTGTTTTTCTGTGAAAAAAAACTTATTACAATTTACTCATATACACGAACATTATATTTCGTGGTATTATTTGATATAAAGAATGAGCCACTAATATAGTCCACAGAGATTAGGCTCGTAGCTATAGGGGACAGGGGCATTTGCCATTGCCTCCGAATATATTACTCCCCACACCCAGGAAAAATCAAGTCTGGCTGCGGGCCTGACGTAGATCAGTTTCGCTTCTGACCTAGTGTTCCATAACTTATTGTTTACAGTTTGTCCAAATAAAACGAGCTGAATTATTAAATTGTAAACGACAAAATCAAACAAGAAAAATTCGAGAAATACGATAAAAATCAAGCACATTTAGCCATTATGACCAAATAGTTTTTCGGGGGTTTGGGCAAGAAAAGAACATATAGAGGAATCTTTAGTAACATGCTAGAATCCCTTCCCAGAAATCTATTTAGTTCTCAATTTAATTGGACAACATGAAAGTGTGTAATGTGGAGTTAAGTCAACCTGATGCCAAACTGTAACTGGTTATTTGGTATATTTATACGATAAAGGAGATTCTGTTAAATGGAATTAAAAGTGTACCTTTTGGAAACGCACTCTCTGTGGAATCAGCAACTTTGGCTTTCTTTCTTTTCTTAGCTCTTATGCACAGAATGATTAGCAATACCAATACTAGTAAGAATATTACTCCAACTAAAGCACCAACTATAATTGGAATATTATCATCATCAGTAGCACCCGTAGGCGGACCGGATGTGGTTGTTGGGTTGGGAATGGCTGGAACAATAAACGAAGATGCGGTTTAATGGTGATTAAAAAAAAAGCATAACAATAGTTTCGAAGAATGATTTCGTCATAATATTTTCGGTCCGGTTTCTTTCCCAGAATATCAGATTTCACAAAAGTTTTCTCTGGCAGTGGGGGGATGCAAGAAGTACAATATCTGAAATGACTTCAGATATAAGAAGATCGGATATGTCTTTTACTAGTTAAATGCACCATTAAAAGTTTTAAACCTGCGATAATTGGCATGACAATTGGGTCACAATAACATTTATAGTAATATACACATACAGCATTTCTGAACGCAAATTAAATGAAATGAATGTGAATGACTTTATATAATTATATAAGAGTTTCTAGAATTAATGATTTAACATTTTGGATAATGTAAATATATATAGTAGACCTACTTACGACATAGAACTGAAATGTAAAAATAATATATAAAAAATAGAGCGATAAAATTGGATCTTGTCGTAATTCTGATTTATTTGTGGTTAAAAGGCACCTTAGATAAATGATCCTTAGAATATCCCTTGCAATAGAAAACGTTTCAGTCAGACCGTATTGTAGTTATTTTACTATCTTAAATGGTGATTAAAATAAGGCTATGAATTATAAATGAGCTTCAAAAACTGAACTTGAGTACCAATAATAGGCTTGTCCTTTGTCATTACTGAGATAACAAATAATACACGAAAGAAATCAAACAGTAAATAAAATTCCCAAACAAAGAAATAACTATAGCACAAATAATGACACTAGAGGACAATGTAAAGTGTAGCGCATTTTCTTACCTTGTGGTTGCAATGTGAATTTAAATCCGGGACTGGAAACACTGGTACCTGATTGACCCAATTCACAATCTGTAGGATACTGCGTCATCAGTAACTCATCACCACTTCTTTCTATCGCCTAAACGTAAAAGTGGGCAAATTCAAAAGTGTATGTCAATTTTAAAAATGTAAATAGTTTTAGCAGCTGTTACAACGCATCACTTCGGGTTAACTGATAGCTGATATTATGCTCCATTTAATAAC